ATTCTTACGCTCATTCCATTGTTTATCCTATTGCACATGTAAATTGAAATTCAGGATTTGAATTTGTGCATTGGCTTGTAATTGACAAGCAGTTGACTTGATTGATATTGAATTGATTGATTGAATGATGATTGATTGATTGAACTTGATTGATTATTGATTTATTGATTGAACTTGATTTATAATTGAATTGGTGACGTTCATGCACTTGTGACCTACCCAGTGCATGATCCGCCCGATTTGGGTCGTCACATTTGTTGTATTGATTGTTATTGTGGGGCAGCCCTGTGGTAGCCCCAGCAAATTGATCACCGCGGCCAGAAGCGCCACATTAAACAAGCAAAATAATATCTGTTGTTTGTTTGATTAATAGGGAATCTGCAATAATACCACTTATACGAGCCTGGTCTCGGATAAGTGAGTTTATTTCAGTAACCCTAGTAATATTTATCTATTCCGGATAAGTTACGTACATTCGGATAAATATAAATTTTCACCCTTAGTCACAAGCTATCATTCCGGATTATTTAGGTCCATTTGTATATAGTCTAATAATAAGTTCGTTTCTACCTCCTTTCTAGAAGAATCGATTAAACGGTAAGGTCATGGAAAATTTTTGGGAGTTAAATTGTGGCAATGTTTTAAATTTTACCCACCCACCCTCCTCTTGTTTTTAGAACAAATACTGCTGCTTTTTGTTATGTCATTGTAGCTGAAGACTGCCTGCTTCGCCCAGCTTCCACAACAGCCTATGTCGCGGTGGTGGATTATGTGTGTTCGGATATTATATGTACGTAGGGACGGCTTGCTTGGTCCAGCACCTACATCAGCCTATGTGCCGATGGTGAATTTTGTGTGTTTGCTCATTCCGTAAATACAGCCTGATTGGTCCAGCGTCCACATCAGCCTTTTTCAAGGTGGTGAATTCTGTGTGTTTACGTAATCCGTGATGACTGCCTGCTTGATACAGCGTCCACTTCAACCGATGTCGCGGTGGTAATTCTGTGTGTTTGCGTATTCCGTCGCACCTCAACGCAACTGGAGGAGTGCAACACATATTCTTACGCTCATTCCATTGTTTATCCTATTGCACATGTAAATTGAAATTCAGGATTTGAATTTGTGCATTGGCTTGTAATTGACAAGCAGTTGACTTGATTGATATTGAATTGATTGATTGAATGATGATTGATTGATTGAACTTGATTGATTATTGATTTATTGATTGAACTTGATTTATAATTGAATTGGTGACGTTCATGCACTTGTGACCTACCCAGTGCATGATCCGCCCGATTTGGGTCGTCACATTTGTTGTATTGATTGTTATTGTGGGGCAGCCCTGTGGTAGCCCCAGCAAATTGATCACCGCGGCCAGAAGCGCCACATTAAACAAGCAAAATAATATCTGTTGTTTGTTTGATTAATAGGGAATCTGCAATAAATTAAAAGCTTGTTAAGAAAATTCTTTTATCAGGAAATTATTAAAATTACGATTTTCGGGAAAAGTTTGATTGACACATGTCCTTGCACTTTCACAAAGTAAACTTTATCCATAATACTTAAGAAAAGTAGATCTTTTGTTGTGCTTTTATGAAAAATATGAAAACTACGAGAGTTGATAGTAAAGTTCCTTAGTGAGCGTATTTTCCAATAACATTGCCAAGATTTGGTGATTTCTGATGATCTTTAAAAAATATACAACTATTTCATTTAGCTTAAACATGCTTCACGGAGCATGTCACTTTTTTGCACATTTAAATCACATACACATTTTTGCGAAATCAAAAATTGCACTGTTGTAACGCATAAAGATCTATGATATTTCAACTGTCGCTACAATATTCATGAAACGCAATTTGGCGAAATTTTGAATTTAAATTGGAGGGGATTTGACTGTTTTATAGCTCCTTAAGGGGTTGGAGCCACTCTAGCTCAAGATCCATGATTTGAATATAACTGAGTCTACACTACATGATGATACTTCCATATCAAAATGACTATATGTGGCTTTATGTTTAAGGTTTTTGCCTTATCTTGCATTATCTTTACAAAAGCCAAATTGCGGTCTTGTCCTAGTCTCATGGGCCATGATCATGAGTTGAACAAACTTGAAACTACACTTAATAGGGAAGCTTTTTCCCCTTCTGTCCCACTGAATATTTCTGGAAAAAGAACTTTTAAAGGACACCGATGTATTTTCCGGATTTTTTTCTTTCTCCCCTCTTGATGAAGGCCATATCCTTCAATATGCACATATTTGAACCCTCTTCAACCATTATATTTTGTTGCTGAATGCTGATTGATTGTTGACTGTATTTTGTTTAACGTCCTATTCGAGAATTTTTCACTCATGTAGAGACGTCACCGTATGTCGCTGAAGAGTTTCAAATTTTGACCTATACTCGGCACTCAAGGCCATTGAGCAGTGAGGGTTCTTTATTGTGCCAACGCCTACCGTGACACTGGGTCCCTTTTTTTAAGGTCTCATCCAAAAGACCCATGACTTTCATTTGTAGTGTCGGGTGCTTTGCGAAGGAACAGTCACTACCTATGTTTACGTCTTAGGTTTGACGCGGATGGGCGAACGAGAATCGACCCCGGACCTCCCGATCACAAAGCGAGCGCCCTACCACTTAGCTACCATGATCGGTCATTATAGTTTGTGGCAAATTTGGATGAAATTTGTTCATTAGTACTGTTAAAGAGGAACAAAATGTGCAAAATTTGACAAAAGACACAAGACAGACATACAGGCTCCGGTAACTGTTATTCAGGGAAGCTCATTTGAGCCTTATGCTCAGATAATTTTTAAGAAAAAAATTAAACACTTAAAACTTTCTTTAAAAAAAAAGAACATGTATTAGTAAATTCTAAAAGTTGTCCTTTGTTTCAAATCTCAATATTTAAGAATTATTTAATTGTTAAAATACTTTGATGAAACAGAAGATTTGAAAAGGAAATTGAAACAAAAATGTTCTATTAAGTTGGAATCACACAAATATCTATTTTTTCGACCACATAACTTGATGTTTTAGAAACAAAGTTAAATTACATTTATAATTTTGTTATAAAAAAAAATCGGGGATGTACATGCTCAGAGGTACTTGCGATAACGTGTATCTTACTCTTATTTAAACACGACTATTTTACAAAAAAAGGTTATCAGATTGTCGATTTAGAATAAAATTTCATGTTCGTTAGAAGAAATGGCAATGCAAATTTTATTGTTATTTACATTGTATCATTTACAGTTTCTTAAACGTACATGGAAGACTTTCGACCACTCCTTTTCTTCAATTTTGATCATAAAGTTGCATTTAATGTTTAGTCTGCAATATCTATTGGTTGAGGGCCAGAAGACCATAAACTGAGAGTAGAATATTTCGAATTTTATTTCAGATACCTTGTTTTAAAAAATGGTAGGTTATAGAATTTTCAAATACAAACACATAGAAAAAAATTAATTTTCCAAATTATTTAGAAAATTATAAATTTTTTTGAATTTTGTCTTAAGTTTGTTCTCAATACATGATCTTGATGTATTGGTGTTAAAAATTAAACAATATCGAATTATGAAGCACAATACAGTGTAGAAAAAATATAAAAGATGAAGAAAGCGAACAGTGAACAATCTCAATAATCCAGAAGAAAACGAATCGTAAACAGGGGAAAATCCTGGATCCATGGAAACATCAGAGTTGGGATCAGGCGCCAAGGAGGAGTAAACATTTCCTGTCCACTAGTCACACACGCCGCGAGCCCCTTTTCAGATTGACGGAGTACTCAGTAGTTAGAATAAAAGCAATAACCTAACAATTAGTATGAATCATGTCACACAAACTAAGACCCAATGATAGGTTTTATTTGCGAACAGGGTCATTATAACGCCAACAGAATTTGCAAAAAAAAAAAGCTTACTTTAAACGAGGTTGTTGAAATCCTTGTAACTTATTTGTCAGTAGCTTGCCTCGGTTTAAAAATTGATCGTACACAGTAAATGATCTTGCTTAGCGAGTGACACAGAAGCGAAACAGAAAACAACATATTCAGGTGATATTGCAATATTACTACATAAACAAGGAAGGTTAAAGATGGAAAAGCTGAAGACATCTCGTTTAATTTGTCATACAGTTTAGTTATTATTTGGCCATTTTCGTCCATAGTGAGTAAAACATCCACATGTGAAATGAACATATGGAGATAATGAATAGTAATCAAGCTCAAAGTCCATTAAAACAATACAAATCGGGGGCAGAGCAAACACAGACCTCAAAAAACATCAGAGGTAGGATCAGGTACCATGGAGGAGTGAGCATCCTCTGCCCACCGGTCGCACCCTCCATGTGCTCATTGTCATGATGGGGAAAAACGAAAAATCCGTGTACAATTCAGTGTAAATAATGGCCTAACAATTAGTATGAAAAACGTCAGTCACCATTTGACTTACTGAAAGGTTGTATTTGCTGATAAGGTCATTGTATCGACCATAAAACTTGCGAAATGATGACTTCAAACGAGACTGTTGAAACAGATATAGTTGACTCTGTGGAGATTTTTGAGTTAACTGGGATATATCGAGTCAATATATGAATGAAAGTAAATATTACAAATTGAAAAAAAGTCATCGATATTTCTGAATGTTGAGCTGAAAGCCATTGCAAGAGTTTTCTTCTCATGTAGATCTTTTCGAATAAATTTTGTTTCATAGGAATATAAAAACAAGTAAAAACTAGATAAGGAGCACATTTAGTGCCCGTATAAATTTCAACAGATTCTTAGAAGATCTGGTCGTCGAAGACTACATAGATATTGTCAACGAGGAACACTTTTAATATGAACTTCAGAGTACTGGTTTGTAGAATCAGAATGAGAGACCCCTGCTGAATCTTTTATTCGTAATGGGCTCAAGGTCAGAGGGTAAACGTATGTATGCAGCTGTTTATGCTTACTGCGGATATTTTTGTGACAAATGGAAGATTAAATATATCAAACTCATTAGGAAATATAAATTTATCCAGTTAAAAATGGGTACATCTACATCGACCATCAATGCAATGGTGACGTCCACCATGGTCACATCTTCCATGACAGTCATCAGCCATGGTACATCCTGCAATAACAGTGAAGAATATTAATCTTGATTTTTTAATATAGATAAGGAAAAAATTCATATAATTTTGCTCTATTGGTAAGAATCAAACATACGTAATTCGATACATACCTCCATCACCACTGCCTGCTGTGGTACATGTGCATTGATGGTTTACACAGTGGAGCTCAGATCCAGAAGCACAGCTTGTGGTGCTGGTGGAACAGCTTGCTGTGTCTCTGCACATTTCAGCAGAAACTGAAATGATATATGTATTTATCAAAGGTTCGTATAACGTGTTCCAGTTTATTTATACATTTGTATCTGTAATCTATTGGTGTAATACTGGTCACCTTGTCATGTGACATTTATATATTTAATGCACGGTTTTTAACTGACCGCTGTTAGCGCTGAAAGTTCTATAGCCATTTGAGGGCTCTTTTCAGTGCAGATAACTGAATCTCCATCCGCCCGCCCTTGCTTTACATGTTGAAAAACATTTTATATTAAAAACTTTGTTTTGTTTTGTAGAATGGAAGACAAAGAAGAAATATATATGTATATATGTATTGTATAATAAGTAAACTTCACATCCTAATATATGTGTTTGTGTTTATTTTATGAATTATTTATGTTCGTTTGAGTGGCACGAAAACATAAAATAAATTCAGATGAGGATTATATAATAAATTCAGATAAGAAATTAATTTTTCTAGATGGCCAAAATGGATTTATTTCTCTAGAATATAAAGCAAACATTTTGTTTGGAAAAAATAAAGCATTGTGAGAAAACTACAACGACACAAAACAATTTAGAAAATATTTCTATCATTAAGGTGTGTAAATTTTTCTTCTTTATATGTAAATGATACATAAAAATTCAGGTACATAAAGCTCTTTTATGTTAATGACAAAAGTGTACAAAAATTTCAATTGTGGCCTAGCTTTCTTTTTATATACAGCTTCTAAAAACTATTTCTCTTTGTTTACCATATAAAATACAATTTCATGGATATGAAAAGTTTGGATGAAGGTCAATCAAATATAAAGGCAAAGTCCAAATTGATCTTCTATATATAGAAGAGATTTTATCCTTTATGTTCAATTAATTTGAGATTTCTATCTTCATCAGTTAGTATTATTTATCAAAGAAACCACTTTACCTGCTACAATAACAACAGCCAGAACAATAAGAGTTTTCATGTTGGAGAGTTTGGATAGACTTGGTGATTTGATGTCTAGTATCGTTATCATAAGAAACGCGCCTTTTATATTAGGACAGAAAATCAAAAAGGTCAGGCACAGGTTCTATAATCGGGCACAAAGATAAAAGACCAACACGCGTTGGGATTTCATGTATATCAGTCGTGATTAGACCGATTTTCTTCTAATTGAGTACAAATGACATGCCATGAATAGAGGAAAGCTGATTACCCGACGATTTTGTAACCTTAAAAAAACCCTTAAAATATGTTAACGTGATTAGATAATTCTTATATATGTCATCTCATCATACAAAGATAACAGATTTACAAATATAAATGAATATGTAGATGATGGTTTTGAAATTTTCAAAGAAACCTACAGCAGTGATACAAATGATAAATTCTTTATTGTGTTCCTACAACTTCCAAAAATATTATATTATATATTATATTATATAAAAATATCATATTATATTATAAACCCTCTTTAAATAAGAAAAATGGAAATTATTTTAAATATTAAGATTTTCAAATATGTCTCGTTTTTGCTTGAATAATGTTGTTTTCAGGGGTCTGTGTTTTTTTTTTTTTTTTTTTTTTTTTTTGCCCTGTTCATGATTTGTATTCTTTGTTGGATTCATGAGATTGATCACTGTTCGCTGTCTTCACATTTTTCATTTTATTTTGCTCCTTGATTTCGTTTTGTAAGTTATCTACTTAACAGTACAGGGAATTCTGTCTTGAAAAAAAAAATCGCTATAAAAATATATCTTTCCATGATATTTTCTGTAATAATCCTTCGTCTTGAGGAAATTAAATACAATCCTGCACTGTAAGATATAAATATATTTTTTAAAAAATAATAATAAAATTAAAAAATAATTGTAGAGTATATTGTAAATCTCTCTGATGATTCAAAATATTGTAAACAGAAAATGCAGTTTATAGGACAAATATCGTCTAATTGTTATATTTGTCGTAAAAATGAAATTAGTAATACTAATTTCTTTTATGTATGTAACTATTTCGTGAGTGCTGCAGCGCTGTACCCACAAATCGCTTAATCACCATTCTAAACAAGAGAGGTGCATTATAAATAAACATACATCAAGGGAAATTTTTAAGGAATTTGATTCTTGTTTTTTGCCTGAATGAAAATATACAGCTGTTCAACTTTTGAGGAGTCTAAAATCATTTTGGGCTTTGATCAATATACATTTATTGCATTAAATTAAATCTGTCTGGAAAATTCAAGACAGTCAAGAAAATCTTCAAAATGAATTAATCTTCATATTTCCCGACAAATTAATGCAATAAATTGTTTATTATACCAAAACAAGCCAAGCCTTTAAAACTATTACAAACTTTCAAATTCACTTTCATTTAAAAAAGTTACTGAAACACTTTACTGAAGACCCATGGGTACTTCACAGACAGTTGTCTTTGGTTACCTTTTTTTTTACTTTGATTTTTTTAAGCATCCTTAACGGAAAGAAGATTTCGTCACTGCTTGGCAGATGAAACCTCTCTACTATTGTAAATTTTGTAAAGTCTGATGCTCTTGGAAGTTTTCGTTCAAAGAACGATGAGTATTGCGGGAAGATGTCTCTGAAGAAGCTGATTATTTTAAAAGCATGACAACAATAGGGAAGTATGAAGTTTTATGGCCCTGTCACGTGAACGTCTAGAACCAATCAGATAGCGTGTTGTATAGAATAATTGTAATGAGGTATAATGTAATTAGTTTACCGATTGGATTTACAGAATTGGATATATCTTTTATAGGGTTAGTTTTAGATTTGATAGACTTTCGGGAAACCTGCAATTCTTTCTGTTGGCTAACAAGTAGAACACCAAGCTTCTTTCGGAAAAAAATAAAACTCAAAGAAAAATGCAAGAATTTTAGGTGCCAGTTCGTTCAAGGCAATCATAAGTTTAAACAAGTAAGGTACACTTTCTCAAGAAGCATGATATTTTAAAACTATGATTGTTGAAAACATCATATAGAAAAGTTGTCCGGTAAAATCGTACGTGGACTGGTATTTTTTTTTATTAAAAATTAATGAGCGTACTAGGCTGAAATTTTGTTCAAGTGATTTGAAAGAACAAATTAAACACTCGCTCTCAACCATAATGCACAAAAGTTTGCCAAATAAAGTAGATACTTTTAAATTAAATCCAAAATTGGAAATCTGAAATATTATCGCTATATTAACTTTTCCGTGTAGTAATCGTGTACATCAGATATGACTGGAAACGAGGTATAGTTCATAAATTTAATGATATCGTGGGTGGAACTATTAGTGTCTTAATGGTGATAATGATGTCCTGTTAATAATAACCGAATACAAACCTTGAAGAACTAGAAAGCAACTTTTACTAGTACGTCCATTATCGTCTGTCTTAAATAGAAAATACTAGTAAGCCACTTGTATGTTCTTGGGAACTAAGCGGGATGTCACTTCCACAGATTCCAGCTGCAATTGTAAAGGCTAGATTTGCTTTTCTTCTTAATATTATTTTTATTTTTTTACAAAGCTGTAAATAAAGATTTCATAACCAGCGAGTTAGTAACCGGTTTTTCTCAAACTTGAGTTCTGTATTTTGTTTTTAATTTTCAAGAGACACGAGTATGTTTAAAAACATACACCATACCTACATTTTATGCCATCATAGGCATGATATTGGAGAAAAAACTTGGGAAGAGCAGTCAGTTAGAAATGTCGTAGGTTGAAGAAGCCAATCAGAATCGTTTTAGGTGTTTCATAACATGTTACGAATACGAAAAAAAAGACAACTGCGTTGAGTGATGAAACTTAAATTTGCTAGCAGAGGAGTAGAACATTAGTAACATTCTTAACCATAAAAAATCTCAGTCTTGCATTCCAACATATTTCAAGTTGAAATCTACACCATGTATTTCCTAAGGATATTCCCAAACTGTTGATTCCAAAATTTCTTCAAATATAAACAAACTTTGCAGTGCCTAAATATTGAACATCTAAAACAAAATTCTCTCCCGATCTTTCAATTGGCGAAAAAACTTAATTTCTAAATTTATGCTAAATTGAGCTAAATGTAAATATGATGAGGAAGACCTGAACACTTTGTCAGAATGGATTAAGTGTTTTAGAAGTATATGAAAGCATCGTATTAAAAAGTTAAAAGGTAATATGCGAACCATCTATTCTTCCGTTTCACTATACCGGAGAAGATAAAGGAATTAGAAGGACTACATGAGCAATATGTTTTCGTCTTCGTTTGTAAGGCTCATTATAATAACTATTTTAGATACTAAATACTTATTTATTACATTATACAATCAGTATAGAAAGTAAGTACATAAGCAATGTTAAATGATGCATTAGAAGTGGGTACATCGGCAATGTCCGTCAATGCAGTGATGCTGGCGTCCGAAAGTGCACCTGTCATGACAGTCTGACGCCGTTGTGCATGTTGCTAAAATAAAGTTTGAATGGTTTTGTATTATATGAACCATATTTTTATGTGAAGTATGTGTTCGATTATTATTTCTTAAATTACTCTCCTTTCCAGAGTAAGTCCAATTCAATATAAATTAAATTTTACTTTTAAAAAATAATAGAGAAACAGATCATTATCACAATTTCCACAGTTATTTTAGTAATTCTAGACAATATTGATATTATAATGAAGTCATTCTATATTTAGACAGTACAATATTAATGTCTACCTCCACCTGTGGCAGCCGTTGTACAGGTACACGTGTGGAAGATACAGTGTATTTCGGATCCAGTTCCACACGTAGTGGCAGTGCAATCCTCATGACGCCTACAGTCTTCGGAATAGACTAAAAATGTAATTGTCAAACAGTCATTCTGATTCCTACAAGTATTTTTCTGTAATAACTTTTTCCTGTGAAGTTGATGCAACTGAGCTAAAGGTTAATATCTCAAGACAGGGTTCTAAACGACATACATCATTTAACCTATGTAGTTTTCTTCCAATAATCTGTTGGAATTCAGATGGGATACTAATTGTGCTGCTTCATTAGCAGACCTATTTTTGTATTCCCATGAACAAGAATTTATTCAAAAGCTTCTGAAAAGACATTTAGATATATCGACGTTTTATCAATTAACAATATTCAGTTTCATTCCTACGTTGATTCAATATATCCCACTGAACTTGAAATAAAAGACACCACAGAGTCTGACACAGCTGCTTCAAATTTGGACGTTTTACTAGAGGAAGGCGTTGTTGTCAAACTGACAATTAAACTTCATGATAAACTTGTTGACTTCAATTTTTCTATCGTATTTATTTATGTAATAATACCTTATCTTCAAATGGCGTTTATGTCTCCCAGTTGATTCGATATGCAATAGCATTTACTACTACGAACAATTTCTAAAACGAGACAGGCTACTGACAAATAAGTTGATGATACATGGATATCATTAATCTCGTTTAAAGTCAACATTTCGAAAATTATATGGTCGATACAATGACCTTGTTAGCAAATACAATCTAACGTTAAGTCGAATGGTGACTGACGTCCTTCATACAAATTGTTAGGCCATTATTTCTAACTGAATTGTCGACGGATTTTCCCGTTAACACGGTCATGACAAGGAGCACACGTGGGTGTGACCGGTCGACAGGGGATTCTTACTCTTCCATGGCACCTGATCCCATGTCTGTTTTCAGATGTAAAGTAAAAGAAATAAAAAAAAAATATTGTATTCTTCACCTTTACATTACCAGCACTTTATTTTTTTTTTACTTTACAGCAAACTTTAAAGCGATATTATTTTCATTTTTTATTATATATACAGCAAGATATTCTCAATAGTGGTACATCTGAATACTGAACATTTTCTGATATTTACCTTTATTATATTTTAGTGTTGTCAACGAGTACCCGGTTAACAGATTAACCCATCGAACGATGCGAGTATCGGTTAGGAAAACTGCTACTCGGTTACTCGGATATATAAAATTTTACATTTTAACATGTTTAAATCAGCAGAAAAAAAATGTAATTTTGTTTTTAAATTTCCTTACTTTATTTATCGTTATTTAACGATAAACTAGACATAGCGTTTTACAAAATAATTTAATAGGACCAATTTGTTTTGATAAGTATTTCACTGTTTATGTAATTGGTGGCTTTCATTGCCAAGGGATATGCAAGTTTTGAAGGCTTGAGTTAGTTATAATTACTTCACACATAGTCCGCAGTGTAAGATTAAAGAGGACGCCGCCATATACATTAAAATAATTTTTTAAAATGACTGAATTTAAATCCGTAAGGTGAAAAATATTTGACATGGAATTAACATACACGGGAAGGACAAGGAATATGCTAAACCACCTAAGATTGAAAGTCAACTCTGAAACAAGCGATATATTATGACGGACATCCTGAAAAACAGAAAAACTATTACGGGATGTTCGAGAAAATATTATTGAGAAGATATTTAATACTGTGAGTTTGTTATTAAGAATAAAGTTCATAAGCACTGTATTTGTGTTTTACATATGCCGGTACATACAAATTGTGATTTATATAGAAACGGTAACGACGTTATATATATATATATATATATATATATATATATATATATATATATATATATATATATATATATATATATATATATATATATATATATATTAGGAATGACTCTAATTCTTGGCCAAATTATTCGAGTATAACCTGGTTTGGGTCCGTTTACGCTTTATAATCCGCGAAGCGGATTATAAAACAGCGTAAACTGACCCAAACCAGGTTATACTCGAATAATTTGGCCAAGAATTAGAGTCATTCCTTATAATTTAATTCTAAAATCATTAAACAACTGTGGGTGTAAAATTTCGTTGCTTTTTATTAGTTCAAATTTGCCGCTCAATAATACAACCCTAGTAACGGAAGTGATGGGAAGCGAGGGGAGGTAAAAACTGATACATAGTCCTAGCAGCCATGTTGTTTTGTTTACATGTGGTAAGATCCAAGTTACTGTTTGAAGTTAAAGGTACATTTATTTAATCTGGAATTTTCCATGAATCCCGAGGACTGGAAATGAGAGGATTGCATGGATACAGACGATTCAGCTGGTTGTCAGGGGGGGTGTCCCCATACCAAACCAGGTTATACAGAAATAATTTGTGTTCCTTTTTGGATATTAACCAATCAGAGGCTAGAATACAAACAAAATTAAATTATATATATATATATATATATATATATATATATATATATATATATATATATATATATATATATATATATATATATATATATATATATATATATATATTTTCATTTACCATTGAGTATATATACCGCGAAAACGGATGTTTTGAGGTCTAAAGAAAAACCATCCGAGTAACTGCTTACTCGATCGCAAAAGTAAGCGAGTAAGCGGTTAATAAAAATCGTTCGATTTGACCACACTATTATATTCAAAATGATTTGAAGAGCATTTAACGAAATGTCTTCACAGTTTAGTATGCTCTAAAAGTTTATATGCAAAGACCATGTAAGGAATATCTTCACATTTTGAATTTACTCAAAAAGAGGATCTAATAACATTTCTCCGTTTTTACTCGATCTTAACTCGGCAGCCTAACTAACAGACTTACCTGCCGCGACAAGGATAGCCAAAATAAAAAAGGTTCTCATCATTGAATGGTTAAACGGACTGGTGATTAAACTTCTGGTGCATTTATATATAAGATAGAGACATATAAACACTGGTCTTTTTATGGAACACAAAGATAATGCAGAACACGTCGTGGAATTTCATGAACACAACACATAGAAGGGTGTCACGATGTCTTTTATTTTTAATCACGCCATCACTATAAAATAGGAGGAATTACATATTAAAATTTTCTCTATATTACTAGTATAGATTTTGAAACAACTGAGATCACTTCTTTGTCCTCAGTCTCTCTCTTTGTCCTTCTGTCGGGTTTCCTTTCTCATTCGTATTTATCGTATTTTTTATATTGGTTTACGTATTGTTTGTCACAAAAAAAAAAAAAAAAAGAAAAAAAAAAAAACTTTCTAAGAAATATGGGGGTAACTGGTTTTTAGACGTTTTTCTCTTCAGCATATTTTGTGCAGGGTGATATTGTATGCATGGTAAGTGTGAACGAGTAACATAAAGCTTATCTAACGAATATTGTTTGCGCTACTTCACAGCTGTTTCTTTTCTATTAATAATTGCACATACATGTACCTCACGAAAATATAATGTTATTCTCATGCATTTGATTTGTTTTCAAAGCATTCTTTTTTAGTATTGTGTTTTATTATTTCAAGAGACAACATGACGGTGGTAGTGTTCGCTGATTGAATGCCACAGGTATACTGCTTTTCTGAATTAAAGCTGAATCAGTGTTTCTTCAATTTTCAATAATGCTGCCCATAGTAACAACATTTCAGTATAGCAACCTACAATGTATGCATTGAATTGTATTCCTCTACGAATAACTTTGTATCTTACAGCTGTGAAGCCGAAAATCAACCTATACCTTCACTGTTGACCATAAGTTGGGTATGCTGATTTTGATGACTAATATTGTTTGCTGTCTGACAATGCATATTTTTGGTTTGCTGATTTATTTCTCTTGATGATTTTACAAGTGATTCTAAATTCTCATTTTCCTTATGCTGACGCTGATTTCTTTAAACAGACCTCTATATCAAAATATTTTTGTTGTATTCTGTTATGTCTCCTAGGGATGCGCTATTTTATCGGTATACCGGTATATCGCGATTTTTATTTGCGTGATACGTATCGTGATACGGAGAGTAAAATATCGGTATTTGGTACATAACTATAAATTCCGGAAATTATTCATTCAAACTATTGAATGATAATGACAGGAAGCGTAAAAAAAAATGTTGAAAACAGTTAAACAACGGCATCCAAACATGCTTTATTTTAAATAAATAAAAAAGTAAAAAGTAAAGTTATGTTTTTATAGCATACTTTTAGAAATATTATGGAAATGCATTTGAAATTGTAGTGAAAATTGTGTGTAAAAATATCAGGATTTATCGTGATATATTTGGGGGAAAATCGTAATATATCACGATACGAAATTTTTGCCGATACCCATCCCTAATGTCTCCTAACTGATTCAATAAGCAAGAGAACGTTCTGTGAACAACTGACATATACATTGATGTAACAGGGGGTTTAAGAGTATCCTTTTGGAGTCTGCATTTCGAAAATTCTATAGTCGATAAATTGACTTTGTTTGCAAATACAACCTATCCTTTGGACGAATGTTTCATATCAGATTTTGGGACTACGGACTTCTCCGTATACTTTATCAATACACAGGGTTCAAGACGGGCAGACTAAGGGGTTTACTCTTACACATATTATCAAATTTACATGTTACATACTTAACACTGTTTTGAATTTGTGTTCTATTTACATTCACTAAATATTTTCTCTATTTTTTCTTATGGAAACCCATTGCCGTTACTAGTAAAACTGTTTTTATAGCCATCTGTTTGAAAGATATCTTAAGAAGTGAGCTCTTCCATCAGTGTAAGATACGGACCAATATAACAATACTTTTCATCCACTCTATTGGAATGATATACATGTATACGGATGTAAATATAAACAAAAAACTTATCTTTTTGTTTTTCAATGCCGGGAATAACGGTTGCAATCTTTACAGCAAAAATAACATAATTTACAACAAACAACGAAAGCATTTTATTTTTTAAATCGTAAGGAAGTATTAGACGACATTTCATTATCTCCGCCTGTATGGAATTAAATGGGGACATTGTTCATAGCGTGATCTAACAGACGCTTCATTGTTATCTCTATATTTTTTTTTAGATAAGGATGGGATATTGTACATACTCAGGAAATACAGTGTTCCTGTGGTTTGAACAGTGAACTACACAGTCTGAGTAAGGGACAAAAAGTGGTAGTAATGCCTTTGTCAAACATCAATTGGTGGATATTATTTTTTTTAATTTATACGCTATTCCAATTTTCTGGAGTAGCAAAATCATTGTTGAAAAAATAAACTCTTGTATGAATATTATGCATGTTAAAGCAAAACAATATTAACCATAGCAAGTTCTAAGAGATTTCATGCCCAAGCGATGCTGGGAAATTAAGGAAGACGGAAATTGTTTTATTTTCCCAATTGAAAATGCAACAAACAATGTATGGCATATTCTACCACAGTTATTGACGAGATCTAAGAAATGCCGCGGACATTATTCTCCAATAAATCACAAACGTCATCAAAAATTATCAGATCAGAAGCACATGTCAAACCTGTACAGTTGAAATAAATATTTCAATGTAGAATCTAATACTTATTTAGACCATATCGATGTGTCGTCTTACGCAGTCTAAATAGTGTGTATTGCCTAAAACAGCTGATAAATATCCTTTTTATAGCCAAGTCGGGCTGTTCCACGGACCTCCACACAACATTTACACTCCATGATTTTACAATTAAAGCAATGAAATAGACAGCTGATTTTGTTATTTTACATTCATAAAAAATTAATCAATATATGATACAAACAAATTTATAAATAATTAAAGGATATTTTTAACCCAACGAAAGCTGAAACCGTCTGCATTTTATGCAATTAATACAGAAGTAAAGAAACAAATTGACTCTGGTGTTAAATGGAACAGCAAAATCGCGACATGGTGACCTAATTCGTTTCTCTATAGAGAAAACGATCAGTCGTATTTTAGAGCTGTTAGTAGAATAGAAATAAAGTCCTTGTTGTCGTGAATGATGCAGGATAACCTCCTCGGTCTCGAAATGTTGTCTGAAATATAAAAGCCTCGGCTAACGCCTCGGACTTCTGTTCGTTAACTTTATATTTCATAAGAGATATCTCTCTCTGTATTCTTTTTTATTCGGTATATACATTATGCAAACTTTTTTTCATGAATTTCATAAAGTAAAATTAAGGCATTCCAAAAGAAAATGAAAAATCATATTTTAATACATAAGAACGAAACTTCATTTAAAATTTTGTTGAAAACTTTTATATCTAACAAGTTCTGATAAAGATGAATTCTAGTTTGCCATTTTGCAGTTTTTAAATAACTCCTTGATCTCCGCTATAAATTGGTGGTCTAGAAAAGCGTAGATGAATGGATTTACGACATTGTTTATGATGTACATTCTGTAAACAAATAAAATGCCAGCTCTTGTAGAATCTGAAAATTCCTCCCAAAATTTGGGATTCATCGCTTCTAGCATCATGATGATGACCTTTGGGATGTAACAGATGAGGAAAATGATGGTAATAAGCATGAACATAAGGGTAAACTTATAGACGACTCTCTTGTTGGCTTGTTCTTTTCTTCGTTTTGCACTTGACTTATACAGAGCTGGATTTCCTTGAGGTGGCACACCAGTTGTAGTAATCAATGTACCTGTAGATTGGGGAGTGGAAGAAGCAGCTGAGGTTACTGAATTGCCCACTTCGATAGAATAAACTTCAATTTCTGAGTCACTATGTAGGTTCTCGCCACTGGAGAATCCAGCCTGTAAGTTACAGTCCATTATATTGGGAGGGTTTTCAGCGGTCGCATTCCTATTTTTCTTGCGAATGGTTTTCTTGTGTTTGAAATGTTTAAGGATAGTATATCCTATTCTAGAGTAGAGACAAATAAGTGCAACAATAACAGAGACTGTGCTAAGAACTATAACACTTCCAAAAATCAAAGATTCTGTTTTATTGACGGTTTTCAACCGACTACATTGTTGACCAAAGATTCCTTCTTCCTTATTTGGGAAGGGCACTGATCCATGAAAATAAGCCATTGGTGCGGCTAATATAAACGCTACAAGTACCCCTAAACAAAGGGCTAGTCTTTTCCATTTAAGTGTCATTTGTTTTCTAAAAGGTTTGCATACCTTTAAATATCTGTGCACAGCTATGATGAGAAGAAAAAGAACCGAAGTAAAAGAAGAGAACGATCCAAAAAACCGTAAGAATTTACATAAATCTGTGTTACTGAATGTTACCTGCGTCATGTTCATAGCTATTGCGATGACAGCACAAGAAAGGGATGTGATTAGATCCATAAAGGCAAGAACGGGAATAAAATACCTCTCCTCATTGTTGCCTTTCATCTTAAAACCGTAAATAAGAATAACTGTAACATTTCCCAGCAGACCAATTGTAATGTATAAGGACAAAATCACATTATTTAGGACTAGTCCTCTCGCCAGTTCATTATTCCATTTCTCCAATTTTTCCAATAAAGAGGTTGTGTTATTCATAACTATGGACTGGTTTCTGAAGTTATAAGAAGTTTCTGGTTCCCTGATGACTCGTACATTTCGTTTAACTTGCTTTGTGGTTTCCTTGTAGATGATGAAGCATGCAGGATGTTTATTTTTATTTTTAGTGTGACTAAATGTACTTAAAACAAAAATTATAATTTTTTTATACAACTATTGCCCCTTCAAAAATTAGTAATGATATCAATAACGAAAGTTAATTGTATGTATTTTACAAAAAGTCACTTTTTCACATAATAGAAGAATAATCCTTACGAATACAATAGTATAATGCTTTTTTCTCTGATAAACAGCTCTGCTCCCGATTTGTATTGTTTTAATGGACTTTGAGCTTGAATACTTTCGTGATCTCCATATTTCATAGTATTATTCATCATCAACAATGTTTGTTGTATTTTTTGTCGAATCGTAACTGTTTTTTATAATCTGTGACATAGAGTTCTATTTACTGTACTGTGGGTTACACAGTAACTATTGGATTCTATTCCGTGTCTTACAGTTCTATGTAATTTTACTATGGATATTGCAATTCTGTTTGTTTGAACTCTGGGTCATACTGTAACTATTTCTTTGTAATGTTATAATACAGATATGCTTCTTTTACAGGATTTATATTTGGGATCTTTGGCGAAGTGTGTGATCAAGTGCAGCAAATTCATGATCGCCACCCAAATGTAAATATATAATTGAAATGATAACATTAATTCATGATTGCCCCCAAGTGTCTGACCAAAATTTGCACTAAAAACATTTATTAAAGGAGGGAAATATATGTAGAATACATTTTTAATAATATTGCATGTCATATAAGGATATTGTTTTTTATTCATTCAAACACACTTCAGCAATTACTAAACTGCAATATTATTTCGAAAGATTTTCGAAATATGAGTTTAGTATCATACTTCCCTGAAAGAGATTCTGATGTAGTCGAAGTTCAGCATTCTACTATCTTCATTGCCTAAAGATTATGTACAGACTGTGGACAAAAGAATTCGCACGATGATGGCGGCCATTTTGTTTTTAGAAAACACTTGCCGGTAATCAAACGTGTTTATGTAATTTCTGAATTGAACAAATAAATTGTCTTGTGCAAAACATTGCAGACAAATATTTCATATTTAACGTAAAATTAATAAAAATGAAGAAAACAAGGTATTATTTTAATATTTTCATTTTTGTGATGTACCCACGGACCTGTTGAACTCGGCGCACTCGTTTTGTAAGCGATGCATACAGATGTTTTACATATTCTATTGTAAATGAAATCCAAATTTCAAAACTTTGTCAGTCAGTTCATCAACTGAATTTATCATGTAAATGTGACTTTGAAGCTTTCTTTTGATTGCCAAACATATAATTTCTATGGGATTCAAATCAGGTGACTGTGCGGGCCACTCCAATGTTGGGATATTGTTGTTATCTTTGTAATTTGTGGAAATATGAGATCGATGGACGGGTGCATTGTCATCCATATATAGACAATTATTATCAGGAAAGTGCCTTGCTACCACAGCCCACAAGTTATTTTCCAAAATAGCTATGTATTTTTCAGAATTTATGTTGCCATTCACTCTACAAAGCGTACCAACGCCATGATATGTAATGCATCCCCAGATCATGACTCTAATTTTTTACTAGTTCCTGGGGAAATGCAGTCCGGCAGCCAGGATTCGTCACTTTTTCTCCACATATATATATATATATATATACGTGTAAACTCTATAGTCATTTCCAATGACACTTTGACTTTCGTCAGAGAAAATTATTTTTTCCAGTCATTTTCAACGGTCCAGTTTCTTTTACATGAAATATATGGAGATAACGAACAGTATTCAAGCTCAAAAGTCCATTAAACAACAATAGGAGCAGAGCAAACACGGACATCCAAACATCAGAGGTGGGATCAGGTGCCATGGAGGAGTGAGCATCCCCTGCTGACCAGTCACACCCGCCGTGTGCTCCTTGTCATGATCGGGAAATAACGGGAAAATCCTTCGACAATTCAGTGTGTAAATAATGGCCTAACAATTAGTATGAAAAACGAATTGTGCATATACTAAGAGAGACAACCTGAGTTGTACAACAAGCGATATAAACACATTTTAAAAATGACGCCATCGTGCGAACACTTTTGTCCACAGTCTGTGGACAAATTTCACTCTCTATTTTGTTACTTGTGCCTTTGTATTGTCTATTGATATTATCAGTGCATTTCGTACTTGTACATGTATAAATCATTCAATCGATACCCATATGATTTTGACGTTTATATTCTATCTATTTTAGGTTCTTTTTTAAGCTTTCGTTAAAGATAACGAACTGTGATTGATCCCATAATACCTACCAACAAATATGGGAATAGAACAGAAAAACACGGACCTTTCGAAATCCAGAGGTGGGATAACATGTAGATGCCTAGCAGGAGTAAGCATTAAGTTGAGATTAAAAAGATGCTTGAGTTTCTAATTGACAATATCTATATGGTTTTTAGAGACCAGTTCTTCCAACTATCTGTTGGAATTCCCATGGGTACCAATTGCACCCCGTTTTAGCAGACCTATTTTGCATTCATATGAAGCAGTATTCAAAATCTTACGAGTATATATGACAAAGAGAAATCTCTTGCTGTGGCCTTCAACTCGACATTTAGATATATCGACGACGTATTATCAATTAACAATAGTTATTTTCATTCATATGTCGACACGATATATCCCAGTGAGGTTAAAATAAAGAAACCACAGAGTCTGACACATCTGTTTCATATTTGGACATTTTACTAGAAAAGACGTTAATGGTAATCTAATGACAAAGCTTTATGATAAACGTGACGAGTTCATCTTAAAATCGTCAACTTCCCTTACTTATGCAGCAATATATCCTTATCACCTGCATATGGGGTGTATATATCTCTCAGTTGATTCGATACGCAAGATCATGTTCTACCTTACACTGAATTGTCGACGGTTTTCCCCCCGTTATTTCTCGATTACGACAAGGAGCACACGGCGGGTATGACTGGTCGGCAGGGGATGCTCACTCCTCTATGGCACCTGATCCTACCTCTGATGCTTTTGGAGGTCCATGTTTGCTCTGCTTCCGATTTGTATTGTTTTAATGTACTTTTAACTTGAATACTATTCGTTATCTCCATATTTCATTCAGAACACTTGGCCATTTTGCTTGTTTACCAAGAAGCATTGTGCTTTCTTAATGTGAATTTATTCTATTTAGTTCTTGAAATTTTAAATATAAATTTCTTGAATGATGCGGTAATCAACACTTTCTAAAGTTGGCCTATTAAAACCATGAATGACCACAAGGTGGCAAAAACTATTGATATTCTAAGATTTAAATCCATTATTTTTAATACTAATACATGTACAATTAAAAAGCATGTTCTTTCTAGATTATTAAAATATCTCTATAATATTTCAGTCTTAAAAGTGGGAACATAAGGAATCGACATTCCGTCGATGCAATGGAAGTCGGAACATCGGCAATATCATATAGGAAAAAAAAACATTAACGTGCAATGTACTTCCCTTAAAGAGATTTTGATGTATTTGAAGTTCAGATTACTACTTTAGTGACATGTAGATTATATAGTACAATTGTCTATTGATATTAGTACATACATATTTGTTTCTATCAATATTATGTCCATTTTTCTACTTTTATCTCAATACACAAAAGTCGGCTCGAGTAATGGATTTACTTCAATATTGGAACACTCTTGGCCCATATTAAGTTATACTAGTCGTACTTGGAATATAGCAAAATTATTGCCTCTTCTTAAGCAAATCAGAACGCTCAGATCTTATAACATCGAAATTTAGCATTCGAAATTGGTCACTGTCACTTTTGCGAAAACTGTCCAAAGAAAATGCCTTGTTAAACTAATCTTTTTTCATTTCCTGCCTTCCTTTTTCTCATTTTTGTCATATCTATTTGTACTGTAGTCATATGTTTGTTAAATTAGGTTATCTATTCTACATGTATAGCAAGAATTATAGAAGTCATGTAGGTGTCAAAGGCTATTGGTATGCTTAGATGTTAACACTGAAGAAAGATAGAATCTAAAATCCTGTACTATCTACATATCATTTAATTATAAATAAGATGTTCAGTTTTAAAAGTGGGTACATCGGCAATGTCCGTCAATGCAGTGATGCTGGCGTCCAAAGCTGCACCTGTCATGGCACTCTGACACTGAGGTGCATGTTGCTAAAAATAGAGTTTTTATTCTTGTATTTTCTTTAAAACTTAGGGAAAATGCTCGACAAAAAATTGATCTTTTCATTTATAGCGAGTCTTCAGTATTTTCGTTTATTTTATTTCTATCAAATGATGTATGAAAAGTGTGCCAAAAATAAAACTTCTTTTTTTTCATGTTATTTGAGAAAAGCTACAAAGAGAGGCAACAATACGTACAACCACTACTGGCAGCTATTGTACACGTGCACGTGTGGAAGATACAATGCATTTCAGCCCCCGTGCTGCAAATTGTGTTCTTACATTCCTCGTGACGTCGGCATGTCTCGGAATATACTGAAAGAATTTATCGCATCAACTTTGTATTTGAAATACCTTTTTACTTTTCTAAATCAATCAATCAGTTTATTCACTCAAACCATACAACATGGTACATGAGGGACATAAAGTATAAATCATATGTATTAAATCGTCAGAGGTACATACAACATATATATACATAAATAAATATTTTACAACTGCATGTAAAAGAATAGACATATAGTATTTACAGTATGTATGTATTCAATGCAAAGAAAACACCAGGAGGACAATAAAGGGGAACAGACAGTCTCAAAGATTTTTGAAATAAATGTACAAAGTTTTCTTAACGATTTAACATTTGAATTTGCCATGAGTTCATAGAACTTTACAACATTTGATGTTGCTGATATATTTTATATAATTCTTTCCCTTTCAGAGAGAGAGAGAGAGAGAGAGAGAGAGAGAGATAGATTAACATTCTTTTCGATAGCATATTAACTTTGATATATTTGCTTTTGGATTATGACCAATTGTTACAAAAACGAAGATTTTTTTAAAAAATCAAGTTACTGCAATTAAAACACATTCAACAATTTGGAGTTAATGATATTTGTAGTGTATAATTCTGATATAGTGCTGTTTTCGAAGAACTCCCTGTGAGAAGAATGGCAAAAAGTATAATAAGAGTTATAATGTTTACTAGAGAAACATTTTTTTTAACGAAACAGTCTAGCTGCTTATTTAAAAAACGAAAGTACATTTTTTTAATGTAGGTAATACCCGTAGCAACGTTTATGAAGGGCTAAACCCTAAACTGCGCGATGTTAGATGGGGGGTCGAACTTTTCTCTAACTATTCCATACATTTTCTTTTTTTAATGCTGGAATTTACCAGTGTTCGACTGTACAGCAACAAACAGAGAGGAAACAGCTTCCAAATGAAAATTTACATAGTTAAAATACATTAAAAAAACTATTCTTAGAAAAAGTACTCCCGTAAACTACGCCTGGTTTAATGATCACCTTATATTACTAGCAGTGTACTTTATAACAATTCATCTATCTACATACCTGCTACAATCAGGAGAGCGAAAACAAAGATGATTCTCATGATGGCGAATATGGCTTCAAATTTCTCGTCTACCTATCTTCCTGACGTGTGTGAAACAACTGGTCCTATAAGTAATGGTCAAGCTGTCAAACGGTCAGAGGTCAGTCAAAATGAGCACGCGCGATCTACTTTCCTACTATTCCGGACTAATCAAACACTGTATATTGTGAAATTCTGAACTTTCTCATGACCATTCCTTCGCAAGAAACGACCATTATCAATGAATGGTGTAAAGAATTCTGAAATATTTGATAAACACACTATTGTTTACTTATCCAAGTAAACCTACATTCTTAACCCCTGCTGGTATGTTTAAAGACATGTACTTATTTTCAAGGTTTGTAACAGTGTATAGATATGAAAAAAGAGAACATTCCTACTTGTATGAAATAATAATTATACTTGAATGAAGTAATCATTATACTTGTATGAAGTAATCATTAAGGGATCTTAAGTAATACATTATTTTTCATCATAGTAATTTTATTATTTATTACAGAAAATAAGCTTAAGGGTTTTCCAGCAATTCATAATTCAGGTAGTAATTGCACGTATCCTAGAAATTTTTAAAGCAATTTTTTTGCAATTCCTATTTGAAACACACGCGCGCGTATTTCATGGAGTGAAGAAATCCAAATAAATGCTGTATGAAGAATCAATATTTTAGGCCACAATAAGGATGTCTCCTCTTTGAAAAAATCTATAGTCTTTAGAGATCGCAGGATTAAACTATACCATTCAGTTACTGTAAGATAAATGAAAGTTTACTGAAAGATGACTGAATGGCATAAGTTTGTCATTAAGTCACCTTTCCAGACCTTTCAGTAAATATCAAGTTCACCGAATGGCGTGGTTTTATCCTTAGGACAGTTCATTCTTTCAAGAATAGTTAAGAATTCCCACTGGTACTAATATTGTATCCCTTATCTTAGCCGACCTGTTTTAATATTGTTATGAAGCAAAACGTTTGATTGTAAAGAGGTATTTTGCTTTAGCCTTCTATTCCGGATATAGATGTGTTAAGTATAATTTATACATATCATCATTTAACATCATATTCATTTTCGTTCATATGTTGATTCGATATGTTCCATTGCACTCGGAAGTCAGATACCACAGAGTTTGACTATCTGTTGTATATTTGGTTGTTTTACAAGGAAAAGACATTGACTGCAAGCTATGTTCTAAACTTCAACTTTTCTATCAAATTTTCTTATTTACGTTAAAATACACAACAAATACCCGTACATAGTGTTAAAACCTCCAAGACTCCTAAAATCAAGCAAGTTAATGTTTCAAGGGTATCAACATCTCATTAGTAGTCAATTCTATGATCATACAATGATCTTGTTTGCAAAGCGACAGAAAGCGGGTGTGACCAATCGCTTCTAAAATTTTCAATTCCATAGTATTTTTGCTTGGTGCAGGAAAATTTAGTTTATTCAAATGAATAAATATATTTCACATTGCAAATAAACTAAATTGTTCTTAGAAATTAGTCCATTAGCCTAAGGAATAATTGTAAAAATAGATTTCAAGAAATACAGGAAATGTTTATGCCATTTCGATGGATTCAGGAATTATCTAACATCGCTTGGATTTACATTTTTAACTCCTGATTCAGTGACTTCATGAAATCCCAAATAACATTTATTCCCTGTAATTGTGATGTAACACGGAGAAAAGAACTATTTACAATAGGAGCTGTTAAAAGTAACGATTTTAAAAATTTAGGGAAAAGATGTTTTTCGTGATTCAAAACAAAAATACATACATGGATACGAATTGTAGGTTCAAATTCCAAGATTCAAGTGATTATTTCTAGAGATTTTCAATATCATATCGGGCTTATATTTAACGAAGAAATTACGTGTGACAGAGACTCATTGAATGAATGAATGATGAAGCTACGAAAATATTTTGGGATGACATTATCGCTATCCTGTATGTACTTGTAAGGTCGAGATTTTAAAATGTAAGGAATGTAATACGAAGATAACGAACAGTAATCAAGTTCAAAAGTCCATTAAAACAATACAAATTGTGAGCAGAGCAGAGACCTCTAAAAACATCGGAAGAAGGCATCGGTACATTCGCACTAATTTTCAAATTGCAGATTTCTGGTACATAAACCATACCAGGTACTGTACTGTAATAGAATATAAAAATATAAAGCTATATAGCATACTTTCAGTTTTCTTTCAATAGAGCTATCATCATGGATACTTTCTTTGGTCACTCGAAATCTCTATATAATTTATCAATTTTACTCAGTTACACGACTCCATAACACTTTTTGAGCATTACAGGGCGGTATTTCTACATAAACTTTTGTGGTTGCTTTACATGAGTTATTAGGTTGCAAACATAGTGTGGCATAATAGCCCACATCCGGAACAGGTGATAATGGTAATAGGCACCAACGCAGCAATGATGGAGGTAAAAAACCATTCTGCAAAACAGAAAAGAAAATTCTTATCATAATCAAAAGGTGTAGCTTATGTAATGATTTCCGTTGCTTAGTACTGAAGATTATATAATGTCTTGTGCATACAGAAAACTATAATTGATGCAATTAAGATTTGTTAATTTTGGTCAGTTGAATGTCAAAGCTTACGTGGTGGCTTGTACACCGTCTTTTTGATTGGTTTTTTGATGTTCACTGTCAGAATTCCCTGGGCCCGATCCTCAGTATCATCACAACACATGTACACCAGATATGAATTAAAGTCATCGTACACAAATTTAGCTATGCTGGTGGTCGTCACGTGGTACACGCTGGAGCCGGGAGGGTCATTCGTCACGTTAAAGTTGAACGTCTGTGGGTGAGTGTTGGACAAAGTGCAACACACGGGGTCACCGTATGCGTCGGTGACATTGGTCGTGTAAATGATTTTATTTGGGGGCGTGTCCTCCTCAATTGAAATAGAGTTGGGAAGGGAATGTATGAAGGGAGGCTAAAAAAAAACAGTTGTTAGCACTAAAGTTATTAAGCAAGGTACGTACAATGCACTCTGTTAAAGGTGCATGTATCTAAGCTAGATTAAAATGTAAAATGATAATTGGAAGTACCTTTTCAATTCAACCTGCGGTACTGTTTAAGTAAACTGATGTTACTTACAACAATCGCTTTCTGGCATCTTCAGAAATGAAAATTTAAGAATCCAAAATTTCTGGGGGATTTAAATCAACCATTTAAAAAAAGTTTCTTGGTATTTCTATAGATAAACTTTGCTTTTAAAACTTACTTGTGGTTTTCTAGTTATATTAACACATCTACGTGGTTTGTCAATGAAAAAATTGTATCCGTCTATGTTGCTTAAGTTAAATAAAATGGAGATTAAATAAAATAAAGGAAAAATAAATGTTTCGTCTCCATAAAGTGAAACTATAACGATCGAGTAACTTTGTAAATTGTCTTACCCAGTTTTGAGTGGTGATCTCGAGTAATATTGTGGCCTTGTTATCACAAGAATCCTCAGCATTTACTGTCATATGGTACATGTTTAAGTTCCTAGACTGAATCAAGCGCCGTGTAGTTCTCACTCTTCCTGCCAACAAATAATCAAGTTATAGTTTAAATACGTTGTTAAGAATGGGATCTAGAATGAATTAAAGTCCCCCTGTTCCCCCTGCTTATTACCTTTAGAGTTTACTGTGAAATATGTCCATGTTTGATTGGGATCTATTGCATCAGGTAGGAGTTGATAAGTAACATCTTCCATATAGTCCACGCCCTCCAAACGTAGATCCGCCACATAGCCACCGGCCTCAATATGATCCCTAACACTTATGTTCTGTGATGGGAACTGGATAGGTGTATCTAAGAAAATGAATATTGGAATGTTTTACTTCAATTGACAAAAAGTAGACAGGGACCATTTTATCAGACCGAGAAATTTGAGCGAACTGTTTGTCCATACTGTCTTCTAGTGTAAATCTAACAGCATAAGCCACGCCTGACAGGGTGGTAGAGTCTTTGTCCCAGTCAAACTCAATCCCAGCTGCCAGATTACCGACGCCAACAGCTTTCCGGGTTTTGGTCGGACACCACGGGGATCCTGCACAATTTCCATACGTCACTACATTTTCTGCGATGCAGCGCCTAAAGTCCGACAAAATGGTTTCACATATTTTTGTACGTAATACTTTGATATGTGACTTCTTTTTTAAAATGTGTACTTCTAAATTTTTATTTACTCATCAATCAAATTTTATTGTTTTGGGTTCTTCTTTTGTTTTTTCTAGATTATTTTTTTTCTTTTCTTTGCACTACGTGTATATCAATATTGGATATAATTAATATCCTAGCATTCAAAGTCTTATTTCAAATATCCTAAGATATTTAAGATTTCATTTTCTCTGTTAAAGGTATTTACCATCCAATCAAATCTCCTGATATAACAGCTATTCTTTCATTATCTAACACAGAAAAATTCGTGGTATTGGCTCCTATTAGAAAATAATGAAAATGAACTTTGTTTTAAACAGTTTCCACATAAATCAAAGATACATATTCTTTATCATTTCTTTCTTTTTCTTTTTCTTTCGCATTATTGGTTAATAAATGGGCACCAACCGTCGACTAAAATTGAATTGAATCCCACAATTTTGTATTTGCCAACAGCTGTCGGTCTCCAGACTATTAAATCTAGATAACCGGAAACGGAGTGGTGGATCTCCCATTCTGAGATCCGCCCGCAGCAAGTCATGATGAAAGTAGCATCAGCCAATAAATACATTTTATCTACAAAACAATGCAAAATTAAGATGCACAAATATAAGAAAAGGTCTACATTTATGTAGAAAAGACACGTGATACTTACCAACGTCATTGTCTACACCAGACTTAAGCGAATTGAAATCAGTGTACGACATTGATTTTTTCCCACATTCTAAAAGAGACAAATTGAAAATATTGGAAGCTGGTGATAAAAAATGATTTACAATTTGTCACAAAATGAAATGTGTAACCGTTTAATGAGTTTAGTTGCTGTGAGAATTTTATTCAGGGTTGTCTTACTTGCTTGTGGAGGCTTTGTGGTAGTTTGAGCTACTGTTGTTGTAGATGCCGAACCAGTTGTTGATTGTGTGGTAGTATCTAATAGTGAAGTAGTAGATACTGATATTGGCACTGTTGATGTGACAGCTTGGGATGTTGTCACAGTTTTTGGCTGTGTTGTTGTGGTAGCTTGAGATGTTGTCTTAGTTGTTGTCCCTATTGAAGTTGTTTCTTGTGTTGTTGATGTTGTAATTTGTGATGTCAAAGTTGTTGACTCTGATGATGTTGTGCCTTGAGATGTGGTTTTTAGCTCTGTTACTGTTGTTCCTTGAGTTTCTGTCTTTGTCGAATCTGTTGATCTTGGTACTTGAGAAGTCGTGGTTTTCAGTTCTGCCGTTGTGGTGCCCTGAGAACTTGTTGTTGTTGATGTTGTTACTTGAAAAGTTGTCGTAGTTGTTGGCTGTGTTGTTTTAGAAGCTTGAGATGTTGTCGTGATTGTTGTTTCTGTTGGAGTGGTAACCTGGGATGATGTCAAAGTTGTTGGCTGTGTTGATGTTGTAGCCTGAGCCGTAGTTTTCGGCTCTGTTGATGTAAGAGCCTGAGTTGTAGTTGTCGGCTCTGTTGATGCTGTAGCCTGAGATGTTGTCGTGGTAGTTGATTCTGTTGGTTTGGTAGCCTCTGTTGTTGTTGTGCTAGTTGTCTCTGTTGGCGTGGTAGCTTCAGGTGTCGTTGTAATGACCTGTGTGGTGGTTGTTGTTTGTGTAGTTGTTGTTGTTATCTGGCATGTTGTGATGGCTGTGAGAACGTCAGATTCTATAGATGAAAGTGTGGAGTAAGAGGAGGCATAGAAATACTTTTCTTCATCCCCAACAGTATTCTTCCATTCTGATGAAGAGCCACTTCTAATGTCTGGAAAATAAATCAATACAGCTACTGTTACATGAAATTAAACTGCGAATACGGGAAAATGACATTCCATAGATAACTAATGGCAGAATTAAATATAAATTCAGCCCATTGAAATAATAATGACTACTCTAGTACTTTTGTGTTTGAGTTCTAATGAAATCGTGACTTTTTATCTTATTTAGTAGTCATGTTCAAACATATAACTAGTGACAGAGCCCAAAACAGCGGACACAAACTACCGCCACTAATTATACTTAAGAGATGAGACATACTCTTTGAAATACCACGTTGTGCTTGAAGCTTTTTTCATCTACAAAAGGACTGCAAAATCGCTTCATATATGTATCAAAACCCAACTCTTCAGGCTTAAAAGACACATGTCTAGATTTTTTCATTATAGCAAGGTAATATTCAAGGAATCTAAAACTATACTTTCTGACAATCTGTTTAAAATACTAGTAACTTTGATATACAATTCATATTATAAAAATTCTGATTTTGAGAGAAAAAGTAAGGGATCAGTTTTAAAGAGATCTTTGTAACTCTTATAACAATGTCCTTGAGAAAAAAGACAGGATGTAACAGATAGGCAAAGTGCAATGGATGGAAAAATACCTGACAAAACACATTAAGTGGAATAAGCACTATAGGTAAGCTTAATACATTGCAATAAATAGATACCTATAGCAAAAATATGATTGGTCGGATTCTGACGTATCTGTTGCCCCTGAGTTGCCGTTCCTGAGCGACTGCCATCAACAGAAAACACATAGAAGTTGTCGGCATCAGCTCGATCTCCGTTGGCTGTTGTAAAGATGTTGGTCTCGGCATAAGCGAGGGCGTTGTCAATGTTATTGCTTGACACAGTCTTTTCATCCGGAATTTGTTTAAGTGCATAAACGACCTCAGTGGCAGTAGAGTACGTTGAAAGGTGAAAAATGGTTGTTTCGTCGCTGTTGTACGTTATAGCAGCGATTCTGACAGTATCTGGTGATACGTTTATTTGAGATGCGAGGTTAGCAAAGAAGTATTTTAAGAAGAGGAAGTTTTCATCCTTCGACGAAGAACTTGTTTCAATTATAAATAGGACGTCTAACTTGCAATCTTCAAATAAGTAAAGTTTTTTTTAATTTTCATATTCAAGGTAAAACTATCAATCTTACTACATTCAGACTTTTAGATTACTGCTGAAATTGATAATTACATGTATACTGAAGATAACAATTCCAACACTGCTTTTAAAAGCAAAATTTATCTTCCAAAATTAACAAAATCGTTGTATAACATGATAAAAAATAATTTATAAAAAAGGGAACTCTGTGCGTATTTTTGTTAAATTAAACCATTGCTTTACAAGTGACCAGTTTGTTGACTCTTACCCGGCGTAGTGATATTAACAGTAGTAGGAGTGGACGTTGGACAGTTGGTGAAGTTTGACAGGAAGTTTTGGTTATTGCAGGTCAGACTGGTGAAGGATGGCCAGGAGAAGAAATGGTCCGAGTCCACCGCTGATCGGTAAGTCATGGTACTGGAGTAATCTATCACTGGAGAAAAATCAAGATTAGCCAAGATCAGGATATGAAGACATATAAATACATTGAAATTTGCTTTCACAAGTGAATGTAAATCTTACTTTCAATTTATTTTAACAAGAAGTTTTGATTTTCAATAATAAACTATGCACAGATTAGACTGTCAAAATTGAGCATCAAACAATAGACCAAATATATATCTACTGGAGGTAAATTTTAGTCCTTAGTTGACCAAACCTAAGATGAAGACTTCGTTGTTAGGATCTGACGTCAGCACAGGCACGTAATCTTCTATATCACCGTAATCATAGCCGTGAGTCAGAAAGACATAGTAATCCAATGCATCAATCCGATCTCCATTGTTCTTTGAGAATACATTCTCTGACGCGTACTCTATGGCTCTGTCTGCATATCTATACGATCGACCATAGACACTGTTGGCCCGGGCAATATTCTGGATAGCAGTTTGTATATCTGCTGACGTGTTGTATCGGTCCAGAGAGAATACCATGTAGCCATCGTCTCCGTAGGTCATTACAGCTACTTTGAAACCATCATCGGAAATATTGATTCTCTTCATCAAGTCAATGACAAAGGATTTCTGGTCCTCAAATTCCGTGGCTGACATGCCAGTGGTGTCATCCAAGAGGAATACTAGGTCTATTTTACATAAAGGGGACACTGAAAGGAATCATGAAAGCTTCATTAATGAATGTTTATCAACAAAATTAAAAAAAAAAACAAATTTTTTTAACCGGTGAGATATTTCAAAACCGCTTTGGTATATATAACAACAATTGAAAGTTTGCAACAAAAAATATTGCAAGTAAAGATTGATACACATTTCCGTAGACACCGCGGCGAATATTGGATTAGAAAACTAGGCACGACCTTTCCATATGGATGTATTGAAAATGTCAATAGTGTTGAGAATCTTTCCAGTCCACAGTGTAGCACTATAAATGTGATCGGACTTTTCAGCCATACACAGAGACGTAAGCATAGTCAAGGACATCGGTCTTACAATAAACTTTTAATTCACGATGTCTTCTTTATTACTACCTAATATAAATCAACAGTTCGGTCTTCATCACATTCGCAACAAACTTTACTCTGTCCCTTTGACACTTTTAAATAGTCTTCTTGAAAAGGTCAAAGAAAGTTCATATTTGGATTCATTGACACCAGAATTAAGACACGGATCTATAATTATAAATATTGCAAATCATAGGCTTTTTAAACCGCCACGTTTTATGGAAGAAAATACAGCTAAAACAACCCGTTTTCCCATAAACTTCAATGTGACAACAAATGAATTGACGCGGTTAATATAAGCAATATTCTTATTCACAGAAGGGTCCAGTCTTGTATTCCACAATATTCCAAGATGAAGACTCACCTTGCAATTCTTACAAATTTGGATCGACTACTGTTTCCAAAAATTTTAATTACAAGAAAACTTTAAAGAGCCTAGATATCGAACATCTAAAACGTAGTTCTCCATCGTGCTCATGTTCTTCTTTATCCTACAACTATATGGACACTTTATTACTGGTGACGTAAATCTAGTTCATAATGAGGATCTTAAATCGCTTATTTTAAAAGGGCCAAAATTTAGGGAACCCCTATCTTTCAACTGGCGTCATTATTTCATAAATATTATCAATTCAGTGGAAAATTACGCCAAGCGATGGGCTAGACATGAAAAAGAATACCTTGACACTTTGTCAGCATGGATTAAATGTATCAAATGTATGCTAAAGTATCGCTTTTAGCGATTTAGGGGGCAATATGAAAACCATCTATTCTTCTATATTCAAGAATTCAGAAGTGAAAACAGAATTGAATAGATTACACAATAAGTATATACTGGTCCAAGCTGACAAAGGAGGTAATAACGTTGTCTTTGTTTGTAAGGCTCATTATTTGAATCGTATTTTAGAGAAACTGGGATTTAAATTTATTTGAATTACCATATCCATATTGGATATGATATTGGATAACTTCATTAAACTCCTTACAAACAAAGATACATAGCGGGTTCCAGTAAATGTTCTACCAAACCTCTTTCTTTATTCCTCAATAAAATATTAACAGCAGTTAAGGAGAAACTTCAGGAGTACTGTGCAACAATATATTAGAGAATTGGTATAAATCAGATGTGGATTCTTAAAAACTCCAGGATATTTTACCAAAATCAATAACATTAAAACTTACGACTTTTCAACTCTATATACAACCATTCCCCACGATAAATTTAAGTCCAGGATTTTTGACATCTTTGACAGCTGCTTTTTCAATAAAAATGAACTATTTATTTTATTTACCTTGTCATTGGTCATTTGCAAAATTGTTTTGTTAAAAACATTCTGATTGTACACAGAAGTACTCTGAAGTTGATATTAAAAGGATGCCTGAGTTTCTGATCGACAAATCTATATGATTTTAGGAGACCAGGTCCTCCAACATTCTGCTTGGAATTTCCATGGGTACCAATTGTACCCCCTTATTAGCAGATTTATTTTTGTATTCATATGAAGCAGAATTTGTTCAAAATCTTATACTTGTGATGAGAAGAAGAAAACACTTGTCGTGGCCTTCAACTCGACATTTAGATATATCGACGACGTATTATCAATTAACTATAGGTCTATCCATTCATATGTCGACACGACATATCCCAGTGAGCTTCAAATAAAAGATATTACATAGTCTGACACATCTGTTTCATATTTGGATATTTTACTGGAAAAAGACGTTATTGGTAACCTAACAACTAAGCTTTATGATAAACGTGATGACTTTAACTTTTCAATCGTCGACTTCCTTTACTTATGCAGCAATATAACATATATATCTGCATACAGGGTTTATATCTCTCGGTTGATTCGATACGCAAGAGCATGTTCTATGTATGAACAATTTCTACAATGAGGTAAATTATTGTCAAACAAGTTGATGAAACAAGAATATCAACAGTCTAGTATAAAGTAATAATTTTGTCAGTTCTATGGTCGATATAATGACCTTTTCAGCAAATACGATCTATCATGTCAAATGCTGAATGACGTGTTTCATACTATTGTTATGTCATAATTTTCACACTGAATTGTCTATGGATCTTTTCATTATTTCCTGAACATGACAAGAAGCACACGGCGGGTGCGACCGGTCGGCAGGGAATACTCACTCCTCCATGGGATCTGATCCCACCTCTGATGTTTTAGAGGTCCGTGTTTGCTCTGCTCCTGCTCTGCTCTGATTTGTATTGTTTAAAATAATGGACTTTCGAACTTGAATATTGTTTGTTATCACCATATATACCACACAAGAAAAAAATAGTAAGCATAAATTTTCTAATTTCATTGTGTTGATATGAGAGAGAGAGAGAGAGAGAGAGAGAGAGAGAGAGAGAGAGACCTGCCGCAGGTGTTCCGCTGGGAGTCTGAGGACATGCCGTTATAAGAGACGTGATATTACTTATGATGGTTGGAAGATTTTGTTCATCAGAGATATAGATATACTTCGAGTCATCTCCACATGTATCTATCGTAGCTTTCCATTCTGGAGCGTACGTGGTCCCAATGTCTAAACAATATAAATATATAGATATATAAGCTACAAGTTTATAACGTTTGAATTACAACCATGCTTTGATATACCACATCCCTTTAATGGTGATATTTTGTGCTGACGATAGTCATTTTTTTAATATTAAAAACCTACCATAACAAACAATATGGTACATAATAAATAAAGGACATTGATGATTGACAGCATAATATACCTTAAGTGTTACAAAGCGAATTTTACAAATACTGTACCCATAGCAAACAGGTAAGAATTTCCCAGAGCTCGAATATCCCTGCCAATTGAATCTGTATTTGAGGACGAAGTTCCGGTGAAAACGTAATAATTCCATGCATCATCTCTGTCTCCATTGGCTGAGGTGAAAACACTATCACGTGCATGTTCCAAACCAACGTTAAGATACTGGGAATAAGAAGAAGTTGCTGGCATGTTCTCCACGGCCTGGCGAAGGTCATCAGATGAGTTGTGTGCGTTTAGATCAAATAAGGTCACTGCTGTTGATGTATATGTTACAACTGCTATTCGTACCTTGCCTGCAGACATATCCACACCATCTAAGACTTCAGTGATAAATGTTGATGTGTACTTTGCGTCTGTGTAACGCGAGTTGTCCACTATGAATGCCACATCAAGCTTACAGTCTGTAAAATACAAAATAAGTGTGTTTAAAAAAGTTTTATTGGTTCTGGAACTAATCATGAGACACTATTGAATGCATTCATTCATAACAAAGTTAATTTCTTATGGTAAATCCGCTTGTGACTGAATACGAATAGACATACTTGGTAATACAGGTGTTGATGTGGTGGAAGGACATGTAAGGATCTTTTCCAGAAGTGCCTGTCTTTTAGGGAAAAGGTCGTTGCTGATACTGTAAATAGCAAAATAGTTTTCACTGTCTCCGACAGCGGCAAGCAGATCACTTTCCAAGCTAGAACCGGGTAGCCAACCTAGAAATGTTAGTAAATCTATTCACTGTGTTTCTTTTTAGTCTTATCATTATTTTTCTACACAAACAGGGAAAAATGCAAATTATTGAGATGAACTCAACTCATAACTTTCCTTCTTTCTCGAAGAAAGAGCTCAACTTACCGACTGCAAACAATCTGTTTTTATTGGACATTCTGATGAGTGATCCTACGCCCGCCGCCGGATAACTGCTGCTTATTTCGGCACTTAGCAACACGTAGTATGTGTAAGCATCAGAACGTTTTCCATTCTGTAGCTTCACAAACTCGTAGTATGCATACTCTAGTGCCTTTTTAGCATAATTAGAAGAAGAATACGATTTTTGAATATTCTCAATCTCGAGTTTCACCTGCGTTAGATTGTTTGTAAAAGCTCTCTCGTGGTCTACGTCATAATCATACGTCAAGAAGCCAACTTTCAGATCCATTTCCGATGTAGCATTTTTAAGTCCCTCGGTGAGTATAGCAAAGAAGCCGTTGATGTCATCTATGTAGTTTCTTGTGTCATACTGTCGTTCAATGACGTATAAAACATCAATTTTACAGCCACCTATTTAAAAGAAAGATTAAATAATATTAGAATATTCATGAGTTCAATGTATTTCCTAATGAAGTAATGGACTCTATACGTTTGTCATATAGGTATAGTTATTTTGATCTTTCAAAATTATTTGCATACAATTAGAATTATTCTAAAATATTTCCTAATATTAATAATGAGATGATATAACATAAATTATGATGAAGAATTTAGCAACAAAACCCCATGAGCATCCTTTTAGTACTGAAAAGCTGGGGAAGATAGGAATCATGCTGATTTAAATATTTAGCTAACACCACGGGATACAGAAAGCTTTGTAATTTTATACTGTATGATATATTCTTAATCATTGTCTAAACCATATTTCTTGTCATTACAACTCCTATAATATTTAAAATGGTTGCCAAAAATGTTTTCATGTATTTGGTCGCGTTCTCTCGCTGTGCAATGAGGTTCCAGAATTATGATGTCTGTCCCAGGGACTCAGTAAGTGTGACTTTTTAATGAGAGCTTGTATTGGGAACTCTTTAGAGACCGAGATAAAATCTCTTACTATTTCTTTCATCAAAGTACTTAACAATGCTGATCAGGGCTTACATGTAAAATGACGAATTTTTGAGAATTAAACATGTTGTTTCTTGTAAAGTCAATAATGAATAGTTCTAAGATAATAAAAATATGCGTTGCGGATCTGGGAAACTCAATAATTCAGTGGTCCGGGATACAACATAGCGACAGAATTTACATGTATGCATACTTTATCAGACAACCAGGGGATTTGACATGCCAATGCATCTTAACCACTTACCAAACAGATGCTACTTTGCATACTTGTCATATTTTTATGATCCTATACAGCAAAGACATTCGATTGTTTGATCCAAAACATATTCAATCTCTGCTATGGATGGACATGTTGTCGGTACAGAATTCAGATTTTGTTTGTATAGGTCTTTCAAAGTTTATAATACCGTAACTGAAAGTGGCAACCAGTCTCCGAATTCTCACGTAGTTCTTTCAATTCGCATCATGGCTAGCAGAAGTTGAAAGATGTATCTGTTGTTTTTTTAACTATCAATCTGTTACTTGACATGCAATAAAATTATTACTTTACAAGATGCAGTTATAAAATTTTGCCAGCAATTATATTTTAAGCATCAATTCGAGGGTTATCTTTACAGCAAGTTAATATGATTCTTGGTAGCAAAACGGTGGCCTCTGTGATGCATATTATCATTCATGATTCGTACTCTGTATGTAACCTTTAGTATGATTAAGTAATTCAGGCTTTTTTATAGGTGGTAAATCTTTGGATATGTAAAGCAGGCATACTATCATTTCAGTAACAACTTGTCAGTACGCTTCATCAAGTTTGCCAAACTTTCGCACGTTGATTACCGTAAATACTCATCTACTGGCTGTTTGGATTCAATAGAATAATTATATATACTACTTTGCATATTAAACACAAAACTCTCAAATACCATAAATGGAATGTATGGAGATAACAAACAGTATTTAAGCTCAAAAGTCAATTAAACATTACAAATTTTGGAGCAGAGCAAACACGCACCTCTAAAACATCAGAGGTGGGATCAGGTGCCATGGAGGAGTGAGCATCCTCTGCCGACCGGTCACACACGCCGTGTGCTCCTTGTCATGACCGGTAAATAACGGAACAAAACCGTCGACAATTCAGTGTGTAAATGATGGCCTAACAATAAGTATGAAAAACGTCAGTCAGCATTTGACTTAATGACTGGTCAAGAGTAATGACCAATCTCATCAAACACATTGAATGATTGTTTACAATGGCATTTGTAGAAAATAGGAACACATGGTGAGTCAAAGCTTGTTTTACTTCTTACATGTATTAATCATTTCATGTTCAAATGTAAACTTACCGGGTTTAGAAAATATAAGAAAATTTACAAAATAACAACTAGTAAAGCTACCCACCTACTAGTATGCTAGTGAAAGCTATATAGAATAAAAATGCTTTATTTTGAAAGTTTTAGTTGAATATTCCTCTTCTCTTGTGCACGAAATTCTAGCGCTTTGATTTGTGAACCAAAAGTATTCTAAAAAGATTATCAAAATTGTTAGAAGGATGAAATATATGGAGATAAGAAACGGTATTCAAGCTCAAAAGTCCATTTAAACAATACAAATCAGGAGCAAAGCAAACACGGACCTCTAAAACATCAGAGGTAGGATCATGTGCCATGGAGGAGTGAGCATCCCCTGCCGACCGGTCACACACGCCGTGTGCTCCTTGTCATGAGGCCATCCCAAGTTTTTTCTATGTTTAGCGTCCGCGTGCGCCTTGGTTTTTGACACCCAATGTCAGAAAAAACAAACAGAATCAGGGGCCAAAAATTTGTTATTTTGGTCATTTTTTTAAATTTCTGCCGATCTCTCTAAATTATTTGTATATAATATGACATAATTGGAAATTTTAAGTATTTAATACCTCGATTTTGCTGAAGAAAATAAGTTGCTACATGAAAAATAAATTAATGAAATCAAATCCTTTGAATTACGTCATTTTTATGACTATAAAGTCTGTCTTTTATTTTTTGGCTTGTGTGTTTTTTGCGAATAGGTAGCTAGGTTTTTGAAAGGTGGGTGGACGCTAAACAGAGAAAAAACTTGGAATGGCCTGATCAGGAAATAACGGGAAAACCCGTAAACAATTCAGTGTATCAATTAGTATGAAAAACATCAGTCAGACTTTGACTTAATGATAGATTTTTGTCTTCCTTTTCAACAAGAAAATCTAACATATTCGAAAGATTGCTATTACGGGGTTTGAATGATCACATGTTGTGTTCACTACATATTCATTCATATACAGACATTCAATAGGATTGGTCAGTGCTGCTAGTGGCATTATAGGGTTCCCTGTTTCATATGCAAAGTAGAATTAAATTCATTGAAATCAAATAGCCAATGGTTGAGTAATATGATGATCAACATATGAATCTTGATCAAGCGAAGTGATACGCTGTTATTGGAATGATAGTAATATAGATCCTTTTTGAGATCAATCTTCATATTTCAGATGAATGATCAAGCTGTAATTATAGCAAGAATATTCTTAACTGGATGTAAGTAACACATTGAACAACCCTACATGAATGATATGAAGAAGTGATACTTTGCATTGGATGCTGCGATTATTGGAACATTTACATTCTATAGTTAGATTAATCCTACATTGATCAAACTTACAGATATGTCAGAGATGCAATCACTAACGATGATTCCGATGCTTTATGTGACCTATTTTGCATTGGATAGTCAAATGAAATTTCTTGAAAAGCTCCATTCCCATATGATTATAAGTCCAGAAATGAAAATATATATATATATATATATATATATATATATATATATATATATATATATATATATATATATATATATATATATATATATATATATATATACAACAAATCCTGGTTTTGATGCCGCCGCAACATACACCCTACCGATAAAGGATTACGTTAAAGCTTTTCAGGAATTCTATTCTTAAATACTTATCCAAACATTGATAAGGCTAAAGAAGCTAAGTGAGTCTAAAGGATAACTATGTACATAGCTTATAGTTGTGGTTTCCTCTATTGTTTTCTTATCAACATCCCCTACCAAATTCTAATAAATATGGTCGCGTTTTTATTGTAAGTTCATTCAATATTGAAATACAGCTTACAAATAATATTGGACCATCCCAGGTATATTCAAAATTGTGAGAACAAAGAAATGACACAATATAATGTTGTAAAGTACACAGACCAATGTGTATACCTGAAGTGATGGTGGTTCCTACAACTGTAGAAGACCCGGTAGATGTCGCCTGAGTGGTAGTAGTGGTCGTTCCTTCTACTGTAGAAGACCCAGTAGATGTCGGTTGAGTGGTAGTAATGGGAGTGGTAGTCGTTTCCGCAACTGCAGAAGATCCAGTAGATGTCACTTGAGAGACAATGCTAGTAGAAATAGTTGTCGTTGCTGATAATGTTGGTGTAACTATGTAAAGAAGACATGTAACATTAGATAATACAATGGAAATGGTGAACCTCAGCCTTAGTTTGAATAAGTTAGTACTTGTCAAATAGTTATATTTTTTTTAATAATTAACTTGGCATTATAAAGAATAATGTTATTTAGTGGAGTAAATAATTTCCATTCTTTTCTGAAAGTGAGCTGATAATTAAACTAATACTTGGAAAAAATTGCATTTAGTCATATTCGCATATTGTGACAATTTTTTTTAATCTCCGATTTTATGTACATGTTTTACATAAGAATAACAGCATATACGGTCATAAATCATTTGACTTCAAAAGAGTATGTTCTATACATGTATGTGTATGTTTTTAAAGACATTCTAGGTTACATCAAAACTTATGGAACATGGTAAAATTTTCGTATTTGACTCAAAGAAATTAGCTTTATAAAAGAAAAACAAACTACTCACTGTATATTGGTATTAAAGCAAGTAACAGGTAATCCTTTATTTTCGGCATAGCTGTACCAAAAGCTATTTCTTATTTCTAAATGATTTTTCAGGTCAAAGCGATGAATGATATATAGATGTCGATCTTAAATGACGTGATGGTCTTCAAACACGACATGTTTGCATCAAATTGTACGATAGAACACAGTACCGAATATGATGCTATTTAATTTAGCAATTAATTGTCTTGACATTTTAATTCCCGTCCTTATTTTGTACGAAAAGTTGAAATGTAATCATCACTGGGTTTGTGCGTATGTTAAAGCATTTTGGATTGAGTTACAGCACCATTCTTTGAAGTTAAACATTTATTTTGTGGTAAATGGTGTTTTTGACAACACCAGCAAAATCTTTAGTGCTACCTGTTCCTTGTTTTCTTTTATAAATAAATAATGCACTATTTTTTTCATTATCATGGAAAACTTTTATCGTTGTCGGTTATAAATGCATTATAATTTTCAGTAAATAATGCATACTTAGTGCGATTTCTTCCACCTTGCTAGACTTAAGAAATTTTTTTAAAGTTTAAAGTTAAAACATATTAATAGTGTTAATAGGTTACAATGCTAGTAAGCAAAACTGAAGGTCTGGGGTATTAAGAAGCTGACTATATTGAATATTTCAACCACATTACTGGTTGTTGAAAATGACGACCTAAAAGCAATCATTTCAAAAGGTCCTAAATACAGGGAGCCCTGATCTTTCAATTGGCGACAGAACTTCATTTCTATCATGAATTACAAGTATTTTGATTATGCCAGACGTTGAGCAAAATATGAAGGGACGAACCTTTGTCAGAATGAATTAAGTGTTTTTGAAATATATTTTTAAAAAACGTGTTAGAAAGAAGGCAATATGCGAACCATATATTCTTCCATTATACTAAATCGTAAGTGATAAAAGAATTGGAAAGACTATATGAACAATATGTTATGGCTCCAGATGACAAGGCTTGTAGCAATATCGTCTTTGTTTGTAAGGCTTATTATTATAACTATTTTAGAAGAACTTGGTTTTAATTCTGGCTTTAGAAATCCTTCTTATTCATGTAGTTCACTATCTCAGGATGAAAGTCTTCAAAATCCCATTTTAGTCTTTAATTCCAGTCAATCAAGGTGAGTTCGATCTATCGTACCTTAACTGGATTCCTAAACTTTATAAAAATCCCTACAGGGAAAGTTACAATGCAGGGTTAGCATATGCTCTACCAAGCCCCTATCTTTACTCCTCATAAAAATATTAAGTGCTGTAAAGCAGAAACTTCAGACGTAGTGTGCTACAGCATATTCTGGAAGTGGTGTAAGTCAAATGTGGATTCTTAAAGACTCCAAAGAACTTTTAGGAAATTTAAACGCCAAATTTTTCAAAAGTTAGTAACATCAAAACTTGACTTTTCTACTCTTTATACAACTATTTCTCACGAAAAATTAAAATTTAGGTTTTATGATATAGACAACTGCTTCTTCAATTAAAAAAAAATGAAACTCGGAAAGAGTTATAGCGCATCTAGTATACCAAATGCCTACAATATACCGCATTTACAAACATCTACAATATTTCAATATTTTATTATTTTATGTAACTCTAGCTATAAACAAATAAAAGTTATACCAGTTCCTGCCAAAATAGTCATAAATAGTCATAAATAGTCATAACTAGACAAGAGCAATGAAAATTACAGACTTTGCATGCTTTTTTATGAGCCGACCTTTTTAGTATTCCTATGAAGCAGAAGTTATTTAAAAACTTCTACATGAGAAGAAAACATATGCTATGGCCTTCAACTCCACATTCATATATATCGAAGACGTTTTGTCAATTGACAATAATTCCTTCCATTCATATATCGACTCGATATATCCCAGTGAACTCAAAATAAAAAAAAAAACACAGAGTCTGCCGCATCTTTTTCATATTTAGATGTTTATCCGACTGTTGACTGTATGACAAATGAGATGTCTTCAGCTTTTCCATCGTCAGCTTTCCTTATTTATGTACATTGTAATAATAATTCCGCTATCATCTGTATATGTTGTTTATGTCTCTCAACTCATTTGATACTCAAGAGCTTGCTCGGAGTACGATCAATTTTCAAACCGAGGCAGGCTACTGACAGGCAAGTTGATTTCAGGGATTTCAACAACCTCGCTTAAAGTCACATTTCATAAATCCTATGGTCCTTATAATGACTGTTAGCAAATATAACCTATCACTGTGTCGTATTTTGTCTGACATAGTTCATATTGTAAATAACATTTTATTTTCTTGAACTGTATTTTCGTTCTTGCGTATATTTTTATTATTATCAGAATTCGTGAAAATTTTGTCTCGCTTATAAATGAAAAATGGAGATAAGTTATCAAGCTCAAAAATCCATTGAAACAATACAGATCAGGAGTAGAGCAAACACAGACCTCAGTAAACATCAGAAGTGGGATCAGGTGCCATGGAGGAGTAAGCATCCCCTGTCGACCCGTCATACTCGCCGTATGCTCCTTGTCATGATCGGGCAAACAGAAAAATCCGCCGTCAATTCAGTGTGTAAATAATGAACTAACTGAAAAACGTCAATCAGCTTTCGACTTAATGATAGATTGCATTTGCTGACAAGGTCATTGTTTCGACCATATAACTTGCGAAATGTTGACTTTAAACGAGGCTGTTGATATCGTTGTTTTTCAAAGTTTGCCTCGTTTTAGAAATTGTCTGTACGTAGAGCATGTTTTTATGTACCAAATCAACTGGGAGACATAAACTCCATATGCAGGTGATAAGGGGTTTTCTTTGGTGACATAATAAGGGAAGCTGACGATAGAAAAGTTGAAGTCATCACGTTTATCATAAAGTTTTGTTGTTATGTTACCATTAACTTCTTTTTATAGTATATTTCCAATTATGAAACAGATGTTTCAGACTCTGTGGTATCTTAAATACCAAATATCTATCTCGCAAAAATAAGGTGTCGCGAAAATTTGCTGATCTACAGTACCAATTGCTAGGCCATTGTTTTATGCTAAATTTGTTCACAGATTTGTATTGTTGTTTGCTTTTTGTTGTTGTTTTTTTTTTTGTTGTTGTTGTTGTTTTTGTTTTGTTTTTTGTTTTCTTTTATCGATCACTCTTCGTCATCTTCACCTAAATCATTTTATCTATCATATCAAACATATGCAAATTATTTTAACAGCTACGTCCATCACATTAAGCATAAGAAAAATATTTTGAAAGTAACACCAATAACATTTTGCCTATGTGGAATATCTTTTATTTTATATCTATATCATGTTATGCATATGAGTTATAAATCAGTGTGGAATAGTTTGTCAGTTCACATTATACATACATGAATATAACAATACACTAGCAGTTAATCCGTGCACTCTTGTATGCAACATTTGATTATACAACATGTATGCGACTTAAATTTAACACAATATTTTCATTGTTGCCACATTTTAAATTCCCATGTCCTGATCCTTAAGCCACCCCTACTATCTAAGATAAAAGTGGCCTCCTTTTTTACCTTACTAGTAACAGTATTTTTCGCTTCAGCGGTTCTGTTGAATTTTCAACTAAAGAAAGCAAATGACCTTACATCTCAAACTAGCTTTATAACACCGATGCCATGGTAGTCTAGGGCCATCGTTACTGCAATACTACAATACTTTATTATTCTGTCACGTGCAGTGCAAACATCAATTTTGGTCTGGTTGGTTCTAATGCTTAACGTTTCTCGTTCTTTATACTATATGAACACAATAGCTCTCGTGATCACCTCATGTGCTCCCGTTATTTATCTTTTATCAGGATATTCGTATTCTCGTCTTTTCTACTTGAAATATCAAACTGTTCTGTTTCTATAAATTCTAGCCCACTTATCTGTTTTCTTGAACCATTGAACGTACACATGCACCAAGATTTTTTCTGTGCTTTCCATCAGTCCTTGTTCCAATGGGTATCGATCATTAATTGGATTCGGCAGTAGATTATAATTTGTATCAAAGAATTCTTATCATGCCTGTGTAATGCACATGATCCTTATAATAGTTTTGTAATTTATTCCTTTTAATATGGACATGTTATCAGTATTTAAGAGCACATAAGATCATCTATAGACATAGTACACTTTGTTAGCTGTACTGGTCAGAGACCAGAAGAGCTTATGCGATAGTAAGTTGTCCGTCGTCCGTCCGTCTGTCTGTCAGTCTGTAAAGAATTTTTCAAAATGCTACTTTTTTTGTTTTTTTTTTTTGTTTACAGTTTTGGTCTGATTTCAGTATAACTTGTCACACAAGTACACTATACTAAGATACATAATTCTGTGTATCGGTTTTTGATTTCGGTGAACGGTGTTGCCATGGTTACTAAAAATAGAAATTTCTGTGAAAAACTTTCAAAACGCTACTCCTCCTACAGTTTTGATCTGATTTCAATATAACTTCGCACACAAGTAGACTATACTAAGATACATGATTTTTTTGTATCGGTTTTTGATTTTGGTGAACGGTTTTGCCATGGTTACTAAAAATAGAAATTTCTATGAAATACTTTCAAAATGCTACTCCTCCTTCAGTTTTGGTCCGACTTCAGTATAACTTGGCAAACAAGTAGACTGCACTAAGATACATAAGTCTGTGTATCGGTTTTTGATTTCATTGAACGGTGTTGCCATGGTTACTAAGAATAGAAATTTCTGTGAAATACTTTCAAAACGCTACTCCTCCTATAGTTTTGGTCCGATTTCAGTATAACCTGGCAAACAAGTAGACTACACTAAAATACATAATTCTATATATCGATTTTTGATTTCGATGAACAGTGTTGCTATGGTTACTAAAAATAGAAATTTCCTTAAAATATCTTCAAAATGCTACTCCTCCTACAATTTTGGTCTAATTTTAGTATAACTTAGCACACAAGTAGACTACACTAAGATACATAATTCTCTGTACCAGTTTTGGATTTCGATGAACAGTGTTGCCATGATTACTAAAAATAGAAATTTTCTTGAAATACTTTCAAAACACTACTCCTCCTACAATTTTTGTCTGATTTCAGTATAACGTGGCATACAAGTAGACTTGACTGAGAAACATAAGTGATGTTATTGTTTTTTGGAATTTGTTGAATGATGTTGCCATGGTTACTTAAATCAAAATTTCTGTAAAATTGCTTTAAAAGGCTACTCCTCCTACAGTTTTAGTCTGATTGCAATAAATCTGGCAACAAAAGGAGACTTAACTAAGGATCATTATTCTATTTATTGCTGTTGCAAAGTTTCAAGTTCAAGCGCTACTTTTATCCTCCTTTTATAAGAACAACCAGTAGAGTTTCAGTCTCGTCAGAGACTTCTTGTTGCTAAATAGCGTCGGTAAATGTTGGGGACATCTGTATTAAATGCATTTAAAATGTAAAATGCAGGCTAGTGCACTTTATATACAACATGTGTAATTTGAATAACATTTAAAACTGAGTATATTTCCTGATATGTATGAAACATGAAAATGAAAAACTTGTAGTACCGATCTTCAAATATTTGTACTGATCTACAAATAGCTGAACCTATCTTTAAATTCATTAAAGATACTAGTAGGTGTAATAAATTTTACCTATATCTTCAACTGCTTTAATTGAGTTGCAGTGAGATTTTATTCTATTGTATGTACCGGTATTAATAAGTGTGCATGATTTGAAAGATAGATGCAATTCTCTGAGAGATTTAAATCAAGCATTTCACTGTTTAAGGATAAGCTCTGTCTATACCTAGAAACAATTATTTTGTGATAATAAAAGTAACGAATTCTCTCTCTGTCTCTCTCTCTCTCAAAGGAAAGTGTCCAACAGCAATCCGGCTGAAGGCAGAAGTAGTCTAGAACAGTTTGTATGATACATCTGTACTTTAGGAAAAGGGAAATCAATCAGATTTAATTTTACATAGTAATACTCAAATTCTCTTTGAACATTTAATATATACAAGTACATGTACCATGTGATTTGAAACAGTTATTGTTTTTTTTAGAGTAAAATAAGGATATAAATACAGGGAAACAGGGTATCGACCGAGACGAATATATATTATAGTTAGTACAAATTTAAATGGACGGATGACTTCAACTTTTCCATTGTCAACTTCCCTTATTTGCCATTTTCACCTGCATATGGTGTTCAAATCAAGTCAAGCTACTGATGGATGACACAACAGGTTGTTGTTACAGGATATCAACAATCTGTTATTTTGTAAATATTTCACAAATTCTAAGGTCGTTACAAAGACTTTTTTTTTGCAAATAGAACCTTTATTTGGGTCGAATGGTCATATAAATTATTTTTCATACTGATCTCTTAATGTATGGATTACCCCCTTTGTCTGATGGAGGCAAAAGCTCAAGGCGGATGTGACTGGTCGAAGGGATGCTTACACCTACATTGAATTTTTTAACAGTATTCTTCACAATTAGAATAAATCATTGTAACCCTATTTCATCATATGAGAGATAGTGCAGCATTTAAAGTAAGAAAGATTTAAAAACAAAAGTAGATACGACCTTTAGATATCCAGTGTTCCCTTTCATTGATTTCTTACTTTAAATGATCAAGTAGTTGATATTCCGTTAAATACAAAACTACCGACATTTCACTGATTCGTATTCATGATCTTGAAATAAGCAAGATGCCTTTAGTAGTAAGGTAAGTATTAGTAAAAAATTCACTTTTTACCTCTGTTTTTGCAAGGGAGAGCTTTATAAAAAAGATAACTTTTTGATAGTTTGTAAATAAAGCATAAAATGACGTTTAGATCACAAGTAATATCTCCTCATTTTCACCTCACAAAAAGGTCACAAGAAGATGATATTTAAGATATTAAAATTCGCATTTTCTTCATTTTAAATGAATTTCATGATATTTTACGTACAGTATCATTTCGGAAACAGAGAATACACAAGCTTACAAATCTCTGGATTTCTTACAGAATATGTATCTGACACTAGTTAATGCTTTAAAAATATAAATTTGGCGAATAGGCTACTTGCGCTTTTTTGTTTTCTGAAGCTAAATTTACTTTAAAGTTCATGAAAATATTGATAAAAATGAGAAAATTTGTCGAAATGAATATCTTTATCAGCTATAGTGGTATTCATCACATTTAATGAAATATAAGTGCTTCTATCTATTTTGTTAGATTTTGGTACATGGAAGAAAAGGTAATACAACAAAAACATCAAAAAGTTTAAATGAGTATTGGTCATAGAAAAAAAATCAAAGGGCTGCAAAGTTAAACATGTACTCGGCACTTACGGCCTTTCAGTAGTGAGGGGTCATTTTTGTCCCAGCATGAGGGGACCTCGATTTATACGGTCTCATCCGAAAGACCGGTCTCTACGTCCTACAGTGGGATTCAAACCCGCGACGTAAGGATCAACTCCTTACACCGCGACTCTAGAGCAAATGCTCTAACCACTGCGCCACGCGGGCGACATCAGATATTTGAGCGCATTGTCAAATCACAGTGATTTTAATGTGCTTATTTTTTTTTTTTTTTTTTTAAAAAAAGAAATATACTATATAATTTGTAATTTATTTTTTTGCAATAATCCATTAGATAGGATAATGATTTTGTTGCATATTGTGAATGGGGGATCAACAATGAATTGAGATGGGATCTCCTGATTGTCCCCCTTTTCCATTCTGACTTTTAAACATTCTATTCTCCTGTCCATTAAGATGGATATAAAACCTTTTCAGTCTTGATTTGATCTGACTGCATTGTATTTATGAATGAAGGGGTGAATGAAGGGGTATTTTGACCTTTGTTTACACAATAACAATTGATTAAGACAACCTCACAGATTCATTGTGGTTAATCAATAAAGCCTCTAATGTAGATTGACACCATTGACACCGTCTAAAATGGCGGGTGGATCGGGTAGGAAACCAAAACGCTTCAAAATGTATGTTAATTTTAAGATTTTTTACCAAAATGTCGTAGACCAACAATATTTTATGCATGCAGTCCTACTTATAGAGTAATATATAAGCCATGTTAAGATCAGTCACCAATTTTGGATGAAGTGTAGGACTGAGCAATTCAAATCGAAAACTTCTCCATTTATCATATCTAGAGACGAAATAATTTTGGGAGATTTGATTCGTTAAATATGAATTTTAATATCTTTGTTTCAGCCTCGAGAAGATTTTGGGACCGGCAGGTGTCTACAAGCGCCCGTTTTATGACGACAATTACATAGACAGAATGAGCTACTACTACACAAACATGTTCCTCCTCTTCTACGTCATGCTATCCGTCACGGAAGAGTGGTTCAAATTTCCGGTCAAGTGTTTTTGTCCAGTAACCTTCACTCCTGAGGAGGTCATTTATACAAATCATCTATGCTGGGTTGAGAAAATGTACTTTGTTCCCTGGAATAGGACTATTCCAAGTGATTACGACATCCGACAACTGGAGATGCAAATTCAGTACTACCAGTACGTTCCTGTCACGTGTTTGATGATGGCGTTTCTGTTTTATCTACCCAGGCTTGTCTGGAAGCAGTGCACCAATTCCAGTGGATTGAAGCTGAAGAAGCTTATAGAGATGGCGAGATCTTACCAACTGGATGACGATCAGACTCTCATGGAAAATGAACTGAAGTTTCAGTACGGTTTGACTGACACCGATCCTTATGGTGACGAAAGGCGAAAGGACGTGGTCAGAACGCTCACTGAGTACATAGACTTGTACTGTGCCAAGGTACAACCTTACAGAGCTGGTGCACTTCCTTCGTTACGGGAACGTTTCGGGAGTCTGTGTTACCTTGGTGTGGGCAGACATTATGGTAACTTCTTTCCTGCTCTTCAGATTGGTGTCCGAGCTCTTTACTTTCTGACTGCCTTCGGTCATCTATGGTTTTTGAACGCATTTATTGGAAATGAGTTCGCTTTCTATGGATATGAGGTCGTAATGCGGTTTTTGCGGGGTGAAGAGAATTATATCGGAACTTCTCGGTTCCCCATCGTCACATTATGTGATCTGGAGATCAGAAGAATGTTTACGTTTTATCGGTATACCATACAATGTGTTATCCCTATCAACATCTTCAATGAAAAGTTCTTCCTTTTTCTTTGGTGTTGGCTCGTTGTTCTTTCTTTGTTGTCTTTCTTAAATCTATTTATATCCATTGGCAAATTTGTCACCCATTACACGAACAGATCGTTTTTGAAGAAGTATCTTGCAATAAATGGCATTTATTGTCGAGGTGAAAAGTCCATGAAAATTCCAATCAGACGATTTTACAATCATTTGAAACAGGATGGCGTTTTTATTCTTCGCTTATTAGCGCAGACGACAAATACAGTTGTCGTCACGGAAGTAATGAGGGAATTGTGGGAGAAGTTTCGGGAGAGAGAGTTGGAGGAAAACGATCCGAATTTCGAGAAAAACAATAACAAGAAATTTCCACAGACCACTGGCGTTGTGAGATTCGATAACACAGTGATACACGTCGACGGAACCGGGTCACTCTCTTACTGTTCAGAAAGGGACCTCGTTACCAGATTTAGAAAAGAAACTTTTGTTTGAAAGCTAATGGTTCAAACTAGACATAAGCAAGTTTTGCAATATGCACAACAATTTCTTTTGATATAAAGAAAACAAATACTACGATATTAAGTTTTTTTTTCATTTCCAACATCAGAAAACTATCATCTATTCTAAAATATGCCAGATTAAGTTTAGTTGTTTCATTGAAATGTAAAACCGGTAAATTTGCAAAAATAGCCCCAACAGATTTTACAAAACAAGATATCTTTTACTGTTTAAAAAATCCTTTCAATCTGCATTTAAATGATTGTTTGCCAAAATTTCATTTTACTCTAATAATATGCATGCTCAAGTTGAAATTGAATGAAATCGCTCTAGAAAAAGACATAATTTAACATACATTAAAATTAGAGTTACCTCTCTTATCAGAGGCACATGAATAATGGGCTGTAAGTTAACAAATCAAGAAAATAACTGGTAATATACTTACAATGTAACACGTGCTGGTAAACATATTAATATTTCAAGAATTCATTATCGAAAGACCTTCAATGTGACATCATGTCACACCATTATGACTTGCTGGCGAACCTTGCTAGATGATCACGCATTTGTGTTGCCTGAAACCTGTTTTAAATTCTATTGACATTCGATTCTATATCAATACTCCGCTCTTCAGGAATGGTTTATGAAACCCATGATATTTTGCAAATGCAGACATCATTGCCAAGGCTAAGGAGAAAAATACATATGTATGCCATTTAATTTTGATATCGGGTTAGACGCAGAATTACAGAATTTATCACTGTAAGGCTACTAGAACTTTTATCCTTCAGTTTGTTTTGAAAGCTTAACAAAGTAAATACTAGCTCTTTCACCTTTTATTCTTTTTTTGCATCTGTTCACCTTCTCCTTGCGACTATTAACATGGCACCCCAATTAGTATAGATGTATAAAATACCGATGTTTTCAAATAGGATGATAAATACTGTCTTCAATAAATTCCCTTAATTGAAGAACATTAAAAACAGTTTTTAAAAAAGTCTCCTTGCAAAATGATACATCTCGGTTGGGGAAAAAGTAAAACCTAGCCGGAAAAATCTTTTTTATAGGAATTCTCTCATTTAAAAAAAAAAATTAAAAAGATGTTTGGTTAGTAAGAAGCAAAATGACATGTTTTCAATTTTATGGACCCTTTGAGTGGTGTGCAGTTATTAGCAGAATTTTGCTCATTATTCCATGTTCTTTTATGATCGTCAATAAACAGATTATTATCAAACCATCAATAAAGAGGGTCGGTAAGTATACATAATACCGTGCATTGTAGGCTAGAATTAATAAAACGGAAAACGCCAATACAGAACCAAGACCTGTTTATGTGTTTCTTGAGATTTGAAGGAACGTTATGACTACTTTCTTTAATAAGCCGTGTCATTTTCTTGAGTAGAGCATTCATTTTGAATTGAAATAGAATCTGAAAAAGTTCTTACTTAAAGAAATCATTTCTTTGTGAAGGTAAATATCATATACATATCTATGAGCATAGATTTCTCATATTTTAATTTTCTGCACACGTACACGCTTTTTTTTTTTTTTTTTTTGTCTTTTCACTCCAATTTTTGGCAGAAACCGCTGTTTCTCTTGATCCACTACTCCTGACTTCATCCCTATATACAGGTATTTTCTAAGAACTGTACGTTTTTTTTTTTTTAAAGATAAAACTTGAAATGAATTCGAACTTTGTAACTGCTACTGAAAACAGTAGCACTTCTCATTAAATATGTCTGAAAATGAAGTGATAAAATTCGTCCAACAAAACTTAAAAAAAATATCTGCAGCTGCCCATAATTTTGTTGTTATATAGTTAGAAAGGTAAGGAAGTATAATGGTTCGTTTTGCCCTCCTTGATCTACTGTCCAGAAGACAAACTAATATTATGTAATGGTAAGTTTCGATAACCTAAACCCCAGATAAAATCCTATCAACTGAGTAATTTACGAATTCAGTCATGTTCGTGCACATCATTGATCAAATTTTTTGACAACCCAGTAAGCTTCTGCTTTTGCATGCAATATATTTTTAAAGACAGTTTTCTTTTTGATTCACATTTTTAAAGCGACGATCAAGAACAAAAACTTAAAAAATTAATCTATTCCCGATAAAGTAAATACAGGGTTGTATTATTTGAAGAGTTTAAACCTATCAACATTTCTTAAGGTCAAACTGACACTATTTATCAATTCGAGTCCTGGGTGCGGACAGACATGATGTATCAATTTTGTTATTACCTTTTTCATTTACTTCACTTTTTATGACTAATTAGTACATCGAGGAAAAATTAAATGGAACAGATTATTTAAATGATGAATAAAAAAATATTTTTTCTGATTTTTTTTTTATTCATTTTGCATGTTAACTACAATATGCAAAAAGCTATCTCACCAGTGACATTAAGATATATTCAAAGGTTTATGAATCTGACTTTAAAAAATTCTGAAAGTACATGTATATCACAAAATTACACGAGACAACATATATCTGTAAGAATAAAATTCATACTTATTGCTACATATGTCCCACACTGGACTTTACAAAAACAGCACCGGTAAATTATCATGTTATAATTATTTTAATTTACCTAGACCTAGGAAATTCAAAATTTATATCATGATAAAATGATTATAAAATGTTTGTCTTCAAACCATGAATTTAAAACGATGCTTAGAAACTAAAACAATTGCATAAAAATATTGACTATCTCTTTTTTCTCATGATAATTTGGTGAAGAGTAATAAACCGATAAGGAATTCTCATTTGACAATTCTTGAAATGTTTGTGATATAAAAACAAATAGAATTAATATAAAAAAAAATCTACTTAATTTATGAGCACTAAACCTGTATTTACGTAGATAAATAAATGTTAATAAACAATGGTCTGTTAAACATCACAGTAAACAACCAGACACTTTTGTGGGTACATATATAAAGCACCAAATCTGAAACAAAAAAAATATCAGATTAAATCTAACAACACCAACGGCCCGTTTCATGAATATATGCAGCACACAAGTAGATCCTTGTCAATCGCTAAACAGGTAAAACTCCAACACTTGTTTGGAATTTTAATTGTTTTAAATAGATTCAATATTTGTTTAATATCTGGACTTTCACACTTTTATTAGCATTGTAAAATGATTTGACTTGTACAAGGTCCATAGGATCATTTAGCACTTGAGACGCGGAATCAGAAGGATGACGTATAAATATTGTTGTAAGTGGGTGTCTTTATGATCGATTTGACCAAGTACAATCCAGTAGCTGTTTTATTATATGAACACATTGCTTTCTATGACAATTTCTCATGAATTCTGAAAAGAATAAAATGAAAATATGAAAACTCATAGGTAAACCTTGTTTACGATATTCACTATTGAATAGAGATGTTCAGTACAAGATGTTTTTTCGTTCAGTACAAAATGTTTTAACAGCATACCTTTACAGAAATGTTTATCATAAAAGTTACAAATTTACCTGTGTTAATGTAAGAGAATTAACGAATGCATAGATACAGGTGCATCTCATATGATAAAAATTTAAGTGAAATTCAATTTTCAGACGTTAAACAAGACGAGACGTATAAAAAATGATTTGTTTTCGACATGCACGGATCGAATTAACACTGAATCTCATCATCTTTGAGATTCATGTAACTTTTGATCGAAGGTTTCTCACAATAATTTGTCCATAATAATTCCACCAACTCTGATGCTAGGACTTGGCTAGTGTTGGCCGACACCATCCAAATCACAAATATCCCATCATTCCTTAAATAATTCTTGATAAACTTATCCACGAGGTCTCTTTGTCTAGCTTCGCCTTTGGAGTTGAAATGCTTAGGCTCTGATATATTCAAATATTTAATTATATACTGGTGCTGCCTCCATGGCAAACAGAATGTGACTACGTTCCAGATAAGGTGTCCTCCATTGATGAAAGTCATTCCAACGAGAAGAAACCAGGTGATGACAAAGAGTTTCTCATTAAACAAATTAATTGGAAGCGAACACTGGACAGTCCAGCGTTGTAGATTAGACAACTGTCTAATGTCGAAGTCACAATATGTCACCAACGGGAAGCGTTCCAAATCTTTCCACTTTTTACCCTGAAACATTAACATGAGAAAATCCGGACCGATATGAAAAAAATTATTTCCCAATAAAAGTTCCAAAAGGAAAAACTGTCCAAGTGTATTTGCAAAATATAGGAAGCCGGTAAAAAGATAAAACACCGTCATAAAATTCCCCTTGTGTATTCCCGCAGATGCCATTGTTTCCTTTATCCGCCTTGAAGTTTTCGTTTTACCCATAATACAATCCCTTATATCTATCCATCTGTCAATGAATTCAGCCAACTGTCCAATCTTGTCTTTTCTTTCTTCCGGACTATCGTAAGAGGCTCCCTCCGCTATCCTAAGAACCTTCTTTAGATCGAACCCAGAATATCCGTTCCAGTGTTTCCAAAACATTCTTGGAAGAAAAAATAGGAAAGCTTGCAAGGCAAAGATGATGGGGACCCACTGGTAGTACATGATCTCCTGGTCCTCTCTTTCCCTGTGGTCCACCGGAAGTGACTCCTCGAATGGTACAAGGTAAGTGTTTTTGATCCAGCAATAGGCATTAGCGTATGATACGTGGAACTTTTTGAATTGAGCAGGGCACCAGCAAGAGATTGGTTCTCCAACAAACTGTTCAGCGCTAGAAAAGAGGGTGAGTGCAATAAAAAAGGCCATACAATAGAGACGGTTCAGACGGTGAGCACCTGTGTCGTCAGTGGTTCCGATCTTTATCTTCTTAAAGGCCTTTCCTGTTATGTCTTCAACACTGCAAATAACAAATGCATTGGTCAAATGAAGTTTTGATTCAAAAATGAATTCCATGGTATTTTTTAATTCTTTACAGGGCTCACGGGGGTTGCTTATTCCTCCTAGACACCTGATCCCACCTCTGGAATTTACAAGGGTCCGTATTATGCCCTGTTCACAGATTTGTATTGTTGTAGGTTTATTGATATTGATCACAGTTCGTTATCTCCACCATTTTCATTTTGGTAAGAATGACCAACCCCAACCCCCATAAAAATGTACATAGAAAGTTCACTTTTTCATGTTTGCCACGACCAGCAAATCAACGCGTTTTACACGTGTTACAGACCAAACTGTAAAAACTACGTACAGTATATAGTTAATGTAATAATCCCAATTAACAATATTTTGCTTCGTTATTACATTTCGCACTGTAACAGCTTATTTTATACACAGCTAGGCTCCTGACATACGGATTTTGCAATCCCCTATCCCCCAACCCCTTTTAAAGATACATATATGATCACGTTTTTTTTATTTATTTATTTATCTATCTATCTATTTATTTATTTATTTTTGTTTTGATTGTTTTGTTTTGTTTTTTTATTTTTTTTTTTGTGTGTGTATGGTTTTTGTTTGTTTGTTTGTTTTTGTTTTTTTTTTTTTTTGGGGGGGGGGGGTTGTATTTTTGTTTTGTTTTTAATACAGAATCGATATTTGATCTTTATTAACAATTTAAACAAATACAAGATAATTTAAATTTCTAAGTACTTGTCTTCTGTGCATGTGGTAACGTGATCATTTTATTATCTGCATTAGATTAATTTCCGATCTTTACAAACAATTATCGTTGGAATTGTTACAATATTACTATATTTCCTTTTCCAGAAAAATTTCAAATTCTACGACTCGCCTATAAGTCGGACCTATGCTTTTTGTTCAAAATTTAACTCCCCAAAATTCGACTTATAGGCGAGTATATACGGTAATTTTTCATAGCTGAAACTGCTTGCATTATTGAGGACAATACTCTTTTCTTAATTCATCTAAAGGCCTTTTGGTAAACCAACAATTCACAGAATCCCTTATAAGAATTAACCTTCGCAAGGACGAAGAAATCGGCCCTGAAGTCTTGAACAGATACACATGTTGTATGTACAAACTTTTTTTCCTTTAAAATAAGGGACTTACTACAATGTACATGTATCGATGAATGATTATGTCTATATAAGGATGACAAAATTGCAAAAAATATCCACGGAAAAAAGTTGACATTAGGCCATCTTTAAAATAATGTTTGTTTGCCCTCTCCCGACTCATGGTAAAGGAATTGGGTCGGTAGGTAGGTGGAAATTTTTTTCCCTAGAAAATTTCAACATACATATTGACGGAATGAGAAAATTCAGGAATTAAAAGGGAAAAAATATTGTTTCCTGCTAGTTAAGAAACACTTTTGAGTCGGGCCATTTTTAGCCAGTCGGGCGGGGGAGGGCAAACATTTTTTAATAATCAGTCTGCTATATAAAGAAATTAAACGGTCTCTCCGATTACATATACAAATCAAACACACTATACATGTACGTGTTGATTTTGAGAAGAATAAAATGTAAATACACATGCTTTATTAAGAGAAATCATGTGAAAATAAACATCAAACATAAATTGGGGTCACTTCCTCCGATAAGAATTTTAGATAAAATTAGATAAAAAATATCACGTAACTTAGGGGTAAAAGTTTATTTATAAGCATATGAATTTGTCAAGCATGGACATGCAATACTTTGCGGTCGTATTCTGTAACACACTCAACTTGAGGAGACACTCAAACACTGGAAGTGCACTAAACATTTGTCCCCTGAAACTTAAAAAAAAAAAACTGAAAGTGATGCATGTGATATCAATAACAAATGCTTTTGGGACACTAAGTGAGACGTAATGGAGCCACTGCAGTTAATTGGGAAAAAAAGCTAGGGAGGATTATTTCGTGATAATTTCTTATCTCAGATAAGGATAGCAGCAGTTCCCATATATAAATGTTCAGATCAATCGCCGTCCGCAAATGAACAGAAGACTTAAGACTTTACATGAATTATTCTCTTTGTCAAATAATAGGAGTATTTATCCGAAGTTATTGTTTATTTCTGACTTCCTTGTTGTGAGAACTGCGTTTTAGAAATTCACAGTCCTACAGGAAATGGGAATGTTGATTAATAATCCCTGACATCAGCACTCACCTGTGTCATTCATTGTTATACTGAACAATGTCATCAATGTTGTCATACAAAAAAAAATCATCTTAAAAAACACATTTGAAGATTTGAAAATTCTCAAATCTAACATAAAGTTTGTTCTTAAAACATGTCCTGTAATGGGATCTTTTGATCTTGTAAATTTCCTGACATACTTCCTTAAAACATCTTGTCCAAGTACATATTTCTTTTATTTCTAACGCGTAATTTATTTAACTTCTGCACTTAGAGGCAGAAAGGGTGTCACAGTAAACTTTAAAGAAAAATCTTAATAGATTACATGTGCATGTCCAAAAGCAATTTCATCTTGTTAAATTTTAAGATGAAATAAAAACATATTATTGACTTATTGTTTTCTTACAATCCTTAAATGAAATGTGTACATAAGTCCAACTTATTATGAAATATACATTTGATTTTTTTTTTAAATCTGAAGGAAAATACGTTGTTTTTTCACGGTTGGTTGGATTTAAATAGATTTTTAAAGATTCCTTTAAAAGTTTAATGAAAAGTGTGTCATATAATCTTTATTTAGACTAAAGTAAATATTAATTAAATGTTCGATTTTCTAATGTAAGTCAAGCCCAGATATACAAATTCATTTCCTATTAGAATGGAAAAGATAGAAAGAAAATTATTGCAAAAGAATAAATAAAAATACAATGAAACTGGAAAAAGTCCGACCGAAATTCAAAACTTGAGTACTTACAGGTGCCCCATATTGAGAGTCTGTGTTTGGTCCTAAATCCTTATCGTGGTGTATTCATCACTCAGGAACGTTTCACTTTCCTGTGGTCCTCTTCCAATCTTACCTGGAGATAAACACAGGTATGGAAGCCAGCTATGTCATGAGTGTGTCTAAGGTGTGCGCATTGTGGTAAATTAAACCCCACACTGATCGAGGGTGTAAAAATACTTTTATGTGACGACAGCGGCACTTGATAGCTGGACAAAAGCTCTAACATGCCGTCCTAGTATATTTTGTTAATATAAAGTCAGAGAGGATATGTGGAGGAAAAATTCGGATTTAAATCCCATGTGATATTTACTGAAATCTTAGCACGGATAGTTCTTTCGAAAATTCTGACAAAACATGCATGTTCTTTCACCATTCTATTCATAACATGTTTTTAAAATCTTTTTTAAAAAAAATATTTAACTTCTTGAAATTTCTATTTAATTCTTTTGAACCCATGGTTCTTGTTGTTACCGCTAAAGCACAGTCAAGCCGTGTGTCCGTTTTTTTTTTTTTTTGGGGGGGGGGGTGTCATTTTTCATGCATGCAGCTTTCTTGGAGCAAAGGGTAAAATGGGTTAATCTGCTCAAAGTTGACATATTTTATTAGATAATATGATCAGGCTCTAAATTCTCATCAGCAAGTAAAGCAATTTCCATTTTGTCCCCATTTTCTCTGATAAAATGAAAAAAATTAAATCATATAAAATAACAAGTATAGTAGGAAATGAGGAATGAACAAATATACCATGAAGACTTATGTCTGGACCGGTCTATGATTTTATGTCTGGACCGGAATATGATTTTATGTTTGGATCGGTCTATGATTTTATGTTTGGACCGGTCTATGATTTTATGTTTGGACAGGTCTATGATTTTATGTTTGGACCGGTCTAAGATTTTTTTGTTTGGATCGATCTATGATTTTATGTCTGGACCGGTCTATGATTTTATGTTTGGACCGGTCTATGATTTTATGTCTGGAACGGTCTATGATTTTATGTTTGGACCGGTCTATGATTTTATCGCCGGTTCTCTGTGCCTGTTATCTTATTAAAACTTTCTCCAAAACTAAACAACCATTATTGTAAACAAATTAAGCATTATTGATTTAAGAGAATCTAAGTTTTTCTTTATGCCGAGAAGGATCATAATGAAGATGTAATGATTAAAAGATAAAATTTAAAGAAAACGAAATAGTAAAAACTGGAAGGTGTTAAATAACTGTAAATAAATCTCTGCTGCATCAACAGATCAAGGACTGGATGAGAAAAGTCCAAAAGCCTGAAATAGAAATGAATTCTTTAAAAAGCATACGAATTTCCATGCAAACATCATTGGGTCTAGATTACTCCATCTCTGTCCACACTCCCTTCTCTTCCAGACTCGGGGCTGGGGATAATTGATATGTAATTTTTTTTAAATGGTTCGAATGTTTCTAGAACATACTTATTAATTTTTACTCATTTTTTCAAAAATATCTAAGCGATAGTTTCTCAATTTTTTTTTTTTTAGATTTCAAAATATATCCATTTGGTCAGGGTGGATTCAAAGAAATTATTCAAGTTAAACACTGTTAAACGAAAGCATATATATTTAAAGAAAGGGGTCAAAGTTTGCACAAAAGACTCAAGCTCTTCTACACAGTTTAAAAAAATGCAGATTAAAAAAAAATCAAATAATGGCCCTGGGATACGGGTGGGGTTACAGAAGGTTTCAATTTTATTTCTACCGGGACAAGGGAAGCATATTTCAGTAGGTTTACAGATGGGATTATTTGTCAAATTAATATGCAATGATATGCAGGCATCCTTATTTATGGTAGATTTCAGTTTGTTTCATCCCATGCCTCTGAATCAGAGGGGCCACAGTAGGGTAAAATAAATTCATTATTGTTACGTCATATCGATAATATAAATCAACATTATACACTGTACATTTTACAATGTCAAATTAAAGTAGGTCAGTCGGGGGTCAGAATAAGCGGTTTCACTTTCATTTATCATCCAGTACTTTATGACTATAATATTTGTTGTATAGGCTAAATTTTTTTTAAAGTAAATTTCACGTGAACACTCCCTCCAAGCACCTTATAGTAGCTTTGATTAATTTACGATACAAATCACTCATGTGCAGTCATGTTTCAAAGGTTTAGGAGTCCTGTTTAATATTCAATCAGGATATAGATGATGGAACTAAACCTTGTAACGGTTTATCGGCGTCATGAATCTCATTTAAGACCTTGCTAAATCAAATATTTTTTTTTATTTAAGATAAGTTTTGACTAAATAATGTCACTTGCTTCAAACTCTTTTCTTTAAAAAATCATGAAAATATATGCTTACTCTTTTTTCTTCATAACAAAGGCGCGTGAACTTTTTTTCTTTCAACATTTCTCATTAAAGTTCCATACTCATTAAAACCGTGTAGATTTAATTTCATCAAATTGAAATTAGATATTCCGCTCATGTGTGATTATGTAGTGAATCAAAGTTTAAATTCAAATTAGTTAATTTTATGACAATTGTTCAAAATGATCTAGAATATATTAGTAGGACTGGAGAAGTTGATACAGAATGGAGCATTTCTTTTAAAAAGTGATATTCCTAGAGCTTGGCTTTTAAGGTATCCTAACACCCCACCTAGACAAAAATAAGTTTGTGAAGTACGTGTATGAGAGGACACAAAATTCAGCTCATCAGTGCCATATATATATGTTTCTTCGGTTCTTTTTATAGGTGTGAAAGGTGAAGGGCGTGTGTGATGCTCAGACTCCGAACACTGTGTATATTGTCCATTAGAAGCTGTAGGGGATCTATAAGCTATAAAGAGCCCAAGACTCTGTCCGGCTGTGCCCTGTTTAGACTATTTAAAATAAACTCTTCTGTTAAACTTCAGATGATGTGAACAAGGTTCAAAAGCATGCAAGTCACATTAACTTATTGGCAAGAAAAAAAATCTGTGTTACTTCACGGTTCAATTAGAAGAAAGAGAAAAAAAGATATATCAATATCCATGTTTAGCTTCAGATATATGTCGACTCGATATTTCCCAGTGAACTAGAAATAAAAGACACCATGGAGTCTGCCACATTGGATGTTTTACTGACTATATAGACGATAAGGGCCAACTAACAACTAAACTGTATGAAAAACGAGATGACTTTAGCCTTTTCCATCGATATCGTCAACTTTCATTATATATGTAGTAATATTCTACTAGCTATCACCTGTATATGGCGTTTATTCGATACTCAAGAGCATGTTCTGGGTACAATCAAGGCAGACTACTGACAGACAAATTGATGTTACAGGGATTTCAACAACCTCGTTTAAAGACAGCATTTCGTAAATTATATGGTCGTTATACTGACCTTGTTAGCAAATATAACCTATTATTGGGTCGTATTTTTACTTACATATTCATACAATTGTTAGGCCTTTGTCTTTATACTAAATTTGACTGTGGAATATTATGTCTACCTGATCAATACATAGGGCTAAAGGCGGTTGTGACCGGTCGACAGGGAATGCTGATATTTCCGGGGGTCCGTGTTTTATGCCCTGTTTACAGATTTGTATCGTTTGTAGGTTTTTTTTTTTTTAGATCGGTCATTGTTCGTTATCCTCACGTTTTTCATATAAAGTTGACCAAAAAGAAAATAGGGGCTGATTTTTTTGCTCAAATATGAGAAAGTACTTCGACTCAGAGGTACACTGTGCAAAAGTAAGAATGTATATATACCATTGAAACACTGACACAAGGGAAATAACTTGTACAGAATCTAAGTAAGATTCGCACCTGTAATATGATCATAGATTTGAACTAAAATTCTTGTCTTTTGCGGAAACATTTAGTATTCGAAGTGATTAATATTAATAACTACGCGGGGTCAATTGTTGGTAACCGGTAGAGGGTGTTCGATCAGTTTTCATTCTGGCGATTCCAATCCATGGTTGTAAACCAAGGCCAAAATGTACTATTCTCTCTCAAATCCAAACCACGGCCAAAATGTAAGTATCCTCTCTCATATCCGTGGCTTGAGGCGATGGCTTCGGTCACACCTCTGTTTAATGCACAATATTCAATCTTGATAAGTTTTAATGCCCTTCGACTTGCCCCGCATATTACATGAATAATAAGCTATTGAGTAATTTCTGAAGCTGTGCTGTTGAGAATGACATTTGCGTAATGATGAAATTTGAAGGCATATAATTAACATTGTGTTGAACTAATTGTATGATAATGGTATTGAGTGAATGCACAGCAACTACTTTATCGAAATGTCAACAAGGCAATAAATTATAAGTTTATTCAAGTGTTATTTTTTTGTTTAGCCAGAGTAGATAAATTGAAAATATCACTCTGCTTCTTACCTTTCATTTACATGTACGTACAAGTCAAACAAGGAATTAACATGTGCAGGCTCATTTCCAAAAATATAAATTTTAATGAAATATTGTTTTTATTGCATTTTTTTCTGTAATGTACATTTAACAGACAGTGAACATAAAAAATCTTTTAAAATGATTCAATAGATTACATAGTTTTGGCAAGGATAGACTCAAATCTGCATAAAATATCCATAATATTATACATTCAATTCTGTATAAATCAAGTGACATTTAAACTGAATCACAAAAAACAATCACAGTCAATATTCCAACTAAATAAGAAATTGGGAATACACAGTCTACATAAACAAAATTCATATAAAAAATCCCCAACAGTACAGGCTTTATAAAACAAGTAAACAAAAAGATTATGCTTTCATAGTAATCTAGGGTGGATTCAATAATGAAAGGAAAATTATTTTTTGTAAGAAAATAAATTAAAACTACGAGACCTACTGAAAAACATTTATAAAAATGTGTCTAGTAGCCTGACTGTGTTGATTTGCAGACTTTCTCCAGGATAAGTGACTAATCATAATGGCCCGAGATTCCACATACTGTATATAATGTAGATACTTATATGTGACTATCATTCATTTATGACCCGTTTTATGATGAAATGGTTCCTACATACCAGGTATTAAACACCAAAATACCAATCTGAATTAAAAAAAAAAAAAAACTAAAATGTTCCTATATATAGAAATAAATGTTTTTGATAAGACGAAGCACAATCAACAATCTCACTTTGGTCATATTTTGATTGAGATACAAACAGACCTTCAGCTTTGATGTATTTCAATTCAAAAGGAATGTTTGCTACCCAAACAACAGAGATTTAAAAACATTGCTTTGTAGAAAAAAAATAAAAGAGCAATGTTTGTTAAAATAATGATAAACATGTCTGGCAGATGATAAATTCTGATCTGAACACCTGAATGGTGGTGACCACAACTATACAGAACAGTGGAACATGAAAACTGTTGTTTGTTCTTCAAAGAATGTACAATGGAAAACAAAGAACAAATGATAATTATTACTTACAGGTTATCTTGAATCTAATCATTTGTGTAATCCTCAAATGGATTCAAGGAGATTCTTCTACCTTTATTTTTAAATGAGTATGTTACATCTACTTCTAATTTATGCCTTTTTCTGAACTTGGCCATGAAAATATTTCATTTAAATGTTATTAAAGCTTCACTTAGTACTCTTTTTCATGTAAATTGATTTTTAAAAAAATCTCTAAAACTCATGACAGGAAAATTGTCTGTGTGCTGAAATTATAGAAAAGTCTTTTTGCCAGAAGAAAATGTTATTTGCAATAGACATCAGAAAACATTAAGATCTTTTCCTGCTCTACAGTTTGGAATGAGGCCTTACACTGAGACTTCGGCCATTCTTGCTGATTTTAATAGCCACTTCAAGCCCTTTACAGATCTGGTCAAGCACATGGAACGGCACAGATTTGTTGACTGGAAGGTACACGACATGGTCAATGAGATAACGAGCCTCATGAGGATAATAGTGGATCAGCGGAGCAAAATAGTCCAGGTGTGAATTCCATTTCTCTGGTTCAATAATGTTCAACTGAGTGGCACCACGGTAGGCATCAATCCCCATGGCATTTAATATCTTAACCACAGTATCTGGATTTTCCTGTCAAAAAGTGAATACTTTCTGAATAACCATGCATGAATAATCTTTGATTACATGGGCATAAAAACCGCAATGAAATGTAAATTGTGTCATCCATTTTTATGTGAAAATGTATATCATAAATTTATAAATATATACATGTATACTGTAAACATGAATATATACTGTGTTGTTAATTATCCAAATAAGCAGCAAAAACCATAAGTATTGGGGTATTTCCACAATACCAGGTTAAGGTATTGTAATTATTGAAAGAAAAATATACAAGGTATTGGCATGCAGGAAATTGTTCTTAATTCATAGATTTCCCTGATTTAGTGTATATCTTCCCCACATGTATATTTCCATGTTTACAGTCACAGGCACTTGTTTCGTATACAGGGCACTCCTACTTATTTTTACCACAAGGTACCTAACTCAATTTTAGGCACCCCCACTTCAAGCACGTATTTTGTTAATATATCAATCATTAACCTACTTTAAAATGACATCGTTTGCTTCGAGAGACTTTTTTCTTGTCAATTAAATCATTTCAGATGTCTCTGGTCGAGCCTCTTTATTGTAAACCACTCATTTATTCCTCAAAAATTACCTCAATACATTTAAGACTTTAGATGGGATACAACTTCCGAATGGTGGTAGGATAAAACCAGAAACTTCCAAGTATTCCATTCCAAGGTCTCTGGTTTTATCCTTCATTTATATCCCCAACCGGAAATTTGTATCCCATCTAAAGTCTTAATATGTATCGAGGTAATTTTCGAGGAATAAATGAGTGGTTTACAATAATGAGGCTCGACCAGAGACGTCTAAAACGATTTAGTTGACAAGAAAAAAGTCTCTCGAAGTGAACGATGTCATTTCAAAGTAGGTTAAAGATTGATATATTAATAAAATACATGCTTGAAGTGGGGGTGCCTAAAATTGAGTTAGGTACCTTGTGGTAAAAATAAGAAGGGGTGCCCCGAATACCAAACAAGTGCCTGTGTTTACAATGTGTAAATGTGGCGATCAAGCAAGTTTGATTGCTGGTAGCCAGGTAGCTTAGTTGCTAAGGCACCTGACTGGAGATTTAGGGGGCCCGGGTTCAAATCCCAGTCTGGTATGTCGCATTTTTCTCCTCTCCTGTTACAACACATTCTAGAATGTTGTGTAATTAATTCCATAGTACCAAATACTTACCACCAATATAGGGTAGAGCCAATAGTTGTTGACGGTGCTCTCTGCTCCTACAATTGTCACACATTCTGGGAGGCGCTCTCTGACATAGTCCCCCTTTATACTGGTTGACTTGAACTCTGTGGGCTTGAAGTTTTTCAGTCTATGTCGAAGAGTTTGTAACAGGGCACTGGACGGCTGTTGTCGGATGCGATGAACCATATCACTTGGGAATCCTCGTAACATTTTTATAACATACCGTTTGTGGTCTATATTTAGAGTACGGGTTAGCCACATGGCAGGTTTGACCACTTGGGGACAGTCCAACAACAAATAAACCATAAAATACTTGGTCAATTTCTTAAAATATTCCCCATGCTTTTGCACAGGATATTTAGAATAATGTCTGGACATTTTATCATATAAATCTTGATCACGAATTTTTGCTATTGCACCTCCAAAAGCTGTTGAAGGTTTAATTACACCAAAACTAAAGAGGGCCAAGTCTGATCTGGGATTTCCTAACCAATCAAAACCACAGAAACACTCGGCACAATCTTCTATCACAACAACATTCTGATCCTGAGCAACGTCTATAATACTGTCCATTTCTACCTGCTTCCCATATATATGGGCCACTAATATGGCTACTGTCTTTGTGGAAATGAGGTGCTTCAGTTGATCTATTTTTGGACTTGTTCTTTCTATATCAACATCCCAGGGAACAACCTGTAAAAAAAATGGGAAACATCTGTCAATATTTTATGTCTTAGCAATGACTTCACAGCCTATGCCTCCGTTATGAAAAGACAGTTAATAGTGGTAAAAGGGCTAAAAGAAAAAAAAAAGAAACTGTAATGAACTGAAAATTCAGTGTTTTGTAGATGGATATAGAATAAATTTCACTTGTGAGGCAGGATTTTTTGATAATTTCACTTGTGTTTCACACTTGCAAATATAAAAAAATTCTATGCAACTGAAATTAATTCTATATCCAACTAAAAAATTCATTGAATATCTTCTATTGTTATACCTTTAAAAATTTGTTCCTATATAAATCAATACTAATAAAAGTCTAACATTTCCAATATTTTACTGAGCGGGCATAAAAAAAAAATTGATGTTTGACCGCGGAGTGAGATATTGGACCTGTCGATGAGATGTTGGACTGCTTACATCACATAATGGGCGGGGTAAGCTAAATCTCATTTGCATTTCTTGGTGGTTGACATACATGCATGTCAAAAAAAATTAAATAGATAAATAAAAGGTATAACAAAACATTTATTGACTGTGTTCTCGGGCAACATGCGTTTTGTCGACCCCTCAAACCAAACTGTTTGCCTGAGGCCTAGCGGCCTCAGGCAAACAGTTTGGTTCTTGGGTCCGACAAAACGCATGTTGCCCGAGAACCCAGTCAATAAATGAATATTATTTAGTTTAGATGTGAATTTTGCTCCACATTTTGTGAATATCATGAAAAAATATATAGATTTAACATACTGAAGATGAGTTTAACAGGAGTTCTAATTCTTCTTCATTTTTTTTTTAAAATTATCATTATTATTATTATTTTTTTTTTTTTGCTTTCGATGTGTAAACTTGAACCTTTAGTCCATGGTGTTTAACAATGTACACCATATCAGGAATGTTAATGGCTGACATGATGACCTCCGAGCCTGGTGGATAATTTTTGATCTGCAGGAACAGGTCTAGACCGGTCCTGACTGACAGACAAGGTAGGACATGATTCTGATTAGTCGATGTTGTCCACATCTGCTTCAGATCCTGAATGACCTGCTCTCTGTCTCCACAGCATGTCAGACATCGAGAGGCTGCTCCAAAGATGTCCTTGAACTCAGCATCTATAAGGTCATATAATACACATAATTATCAATGTGACAGTTAATGATTAAGCATCTGACAAATGAATAAAATCAGGAATGTCATTGTTTACTTTTATACTGGAATTCCTTCTTTCATCTCTTATTTTCAGTTTCATTGCACAAAAACTATTTTTCGTGTATTTGTCTATTGGTACAATGATGAATTATGAGGTAATCAAAGCTTTAATATTCAAACACAGGTTTATTAACATGATTGATGGCTTGAGAAGATTTAACCATATAAAGGAATATTTTTCAACAAATATACAAAACAATGGGACTTATGAAGGTGTTTTCTATCCTGTGAGAGATAGCTGTGATCAATTATAATAGATATCTGGTGACTGATGTGTAATTATAGGTCTTCTGTGTTTATTTCTACATACAATAAAAATGTATGTAAGAAAAGAAATGTATGTAAGAAAATAGCAATATCTTTTGTGTAAAATGAATATATATATTGAAATTTTCCTAAAAAAACATGTATCTACCCATTTACCTGAGACATGTTCTATTTACTAGCTTGTAAAGAATGATAATATCAACTTGTAAAGATAGAAAAAAATTTATACATATATGTATGTGAGCTAATTTGCTTCCTAATATTGCAAATCTGATTTTGAAAGAAATATTAAAGCCAAACAAATGTCCTTTTGATGAACAGCTACAGTGTGCCTAGTGCATAATAATGTTTAATTCTAGATGATAAACTGAAACTGTTATTTTTTCTCATGAAATTTTGCTTTTCATCTATCATACAGGAGTCTAATTTATGACCTAGCTTTAGGACATTTAGAGTTACCTCCCATAAATCACTTTCATGAAAATTCAACAAGAATACCTTCTCAAAGGGAGCAAAAACAAACCTTAAATCCACATGTACCAAAGTACATATCAAAAATCACATATCTGAAAAGCTGAAGCCTGTTGGTCAAAGGAAGATATTTTTCAGCATTTCTTTACTATAAGAGCAATAATGGCCATATAAAATATATTTTCAGATTTTCTTTCCCTTTCTATTTGGATTTAAAAAAAAAATGAATGCTATGATCTTTAAAAAAAAGGGAAAAGAAGAAGAAGATATAAGCTCCAGGTATGCAAAAGTCTTCCATTAATTTCATAAAAAGTAAAAAAAAAAAACAAAGAAATCTGTATGATCTGTACATGTAGAAATTATCTGGCATTCCTCATAGCATGCTCTTACAATATTGACAACCCTTCTATACAAAAGATAAGGAATACTAACAGTGCACAATGCACAGGTAGAATAAAATCTACTTACCTATATAGACACAGGTGTATGGCAGGATGGAGCTGGTTGATTTATCCAGGAATGTCATTCTCTGGATTTCTTCGTTCTCTCTATTCTCTGTTTATATATACAGAAAAAAAATTCTTGAATATATCCAGAGAGTACGTGACATGTAATATACTGAACTACTAATTGTACAAGATATGCTCATCAAGTGGATATCAATAACTAGATTAATCATAAGAAATGTCTTTAATTTCTATCTTATTAAGAAATCCTATATAAATACAGAGATTACAGAAAAGACAGGAAATGACTAACCAGACTTAAACCCTGGTTCCCTAGACTTTTAACAGGTGCCCTACTCAATGATTCAGTTTTCTGGCCAGTGATGGACTGACAATGAACCCCCATCCCCCTTCATTTAAAAACAAGATGTGTTTGTGAAACAATGATGCTCCCATATGGCAGCTTTTCCAAAAAATAAGTCAAACTCTCCAAGGTCATGAGGTCAAAAATGTTGGTACCAAAAGAAAGGACTTGTCCCAAGAAATACTACAGTGAAATCTGAAAGCCCAAGCACCAACAGTTTAAAATTTATGGCCAAGGTTAAAGCATTTGTGGAAAAACAGACAGATGGATGGACAGATCAAAACTATATATGCCCAAAAATCTTTGATTACAGGGGCATAAAAATATCAATCATTGAAATGATAAAAGGCTGTGGTGCACAGTCTAAGGCATTTATACAGTGTATAGAACTAAGTCTAAAGAGTGAAATCACAGGGAGATACAAATGTAAAGAAAAACAGGAAGGAAAAAAATCTAAAGAAAACATCTCAACATTCAGGAAGACTCATACATGTAACCATATGGTAATCAATATATATCTATCTTAAGATCTAAAATTATAAAAGGAGATTTGGCACTGCAATACTGCATTTGTAGGGACTGGCAATTACATGATAATCTCTCTCTCTCTTATTACCTAAAACCATGCTACATGTCTTTGTAGATTTTTTCTGATCCAGCTAGTTTACCATAATACCTCTAGCAAACAAGTTTACTATTTACATCAACTTTTGCAAATAACATTGCACTTTCAGTGGCTTTCTTTTTCAGAGAATAATTTCTGATGTATTAGCTATAGCGATTTATCCCAAAAAAATTGGTATACATTTTAGTAAGAAGTAATTTTAGCGATTTTATGTCAAGTGAGATAGCTATAACAACTGATAAGGAATAAATCGTTAGTGATATTCAATTTTAGTGATCTCAAAACCCTTGCTAATAATGCTAAAATTGACACCTTGCTAAAATTTCTGCTTATACAGTATATCAGTAAATATGTATGCTTGGCCAGCTAGGATGCTGAACACATGACTTACAACAGTAATTGATACGCTACTGTAAGAATATCATCAAACATAAAATATAAAATATACCGTCCATAAGGAAAATATTGATATTTACCTAGTAAAATACGTTTCCATAATACACTGACTATGCCTCTATTAAACTGTGTATGTCTTTATTAAATATTTGTAAACATTAAAGTACAACAAAAAAGCTTTAAAACTTAAAAGAAACATTAAAAATGCATAATTTTAACCTTTGACAAGGTGTTTCACACAGCAAACATTTAGACTTTAAACATAATTTCTCACAATGAGCTCTTGAGTTGGATAAGCATCTTGCTAATATAATAATTTAAATATAAATTCCACCGTCTGTTTATCAAAGTTACATTTCATGGTACATAAACTTATGCTGAGTCACATAAAATTTTCTTTTTTGATTCTCTTTTCAATCACATCCTCATATCAAAATACATATCTTTTTTTAAATAATTGCCATTCAATATGACGTATGTGATGTAAAATCAAATACTAGGGAACGAGTTTATATGCAAATGAATTGAGATACATTCACAGGAAAATTCATACTCCCATATATGTATATAAAATTGTTACATACAGACTTATAAAATAAAATGCAGACCATGAAGTACACAAAACAGGAAATAAAACACGGGTAACATAAGACAGCCAATTATTTTATATCTGCCAGGCACATGTTGACAAAATAGATCAACAGTTTAAACAGATATTGATAGTAATGGGATTAAAATATTTCAATGGATTCAGCTGTCATGTGTTCAGGTGTTGTGCTTCACAACATGTGACCTGTGGTAGTGTAGTCATTAGATAAAAAAAATGAATTTAACATATTTTAATAAAAGAACATCCAGATTCATGTGTTCAATTCTTCAAAATGTCTTTTCTACTTTATGAATTTATAAAAATTAGAATCAGAAAGTAATCTTGACAAAAATAAAATAATAAACTCTTGCAAATTTAAGTCATTAATTCATTAAATGCTTTCTATAGTTTGAAACTTCAATGTATGCCAAAGAGCATGCTATTAGAAACCATTGTAAAGAATCACTTGATCAAAATTAGTATCGGCTTGCTCATCATGCTCATATAATTTATTTGCAAGTAAATGAGTGGGAACATATTTTAAAAACTTTAATAAAGAGATTAAGTACCTTATTTACATATAGGATTTTTTCATATTTAAAATTCTTTATCGTGAAATGATAACTATGTTTTACCTTTCTTGAGTTTGTCTTGAAATATAATTAAAATTTAGAACAATATCCTTCATGCTTCATGTTCTGTATTTAATGTCAAATAAAATCGTGTCCGAAGAAACATTAACAACCATAGGCACCTATGTTAACAACATCCTTCCACACTGTGTTCTACACACATTCATCCTTTAAGAATGTCTAACTATTCGTAAGACCGTAACATTGTACGTACTTACAGATGATTTAGCATGGATTAAAAATGCACATCCACCAGGAAACAGGTAGTCTGACACATTGTGAGGCTGTGACACGTCAATGCTGGTAATCAGAGGAGACTCAAATACAATAAGTGTAGTTTAGTACAAAAACTTTAAGTTTATAATTCCTTACCTTATTTAGGTCCGAATTAACCCATATTGTCCCGTTATAATCTTTCATTTGACCTCTTTCATAATATTGACATTCTCCCAATTTCGCGCATTGAACCAAGATTTCGATCCCGATCAAAATATAGTACAACTGTTTTCATCAAAAGAAGTGACTTATTTGACCAAACAATATTTATGAAACATTTGGAAAATAAAGTGAATAAATATTGAAAAAAAGAAAATATAATTCATAACATTTTTTTACATGAAGGGATTAAAACATCGGGCTCAACAATCTCCAGACCGACATCAAAGAAAAAGAAAGTACAAAGTAGTCAGTAGACAAGGTTTCTATAAAACTGTTAAACAGGCATTAATTGATAATTGAGTTAAAGTTTGGAATAAATATGTGTTAATTGCTTAAATGAAAAAAGTTTTAAGAGTATTTTTTAATTAAAGTATGATTTGAATGACCAATATTTATTTATCTATCTAACAACGTTACATGTTTTTTAACTTGATTTGTTCTTTCTTTTAGTTTTACTATCACTTCCAGATAAATGCTTTTCTCAGTGAATTTTTGGGGAAAAAATCGTCGCTGATATGCAGGTCGTATCTAAAGCTAAGCCGCTTTTCTTTGCCTGGAAAAGCAGAGTCCCTAGAAACTTTTCCAAATGCTTGTGTCACCACCATTATGAAAGTGAAAAGAGAACTCTCAGAGGGAGCGATAATCTATCACGAGTAACTTACGGAAAAAATATGGCACCTCTTACCTTTTCAGTGATAAACACAATTCAGAGACATTTCTGTGCAGGTAAGTTGCGTGCTGTCAAGTGCAGAGTGGCAATCAGACAGGAGCAATGCTGGTGGCCAGATAGCTCAGTTGGTAGTCTATAAGAGTAACCTGTGTAGAATACAGGCAGCCAATGTTTGAATCCTGGTCAGGTCTATGACATTTTTCCCTTCCTGTTATAGTTGATATTGTTAACCACCACTGGACTTGTAGGTAAAAGTCCTGCCAGGAACAAATGAACTTCGGTTGTGTGTGTTTGGGGAGGAAAATACATGTATTCAAGGAGGAATATGAGGATCAGACAGATTCAATTGCCAGTGGCCAATTAGGTCATGTAGTGTTCACATGGCCTTGGGTTCCAAATTAGGTCTTGTCTACCACATTTTTCTGTCCCATGCCCTGGAAGTTACAGGTGAAAGACTTGTGCTAGGGAAGAGCTAGTGTTGATGTCTTCAGAGGCAAAGACATTTATGGAGGGCAGAATGTGGCGATCAAGTAGATTTGATCACCAGTGGCCAGATATATCAGTTGGTAGAGTACCTGTCTACAGTTCAGAGGGCCCCAAGATCAATTAGTGGTCTGATCCATCACATTTCTCCCTTCCTGATACAAGACATTGGGATCATACCATTTAAGATATGTCTGTCATTGTGGTAGAATGTCCTTTTATACTTTTGTCAAAAGGTTTTTGATAATGGAGATAGAGAATTTGCGTATTTCTTTTTCTTGCTGAATGTGAAGGTCATAGTTTTTAAAGTTCTTAAGGTGATATGGGACTTTGATGCACAATATAATACAGTGTACCTAACCATCATGTTCTCAGTGGGGGATTCTGATGTGAGTGAACTTATGAGTGCAAAATTCATGCTAAAAGAGTAAAACAAGATAATCTGCTGCTCAGAGTTCTGCAGAAAAATGAAATTCTCCACTTTTTGCTTGCGCTCTCGAGCGCTAGCAACTACGTTAGTCTATATTTCTGGAATACGCATGCTCGACTTCACGGTCGGGCATTCTGGGAAAACTACTGAAGATAGACTGTACGATGATAATTTCGTTTTATAATTAAAAATTGATATGATCCGAATTCTGAATTTCTTAATCTATTGTCTAACCTATGATTAAAAGTACAAGAAAATTTCGGTCATATAATGCCAAGATTGTAGAGATCAACTGGTAAAACCTAGCTTTCCTTAAAGCTAACCATGGATACTACCTTCCTAGATAATTCTGGCAAGCTCAGAAAAAAACCCAGGAAATCTTTCAGAGTTTGTCGGAAAGACACGAGAAGCGATTGATACATTGCAGTAGCACTGGTATAATTATAATTCTTTAATTTTCCATTTTTCCTTTTTTGACAGAAAAGCCCGAGTAATGATCCGATTGTTATTGCTAGTGCTCTCGAGCTCTCTTCCTGGATCTTTCCAGCAAGCTCGGAATAACAACCTTGGATATGTTTTCCGAGCTTGCTGGAAAGGCCCGGAAGGATGCGATTGCTACAAAACAGTACCACACTGGAATATTTTTAAACTAGGTGTTCATTGATTCTACTTATCTCTTATTTTTCACTTCAAAATTGAAATTACAGTAAACTACAGAATGCTTAAAGCACAGTTAATGATTCATGCCATTGCCAATGTGAAAACCCACTCTGGATATCCCGAATTTAATCCAACAATAGCTTTTTTTTTATAAATAGTCTGATGAATATTCTGTATTAAACACTGAATAGCTGATACATTCACCATTCTTAATTAAGACACATCCCCCCAACATTACCTCCAGTGTACCACTGTGTCTTCCTATTAATAATTAGGGCCGACCATTTGATTCTGAAGGGGGGAGGCTGGAAGATTTTGGAAATAAATAATCAGTTCCTCAAAAAAGTTGAAAATAAATAACTGTCTTTCCACGACCGGCAAGAAAATAAATAATCTGTCATTGACAATTGCTACTTAACACCCCCCCCCCCCCCCCATTCCGGTCCCTCTTTGAACCTTTTTTTGTTTTTGATTTTTTTTTTTTTTTTTTTTTTTTTTGGTCAAACTTTTTCAGTGAAGAAGAAAATAAATAATATGTCCTTGATCATCTTGAAAATAAATAATCTGTCCTTGACTGGCATGAAAATAAATAATCTGACTCGAAAGATTTTGCCAGACCCCCCACCCGACCCCCCTCCTCAGAATCAAATGGTCGTCCCCTTAATCGATTCAGCAAATTAATCCAATAATTCAGATATCTAATTCAGTGGTTGATGATAGCTACAGTGCTAGCTCACCTATCTTTTTAAAAGATAAGCTTGTATAAGCTTAAATTAGCATACATTTCATAAAACAGAGTTTTACATGTCTGCATGTACATGTATAGGTTTTATTTATCATAGTTACACTGAAAGTTAAACTCTGTTTTCATTGATACATTCCAACTACCACAGGTCCATCAGAAAAAGGGGGACAGGAATCACAAGATCCAACTAAAGGTCAAGGTCATGTCGATGACCCAAATTCATCTGAAGTGTCTGAAGGAGATGGCTGTCCTAAAGGTACTCTGGACTTTCAGGAGGTTGAATCCAGACAGGAGGGACTTTTGGATGAGGAGATTGAAGATTTCTATCGTGAGGCAGAGGAAGATGAGGAGGACAAGGAATGGGTGCCTCCTGTAAGCCTAACAAGTAAGAAGGGAGAGTTTTACTCATACGTACGTACTGTTTTAATAATTATAAAAGAATTTAACTTTCAATTTTTATATACGATCATTGCATTTAAAAAAAGAAGTTATTTACTTTTAAGGGTAAACAGAGTTTATCAAGATGTTGATCTATATGGACATTAATAAAAATCATCACTGTATATTACACAGATTTCTATTAATAATTAGTTTAAAAATATTTGAAAGGAAATAAATGCTTTAATATGAACATTAAATGTTGATTTGTTGTATTTTAAAGGAGGGAAAACAGGCGTGTTTGATATTGAGGAACTGGTTACCATTCTTGAAGCAGAGAATGGGAGGGATATTTGTGTTATAAAAATCCCTTCAGAAATCAATCTGACAGACCATATGATCATAGTCAGTGCCATCTCAATTCGCCACCTACGAGCCATTGTTTCATCTGTCAACCACATTGTAAGTTTCAAGAAGTTTTCTCATATATGTATACATACATGTACCCATTTTCAAAGTGAAGAAACATGAGGTTTTTCCTAATTTTTTTTCTTGACAAAAGCAGAAATGACTTTCTGTGTTGCCTACCAAGCAGAACTACTTTTCTATTGTTACATGTTGTAATATTGCTTACACAATGGGCCAGTTTGTTGATGAGAAATTGTTTGCTGTGGGTTCCTTGGGTCTAGAAGGATGGCTGTAAAAAAATAATTAGCTAGGAATACCTTACAATATCTGGGTTTTCTGATGGGGTTACAGGATGAGAGAGAATGGCTTGTGTTATATACTAATGCAATAAATGAGAAGAGTTTAATTGGGTTGGGATGTTCATGTACATGTATTATGTTACTGTAAAAACCGTAATTTTGTTTATGAAAATAAATTTCTGGTTTTTGTGTAAAATTTTACGAAAGGCTTTAAGTTTAAATGTCCATTTTTGCACTATGGTGGTTCTGATGAAGAGATTTATGGGAATGTCTCTGGGATCAGTGTCAAAGAGCATGATATCTGTTGCTAAAGTTAAATTGGGAAAAAAAAACTTTAAATTATTAAACTTAACAAGATGTTTATTCTCTTGCCATAATTCTCAGGCTTTGGTTATGATACTTGTTTTTCCCCATGGATTGGTCTTGTAAAGAGATTGGCTTAATGTGAGTTAAAGAAGTCTGTCCTCTTTTGCCATAAATGAATTTTGGAAACTCTGCATTTACATGAGAATGTTTTTGGATAAGATGATAATATTTGTACCATTAGTTTTTCTGAGGAAGGGATCTGTATTCTGCTCCACGTGAATTGTTTTGTAGTCACAAGTCAAATAATGTGTAGTTCCATTTAAAAAAAAAAAAAAGTTTCCATGTTATTATTTTTGAATGGTGGGTTAGGATGTTCTTATGGACATTATTCCAATAGGTAAAGAGTGTTACTTAATTTAGGATATTTTTTTTTTTAAATCAATAGCTTGTTTATAAACTCAGAATCAATAGCTTGTTTCAGGCTCACACATGTAGAAGTCAAATATTATACTAGTAATGCCATATAATGAAATTTAAACTTGTCATTATTAAAAAATTCTGATATGATGAAACACTGTCAACTGCTCCTGGAAGTCTGTTGCAAATGTGCATTATTGTGTTAGGTCATGTTATACAAATGCAATTCTTTTGTATTCTTATTAAATTCATTTTTACCAGACATGAGTATATTTTTCAATTTTAGTACAAACAAAGAAAGCATGAATCTGATCCATTCCTTCTCATTTCTGGGGTATCGGATCCAAAATCAGAGTGGCTGGCCATGGACATAGGTATTGGTTTACTGTAAAGTAAGAATACTGAAGTAAAAGAAAATATAATCAGATTCAAATATATAATTTCCGTGTTTATTTGCTCTTCTAGGCAATGCTTTTTTACATGTAATGATGCCGGAGACTCGCCAGAAATATGACCTAGAAGGCTTGTGGATGTCTGGGGAGTATAATGTAGATCAGGAGGAAGAGGAGGGGGAGGAGATTGGACAGTTTGAATGGATCAAGGAGTTCAGACTCCAGAGAGAAAAAGTCCATAATACACAGGGATCAAAAGCTGGTGAAAGTACCGTCAAAACAACCAACACAGAGAAGAAACAAGAGGAGCTGGACTGAATAACATATTTAGACCTGAACTCCAATTAAAAATCATAGATCCTCGACTTCAACACAAAGCTTACAGATATTAATATTGTGTTTTATGATACATGTTAACATACAATGTACCTTGAAAGTGTACATGTAAATGAACCCTGTGTATACTGTATGGTAAATTGTTGACAACAGAAAGCATACTATTCCAAGTACAGTATCCTTAGGCTTTATCATCTGAAATTGACTTGATTTAATGGGCATTTCTCGTAAGTGGGATGAGAATCTCACAATAAAGAATTCATGTTTCAATTTGTACTCCATTTTCTTTTAAAAGATGAATATTTAAACATGAACCTATTACTTCAAGCATGCAGGGGTTGCCTTTCCAAGACCATGGTACTTTCTCTTCTCTTAACCAAAATATACAACTAAAACAGATGACATGCTTACTTGGATTCGTCTTTGGCAGTTTTACAATTTTCCGAGAAAGATTTCCAAACGAAAGGCCTATGGGCCACAATGCTCACCTGAGTCATTATGGTCCTGCTGTTCATTCCTATGTAAAAATTTGATGATATAGCTAAAGGGTTAACTCACTAGCCCAAGCTAGTAGGATGCCATGTATCTTGCACTACCATATTGTCCCCCTCCAGAGAATGAGATGTCCTCATCTCTTTTGGAGTGCCGACGCCTGTGGGACGAAGTTCTTGGGGCAGTCACTTTCACCTGCCAGAGAATACCCGGGTCCCAACGTGGGCGTCAAATGTAACAGAGACATTTATGTGCCCCTGCTGGGGATTGAACCTGGGGCCTCTGGCTAGCCAGTCCAGTGCTCTACTAATTTAGCTAAAAGGTTAACCCACATTCAGAGAATGACATGTCCTCATCTCTTGGAGTGCCGACGCCTTTGGAAAGAAGTTCTGGGGGAAATCACTTCAATGTGGTAGTGTAAGATACACTGCATCCTACTAGCTTGGGCTAGTGGGTTAACCCTTTAGCTCAATCGGTAGTGCACAGGACTGGCATGCCAGTTCAATCCCAAGCAGAGGCACTAACATGTCTCTGTTACTAAAAACCATTGTGACGTACATGTAACAACCATGGAAAACAATATCTAAATGTTTGGTGAGATTACAGTGCAGAATGTTTTTAAAGGTTAATAGCTAATTAGATTTTCAAAAAAGTAGCCATAAAATATTCTGTGACCTACTTTTCAGTCTACTTTTCTAGAAGGCCCTATGTATACTGGGTAACAAAGTCTGATGATTCTTGGCCTCTTAGTGTCCAAGGGTTAAAAAAAGATTTTAAAAAGTATGTCATGGTAACCTACTTTCAGGTTCAACAATTCTGTGCTCAATCAGACCTGAATATATTTCTATGACCAATTTCAATGCCAAAGTCAAGAACTTTCCAATGAGCATACTTCAACTCCATGTATCTCATTCAAATTTACCCAAATGTAAAGTCAGAAGTAGGGCATCAATTGTAAAAACTAAAATATAAACATTTCATTCTTTTTAATCCAACCAATTTTTTTTTTCTCTAGAAAAAGAAAACCCATAGGGTTAGGTCATAGATATGAATTAACAGAATATCATGATTTTTCATGTACATGCATCAAATGAATTACATCATAAAATCAAAGCACTTTTATAAACTTAATTTTGCATATCAAACTATCATCTCCTGTTGGATCTTTCCCTGCTGCGAACACTGCTTTCTCTTTGAGAGCTGTACCTATTACTTTCATATTTTTCATACTCATTTGAATCCCGTCTCTTTTTTAGAGACTGTTTTACACTGTCACTATCAGAGTCTGAGTGCTTCCTCTTCCTCGGGGGAGAGGATGAGGATGATGAGGAACTGTCACTAGAGGAATCATCAGAACTGCTGGAGTCAGAATCACTGGAGGAATCGCTGTCCTCACTGGAGGAATCTACACTCCTCCTACTGCTTCCTTTATTCCTTCTGCTCCTCTCCCTTTCCTCACTGTACCTGTTCTTTCTCTCTTGTTCATCATCTCTCCCCCTGTTACTTCCACTTTTCTCCGAATCCTCTTGCCTCCTCCTCTGTTCCTTGACTCTGTCGACCTCCCTTCCCCTGCCCTCTCTAGACACATATTCTCTTCGCCGCCTTTTCTCTCCCCTGTCATCTTCCTCGAATCCATGTTTTCTTCTTTCTGTACTATCTTCATGCCTCCTTCTTTGGTTTTCCTCTTCACGCCTCCTACTCCTTTCATATTCTCTGTTTCTTTGACTCATTTCCTCTCTGGATCCTTCTCTCCTTTGTTTATCTCTATTCCTTTCCTGACTTCTATTCCTTGTCATAGTTCTCTCATCATCTACACTTCTTTCTCGGAACCCATTCTCCTGATGATCCCTTCCTCTCCTAGAATCCCTGGTCTCCTCCCTTCCTCGATTTCTAAATCTGTAATCCTCATCAGAATCTTCAGCCCGTCTTCCATTTCTTCGCTCTGCATCTCTTTCCTCTTTTCTCCCTCTGGTGGGTCTGTCATAATTTTCCTCTGCATGTTCCTCTTTTCTTCTACTTTGTCTCCTATCACTGTATCTTGAACTTTGTCTGTCATCATCACTTTCCTCCCTATTTCTCCTTCTGTCATTCCTTTCACCTCTGTCTCTCCAATCTCCATCTACATCATTAGAGTATCTTCCACTGTATCTATCTGATCTTGAATCTTCCCACTTGGATCGAATATTCTCTGGACTCTCTTGTCGGTCCCTCCTTCTAGAAATATCTGGACTTTCCTCTCTACCCCTCCTTTTTGATCCAACAATTTCCGAACTTCTCTCTTTATCTTTTCTTTTAGATTGGAAATTTCCTGGGCTTTTCTCCCTATCTCTTCTGTTTGAACTGGTACTTTGTGGGCTTTCATCCCTGCCTCTCTGCTTAGACCTTCTATTGTACACGATTTCCCCTTTTTCCCTTCTGCTTTGCCTAATATTTTCTGGACTGTCTTCCCTCTCTTGTCTTTTTTCCCTTTGTCTTATGTCCCCATTGGTATAACCTTTCCTTGACTTTTCTTTACTCCTCCTGTCCCTTGTGTCTGTTGGTTTCCCTTTTCTTTTCTTTCGAGGTGCTTCATCTTCTGAGGAGCTGTCTGTAATGCATATATGAAAATATTTTACAATACAATAGCATCTGACAGTCATGTAAAAGGGAACATTAATGCATGCATCATTGAAGTGGGTACTGTATAAGTGAAGGGCATACGGTGTCTGAATTTTGGTCAGAACCAAAGATTTTGAACATGTATACAGAAAGCCAATATCTAGAAATATCAGGCAACCCAAAGTCTGTTAAACTACCTACCCGAGGAGCTATCTGATGAGGAACTACTGCTGTCAGATGAGGATGATGAGTCAGAAGATGAGGATGAGGACGAGCTGTCCGATTCCTCCTCTTGCTGTTGAGCTACCTGTTTCTTCACATTTTTCAAGTGCTCTCTGAGATCATCGCTAATAAAAAACAATAATACATCTTATAAGCCTTTATAAAAAGCATATACACAAATATGGTAATAAGGGGGTATAGGGCTTCAATTAAGGTTTCATTACAAACATCACGCTCTCTTTTCTTTTGAAAATATCTATAATTAACGAACATGTCCCTGTTAAATGTATATTCCACTTCCCCCTGGATTCATTAAATAAAATATAAACCTATTTGCATTGATGATATACAATTTCTTATATAGATACTATAAAAATGTATTCCAAAATCAGGTATTCTTATTTACATACATTAAAGTCAGTCCACTAAGATCAATTGTAGTAAAGAAAATAGAAAATCTAGTATTCTTATTAAATTTACTTACGTCAGTCCACCAAGACCAATTGTAGTAAAAAAGTTAATGGAAAATCTGGTATTCTTAGGGTTATCCCTGGGTAGTAACCCCTCAAAATATGGCTGGAGGGTTCTGAAAATGAAGAACAAAGTCAAGTTTATTCAAAATTCTTACAAACTACAAACTTGCTTCAAGACTAAAAATATGCATATGTATTTGTACTTCATGCATGACCATTATGGTTTCCCTTTTTTTTCAAATATGCACATGAATATATATATTTTTAAATTGAATTAAGTTGAAGACATCACAATTCACTTTCCATATACCATATATATACCATATTTCCGTATACCTTTCCATTTACTTAGAAAATTGTCAAGTAATTTTGTTTCATTTTTTCCTAACAAAAGCTGTTAGTGTTGGTCTTAAATTAAAAACATTGGTAGACTTACGGATCTTTGAGTCTATCGTTGAGTTTGGGTAGGCCTAGATACTCCGACAATTCCTGGAATAATACTTTGATAAAGATCCTACTGGCAGAAGTTGTGTCATCCTCATTCAGTCTAATGACCTCCAGCACCTTAGATGAAATAAAGTCATACTCTTAGTGCATTCAAATACTTTAATACTGCATTTTTTCAATTTCTAATTTAGAATTCATTTCTAACATTCCAATAATAAATTTGTAGTGCATCAATTTATTTGTAATTTCTATTTGTTGTATATACAGATACATGTATTTCTTACTTATTCTGAAACACAAGTAAACTCAACAGATAAAATAAAGATTCACTCATAAGATTGAGTTACCTCCCATGAGATTGCATCAGTGTGTAGTAAATGAGCGAAGAACTTGGCCACATTCCTGAGCTTGTTTGTTTCCAGTCTGTGGATTGTGTCGTACTGTTCCTTGAACATGTTCTGGAATGGCTCAATGTATTTCTTGTCAATCATACAGAATCGCTACAAAACAAATACACAGCTTATGCCACAGTGTCAGTGAACTTTTATCTCGATACTAAACATGATTTTCAAAAAAATGCCTTGCATACCAAGTCACATTATATTCATTACCTGAGCTAGCAATCCAAAAAACTTCTCATATGTTCGTTGCTGTGCACAGCAATCAAGAATCATGTTACATAACTCAACCTGGAAAAAAATCATATCATATCATATTGAAATATGTGCAGAGGATAATAGTGATATCTATATGTAGTGAAAACTTCTTAAAATTTCTTTTTCAGCTTTATATCTTTAACAGTCTCTACCTCTTGTCCAGGTTTGAGTTCCATTCTTAGAAGTTTGTGAGCACATTCCTCAAAGTCTAAGGCACTCTGGATAGTTAAATAGATTGTTCTCCTCAGGGCAATCAAATTGGTTTCTGTTTGGTCAATAATTGTCTGTTTCTCTCCTTCTGTTCAACAATAGCAGTCAAATGAATAGAAATCATGCCTATCAAATAATATTATCTGAATTTATCAATCATCTACCTTATCATTAATACTCTGTTTGATCAGAATTCTGTTGAACAACAATTTTATTGCATACATGTATTTTCATGTAGATACCTAAATGCAAAACATTTATTGTTTTTAACATGTTTATATTCTAAACCTCAAAATTCTATCCCAGTTCTCACTTATTAACCTCCTCCCCCAACACTCCCCCACCTAACAAACTCTGCATATGATTTCAAATACGTGCTTCTCTTTTACAACTTCAAATAAATTCTTTCTTTGTGTTCGTGAGACACCATTAAATATTCTTGTACTCATCTATAAAACTTAGATCCACCACAGAAATAATCATTAAGATTTACCTTCACCTTCCCCCTCTTCATCGTCGCTGTCACTTTCAGACCCGGATCCACTCCCAGACTCTTCATCAGAGCTGCCCTCATCCAGGATCTCTGTAAAACAAACATTTATACTCATTCAGTAAAGTCTATTAGTGGCTTAATTATTATGCAGGTTATACTTGTATACAATTGTCATCATCACATTTCACTGACAAAAATATTCTTCAAGTACCTCTTTTCAGTTCTTTGTATTTTTCTTCATTTGCTTCATACTCAGGATCAAACTTGAATACATCTGCAAGAAAAAATTACACGTATGTTGATGTACTTAATATTTACAAAAGCAGAAAGATAAATAATTTCTAGATGACCAAAACTTTATACAATTCTTGTTTGGTTCCCATACTTAGGATTTCTTCTGCCGTTCCTTCATCTTCTAGTGTAAGGAGGTGAGTAAACTGGTCCTCTTCTGCGATGAGATCTAGTTCCTCTATAACAGACTGATGGTCCTTAAAGCCGTCCTTACGGATCGCAAACATTACTTCTATCATGTACTGTACCCTCACATCTATCTGTCCCTCATGTAAGACATTTCTCAGTCTCTCAAAGATAGCTAAAACAAATCAAGTAAACATCAGTTGGCTATTTTTAATGTATTATATAATTATTATCAGGTATGAGGCACATCACTCGGTGATAAAACAAAGGAGGAATGTAAAACAAACAAAAATTGATGCAGTAAACGTGAGATCGTTTGATTATTTTCTCTGCTGTACAATCAATTACCTGTGATTCCCCGTGGGGTAACTTCAGTCAGTTTTTGTCCACACTCCTTCAGGAACCCAACAGCGACCTCTACGGAGTCGTCAGATGGGGTCTCCAATAAAAGTGTCAAAATTTCTAATGCCAACACCTCATGGGCCTGAAATGAACAACAAGCAACACTTATAATTATGTATATTTCAAATGTATTAATCTTACTTTTAATAATACGCAGGAATCCCCAGAGTTTGAGTGTTTCATCCATTAAAAGTCTACAAAATCTCTCACACGAATGAAATCTATAAATGAAACCACCTATCTAATAGCAGAGCAGACTCTCACACGAATGAAATCTATAAATGTAACCACCTATCTAGTAGCAGAGTGGACCTACCACTTGCTGGTTAACCAGATGAGCGATGAATCGGGTGGAGGAGAGGCAAAGATTCTTATCATTTCTCTTGAATCCACGACGAAACTGAATCACAAGACGTCGTAGGATCAACTCCCCTATTTGTGGAAACTGTAAATAAGATCAAAATAAATCTCACCATCTCTAAAATTCAGAAATACTCCAGATAACAGCTACTGAAACAAAGGAAACTTAAATGAGAGGTCACAAAACAGGAAAACACCTCTGACTGGTAAAAGATTTCTTTACTTAAAATTTTATGCTTAAAAAAAATGTGTACATGTAACACAAGATTGCATCTCTTTTGATTTTTGATGCCTGCGTGTTCTTACCTTGGTGTTGATAACTGACACCAGGGCAGCGTACACATGTGTAAATGTGGGAGAAGCCGACTGAGCCTGAATTACTGAACGTGCCACCAAACCTCTGAAAAAGAAAAAGATTGAAATAATAAACCTAGAAAACATAGCATGCTCTGAACTATTCCTTACTCCTCATGTAAAATTCTTAATCACTACTCATTAAAAATCGAGGGGAAGGGGGGGGGGGATTTCATTTGCCTGATGATCATTCATTTTTCAAATGTGATTTGGGACAGACACAAACATAAAAAAACTAAATATAAAATCTGATATTCAATCTTCTTCTAGAAATAATAACCTATATTGTCTATACATTATTTATCAGTAGGGGTGAAACGATACACCTCCTTCACGGTTCGGTACGTATTGTATAATTTTGTCTCGGTTCGGTTATTTTCGATACGATACGTTTTGATAGAAGGAAACAAATTCAACATTGTTTTATGCTTTCTTTTTCTAAATCTAGTCACATATTTTACGAATTTTATTTCCAAATTGACTAGAAGAAATTGATTAAAATTATTTGACTGTCAAAAATTATTTTACAAGCTATCAGTCATCAAAATTTTATGTTTTCTATACTTATTTATTCTGAGTAACGTGTTTTACCTTATGGCAAACCAGACTGAATAACGATCCCGACCGAAAAATGAACCGAACCGAAAAAATAGAGATTTTGCACCGTGTATCAAACCGAGAAAAAATACCGCGGTGAATCGATACCGCGGTGAACCGTTTCACTCCTATTTATCAGGACAAAGTATGCAGCATTACTGATCTTTGACCTCTCACCTTCCTCTGACAATGTTCTCCTGGAACAATTCCTGGACAACAAAATGGAGGTTTGAGACGTTGACTTTGTTGATCAAACCATTGATACTTTTCTTCAAAGCTTCCCATGCAATCCTCTGAAAAGGTTCACTGAAAGAGAAATACAATTACTTTCAATATATTTTATTAAAGTATTTGCAGGTATTGGTGAACTGTATGAATGTTTTAACTTTTGAAAAGCATGAGCTTCAAATGTTCAAATGGGACAGGAATTAAATTTTATTCCATCAGTGACCTTGAACTTTTTCAAATGACATTAGTTATGCTTCTTCATAAAGAAGTTAGAGCTCAGAGAAGATTTTTATTCTTTTTCTGCCAGTGAGCTTGAACTTACTAAAATGACATTGAGTCAATGTACCTTAAAGTCGTAACACACACTCAGATCATAAACAACCATTGTTCCAAACATGAGCTTCCAATAATTCTCTATTACAGCTATAGCCCAGTCAAAAATCTTTTTTACTTTTTTGACAGCGACCTTAAACTTGCTGGAATTACCTTAGGTCAAGGTCATGACACACCCACATGTTAATAACATTCTTTGAACCAAGTAAAGTATAGGCTTTCTATTATTCTTCATTACAAGTGTAGTATGGAAAGGAGGAATGAATTAATATACATTGAAAATTCATAAATATATATATATAATGAAAAACATATGGCTGGACCGGGAATCGAACCCGGGACCCCTGCATTACTAGTCAGGTGCTCTAACCACTGAGCTATCCAGGCCGATGTCCTCAGTCCAGCCTAAATTCCTACACAAGATTGCATAGTCTGACAGATGCACAGATCTACAAAATGATTTTTAAATATTCCCCAAATTTCATTTGGGGGAGTGGAAAGGGGTAACACTATATTCAAAGAGTTTTTGCATTTACCAGATTATAGATATATCTGCCTCACTGTGACTTACAAGTTATATTGGCAAGCATGGCTTGAGTCGGGTGAATTAAGCGTTTCTGTGTAAATACCTTGACTTATCAGTAATGCTAGCCTGCATGGCTCTCAGTCGAGCAGGGGGAATATACGCCCCACCTGTCCTCGTGGTCAGTGACAACACATCAGCTTCTTTCGACTTCTTTGCTGCATTCTCGACTTTGTCTCCTTCTTTCTGATTTTCTTCAGTGGCTCTGTAAATTTATAACATTACATTCATTCACTAAATTTATTTAAATTTGCATGTGATACTTAAAAGGGATGTCCCAAAATCACATAGACTCAGCTCACATCTTTAACAAAAATTGACATTTCTCCATAAAATTTTCTGGGTGGATAAAATGTTTTGTTGGTTGATAAATTATGTTTTTATGTGTGTACATTTATTAGATAAAACAATAAAACATATAAAACAATAAAACAATAAATCGAACACTTGATTTCCGCCAGATACCTGACTTTGATTTGCATTTGGAAATCCTTGGTAGCCTTTCTAGATTATACCGACCATTTAAAAATCAGGTTCTTTATTCTGTTTTCTTTTGTGGTAAATACGCTCTATGTCTAACAACTTTGTTAACTTTTTATTAGGAAATTTGATTATTTATTCACTCACAAGAATACATGTAACACGATGCATCCCAATCAAAATATAGATGTTTCACAGCAACTATTTATCTTCTTTAACTGTTGCTTCACAGTTATCTCTGAAAATCACAATTCATTAAAGTATCCTACGTAAAATAATTTTTATAAATATGAAGTTTCTTGAAAGGAAACGGAGGGTTAATGCTGCATGGCAGTGTGTGTTAACAGGTTTATTTGACAGTGATACACATTTATGTCCATATGCAACATTGAATTTTTTTTCACGTAGCTCAAATTGCCAAGTTGACAGTAATGTATGTGGTCACATTTTATCTTATCAAGTTACAGTAATAAATAATATTCTTCTTTCCTAATTTTGGGCAACCAAGTTTTGCATTCGGACAAGTCAAAGTTTGAGATCACTTGCCCAAAGGGCAAGTGAATCTGAAAGTTAATGTCTATCCCTGATGCCTTTCTTTAGCAATGAGTTTGAGTTCAAGTATATTTGATCACAGAAAATTGTATGGTCAGTGTCAATGCAGCTGCCATTTTTCAACAAGTCAGATTTCAAACAGGTGCATAGAAAACATTATAAAATTCATATTATTAAAAGCACATACAACAAAACTGGAGGAAAGTTAGTTTACAATGCAATATTAAGAATTCTGATTTTTTTTTCCTCCAACATTCCAAATAAAATATACTTTTTTGTAAGATTTTAATTATCATATGCCAATTTTCAATTGCAATTTTTTAATACAGTGCCTATCTCTTAGATAAGACAATAAAATATTGCATTTAAATAGGTTCTTTTGTGTAATTACTCAATGTTTATCCAAAAAATTTATTATTTTATTGTTGGTTTAATCTTTATGCAGTTTCATTAATTTATGACACTGTGTTTCTACAAAACTATGCTTGTCTACAGAATTTTGGGACAACCCTTGCATGTCTTTTTAATTGGCTTTTAGTAAAGAAACATGTTAAGAAGTATTACTTGTCTTTATCGCCATCTTTCTGTTTACTTCCATCCTGAGTTGGGGACCTACGATGGTCATCCTCTTTTCTTCTTTCCAATGAATTACGATCTCTATCATTTCTCCCCCTGTCACGTGATCGCCTGCGATCCCTCGGTCTATCATCTCGGAATCGATCTACCAAATCAAGAAATATATTACTGAATAAGCTTTCTTGAGTTACAATCTAATTTCATAACCAATTTAGAAAAACTGAGTAAACTCAATGTATTTTTGATACTTTGTAATTGTTTCTTTTTAATTAAAATGAAATGTATATCATTCCTTTTTATGAATCTATCATGCCAAATAATTTTTCTTTCATAAATATTTTTTTTAACTTCTTTCATACCATTTCTTCTATTTCCACCAGGACTGTATCTACGACTTCTGCCGTCTCTATTGTTTTGCCTGCGGTCTGGGGAATATCCACGTCGACCTTCACGTCTCCTACCATATCCATCTTCCTCTTCCATTTTCCTCTGAAATAATTCTTCAAATTTCAGTCTTTGCAATCATATATTGTTTTATTTTTTAATTAAGACTTTCTTCTCTTTCAGTGAAGTTTTTCAATGGACTCGTACAAAAATTACAGGAATTGAATTATTAACTATTTTATAGACTAATTTTCAAGAAACAATATACATTAATTGATGCACCTTTTTACAAGACACAAATCAGCATGCAGAAAAAATTGTTTTAAAATGGGAAAAATGTCATAGTCCTTATGACACAGCATATAATAGTATAGTCTCCATAGTCATATAAATAATAATAAAAAAAGATAAAATTTCATTCAGAATACCATGACAACATCAAAAGCACACATTTTTCACATCCTGATCTTAAATAAAAGGAATCTTTTAGACACAATGGAGATCATACTATAGCTCTTATCAAGTTGTTTTGACCCAAGTCATTCATCTATAAATTCATGCACAAATAAAGCCAATGCTAGGGTAACTTAAACAATATGTTGAAGAAAATAATCCACTCCTAGAGACAGGACCTGCATTTTTTCCCTGAGCATGCATCCACAGGACAACAACAAAAAAACCCAAACAAACAATACATGGGCAAATGGGATATGGCTAGTAAAAAATTAATAAATTACATGTTTATCTCAAACCAATACATAAAACATATAATGTGCACATGATAAATTTAATAACTGAATTTGTTTAGAAAAATATTTTCCATTTGAACAAAAATAATTTAATCTTTGCATAGCTAATCCTACATTTGCCCATGCATAATAAACACACAAACATTAAGATGGAATTTGCCTAAAAATGTGCGATAAATTTGCCTACATAACACAACTGTATCAGTGTTTTGCCAAGTGTGATGTGAGATGGAATATTGTCCGTCTACAAGATGTAAATGAATAAAAATTTTGTTACTGAAAGCTGATGCTTTTTTTTCAACAAAGCCAATGACCAATATCTAAACAACCTAACAGTTCTTTTAGCACTTTCTTTTCACGGTCAAGCTATAAAATTTAGTTAGGGATCTAACCAACTTATTAATTTTTACCAAAAAAAAATGTAATTTAATCTTTTTTAAAATTATTTGCTTTCTGCCCAATAATTGCATTTAAGAGCCCTCTATAAACTGCACAGAGAGTTCTGATTTTGTTGTATTTTTATGCAGATAGAGTCATCTGCTCTTTGATCAAGAATAAAATAAATTGAAATTGACAGTTTATTACTTAATTTGTGATCAAATCAAGCATTCATAACGCTTTAATAGGCTAAGATAAATAGATGGAACACTTCATTTGCAGGTATTTTGCCTACTTAAGTAAACAAAAGTGATTTATGTTCATCAGTACTTCATCGTCTTTGAACATTTTTCCCGGGGGTAAATGCAAGGCACCCTATATTGAAAATGTGATAGATAAGCTCAATATTTACACCTTTACACACTATAATTTTCTCAATGTCCAAAAAATATTTTCCTCTAGTGTATAGAGGGTCCTTAAGCATGTAACACATTTTCTGTAAATATGTATCAAAAATTTGTTAGATTACAAAATCCAGGAATGGCTTTATTCTGACAACCTAAATTTGTAAATTCTATTCATCATAATAAATAATGCCACATCAGATATATATGATTAAACATTAGTAAGACCTCTGCTTCTGTTAGTAAAGTTTTATCAATACAAACCTTAACTGAACTTTTTAGTCTTCTTTCATCATCAGAATCTGTGCATTCTCCACTTTCAGGCTCACTTTCAAAGTTCCTCATGTCATGTTTCTTTTTACGACCCCTTTTCTCATCCTCATCCTCTGACGCCCCACTTTCTTCTTCGTATTTCGACATGTCGTATCTGTCGTCCCGTGGAGGAGTGTGACTTGGAGAGGAAGAGTCAGAAGAATGTCTATGAGATTTTTTATCAGATGGAAGAACATCTGGTGATGCATCTATAGGTCTAATCTTCTCACTCCTCTGAGGAGGACTAGAATCTGGAGATCTTCCCTGTCTAACTTCACCTTCTCTTTGAGGGCTTGATGATGGAGTCTTTTTCTGATTTTCCTCCCTGTCATGTTTTTGAGGTGGAGGGCTAGTGGAGGGAGACCTGGACTGCTTTTTAGTATCTTTTCTGTCAATCTGTGAACTCCTAGGGGATGATCTTCTTAAATCATCTGAAACTTGGCTCAAGGATTGCACACGATCCTTTTCACGTCTAGATGAAGATGAAGAAATAGAACGTTGAGATGAAGAATGCCGCGATGATACTCTCTGGCCACTTCTAGAGCTTGACCTTGATCCTGCAGGAGATGGTCTTCCTCTTACAGAAGGAGACTTGGATCGCCTGGACAATCTAGAACTGGAATGTGATCTAGATCTCTCATACTCTGGACTTCTACTTCTTTTCACTGCTTCATCAGAATTTGAATTTTCAATAAGCCTGCCTCTTTGTTTACGAGATGATGATTCTGTTCTGTTATCATCAGAGTGAGAGGAATGCCTTCTTTTTTCCTCTCCTGACCTGGATCTTTTTTGTTGATCTTTGTCCTCTCTTTCCTCTGAGGAGCTACTACTGGATGAGGAGCTCGAGTCACTCTCTGAATCTGAGGAATTTGAGGAACTACTTGAACTGCTCTCAGACTTTTTCCTCTTCCTCTTGTCAGAATCCTCACGTCTAAAATTAAACAATAAATGTACTGAATTAAAAAAAAAACTTTATAGAAGACAAAACTTTGAAGAAATACAGTCAAAGATTCACAAAACATGAAATAATGGACGATATGGGAAATATCCATATGCCATATGGATGTGGCTATCTATCTTGAGAAGAGGCAAAGCAATCATATACGTCATAATCTGTAGCATAATTCCGACATTAACTTGACATTATTTTGTAGCGAAAATTTTACATTATGACAGTGAAAATTTGCGCCTTTACTTCTACCACGTTCTATTTATTCGATAATTGATGTCGTACCTATGAACTTCAAAATCGTGGGGGAAAACTTAATTTATTTTGTTGAAAATACTTTAGTCCTTACCTGGGCATTTCAAATGTGTATACGTTTATAAGATTTCTTTGTCAATTCTTATTCAAGACTTAGAAAATGCAAATCATGAAATAAAATTATCGTCGAACTGTCGCACAATTGTACGACACACAGACAGAAATGTACATAAAATATAGAAAACCGAAAACGTTCAACAACTTTTCTCCGGATTTCTTTTCCTTTTGAGAAAAATTATATCATTTCGGTGTAAACTGGTTTATTTCCAAGTAGGGGTATTTGTCATATATTTCTCCAGGAAAAATGTTCAAAGTGATAAGGTATACAGACCGAATGAATCATCGTTATAGGGGGATGGTTTAACATGAATGAAAAGGTTGAAAAGGTGAATATAAGTTAACGAATATAGTGAAATATACAGTCTAGACGAACTCCAAAAACAGCGTTTCCGGAAGTAAGAAATTGAGACTGAAAAAGACTCCGAAAATCGAGTCCGCGCATGCGCACACACACAAAAAATGGCGATTTTTCGGCAAAAATGATGGGTCTACAAAAACTGTCCGTGCAAAGTTTTGGAAAGTATGGCAATTATATCAGTACTCAGAAATGCTAAATAAAAGACTTCGGAAGAGATCGTATTTGTCAGATTTTTGATTTTATTTGCAAAAAAGGAGATATTTACTTTCAAAGTTAACGTTTCAAGTCAGATCAATTTCAGAGAAAATGATACGTTTTGAGAAGTAAATATGCATAATAAAAGGGATATATATGCAAAATGGGACAATATACATTGTAACTGTTAAAAACTTGACTGAATTTTACACATAAATTAGCATTCTGGTTTTTTATTTGTGTACGACATCTGAATTGAACGCGTAAGTTTTTACCATCGTTATTTACCGATATACGAACATATATTATTATGAAAACATTTTTAAAACTATTATCTATCAATATGAAGACTTTAAAAACCACTCTTCTAGATATATTAAGGGCACAACATGTCTTCTAAAAATGAACCCGTTAATGTCTCTGCTCCGTGGTGAAAAATTCGCATTTTCTGATTAAAATGAATACAAGTTGCGTGTCTTCAAAAACAAATAAAATTAAGCACCTTTATTGTAGGAACGACATAAAATTTAAATCAAGGAGACAATAAATTAAATAAGAAAATATTTCTTACCGGCAGTATTGAATTCGATGTCGTATATCCAATTCACTATTATGCAAGAGTTTGAAGCAATAAATAAGTCAATTTTCACAAAATAATTTAATAAATGCAATTATCCATTCAACAAAAAATAAAATAAAGTAATAATGCACTAAATCCACAATTATGCAGCCGTATATTTGGAGAAAGCGAACGACAATCCATCGTTTGTTTACATCGGACGCCATTTTGCCGCAATGCATGATGGAGCCAAAGACTTCGTTTTCGGAGTTCACGCTGTTTTTGGAGTTCGTCTAGACTGATATATATATATATATATATATATATATATATATATATATATATATATATATATATATATATATATATATATATATATATATATATATATATATAGAAAACCCAGAGGTGGACTCAGGTGTCTAGGAGGAGTAAGTATCCCCTGTTGACCGCGTTCACACCTCCCGTGAGCCCTATTGCATGCTCGGTATTTATATAAAGATCATAATATATAAGGCGTGGATCAGAGGGGAGATCGCTCGCAAGTGCAGTAAGCCATCTTATATATATCAAGGATATCAAGGAATAAAGAACAGTGAAGAATTATTTCTGTTATTCAGACATAAAAAAACGACTTGAATCTAAACAGAAAAATACTCTAGCAGACTTGAATAAAATATATAATTAATGATCTCCTAAATCGAGAAAAACTGAGCGGTAAAAAGAAGGTATCACAGCAGCAAATGCGTTCTTCATTTATGGAATGGTTCTATGCGAACTAAGTTAAACAAAGGTATACGTGCAACATGCCAAGGGTACTCTTTTCTATACTATCAAAAGGATCGTTCACAATTAACTTATGAAGTAGAAGTCTTTACTTTGCAGATGCTATTTGAATTATAACAGCTGGACACAATAGACAAACACCCAGCTGACACAGTGATGACCAAATTAAGCTATATTTAAAAAAATGGATTTTTGAAAAATTGCTGTGTTGTTAACATATCTATATCTTCAAATAAGCTGTTATCCGTAACTAACTGGTGCATGGCACTGTGAGCAACGAGCCCACAAAATGATACCCCGATCCCATATGAGCATAATGGCAAAAAGGATTTTTGGCAGTACGTAAATGAGATTCTATGAACGTTTAATTGAAATTCAGTTGCGGAGTTAAGAGTTCTGTTTAAAAAAAAATGGGGACCCCATTTATTGAGAATAATGACGAATACAATGGTTTGCTATGAGAATATCTGTGCAATCGAAACGTAAACAAGCCAAATTAGAGAATCCCTGTTCCCCGTCAATAGAAGTCTTTTTAAAATTAAAGAAATTCATGACCTAAAGTTTCATTGCAAAAGCTTACAGAAAAACTAATTCATAAAATTATGATCTATGAAAACAATTTATATTTTTAGACCTTTGTGTTTTTAAGGCCAGGGGGAGTTGTGATATTAAATTTCAAATGCAAAATTAATGTAAAGTTTCGGGGGGAAATGTTGAACAGACATAATGTATGAATTTATAACCTTATCTCTGACCTTTTGACGTCAAAATCGATAGGGTTTTTCTTACGCATGTGAGCTAAGGCTAGGTATAGGCGTTTCTATGCAAATGAGCTATTAAGAGGTATATTTATTATGCAGAGAAAGTTTTGATATAATTTAATTTTGTTTGTATTCTTGCCTCTGATTGGTTAATATCCAAAAAGGAACACAAATTATTTCTGTATAACCTGGTTTGGTATGGGGACACACCCCCCTGACAACCAGCTGAATTATCTGTATCCATACAATCCTCTCATTTCCAGTCCTCGAGATTCATGGAAAATTCCAGATTTAATAAACGTACCTTTAACTTCAAACGATAATTCGCTCTTACCACATGTTAAAAGGCTGCTAGGCCTATGTATCAGTTTTTATCTCCCCTTGCTTCCCATCACTTCCGTTACTTCCGTTACTAAGGTTGTATTATTGAGCGGCAAATTTGAACTAATAAAAAGCAACGAAATTTTACACCCATAGTTATTTCATGATTTTAAAATTAAATTATAAGGAATGACTCTAATTCTTGGCCAAATTATTCGAGTATAACCTGGTTTGGGTCAGTTTACGCTGTTTTATAATCCGCTTCGCGGATTATAAAGCGTAAACTGACCCAAACCAGGTTATACTCGAATAATTTGGCCAAGAATTAGAGTCATTCCTAAATTATCTTCTTATGCATACTTAGTAGCCTCGGTATGTTATAGCCAGTACACATTATGACGTCATATTATGACGTCACTGTTCTTACCGACTGGAGTTAATAAAGCATATCAACAAAACAGCTTCGGCGCAAGGGATTACCCTATTTAATTTTACTTAAAAATTGTATAATGCTAAGAGGAATATTCTATAGATTAATAAAAATCCTGCACAAATCCTAGGCATTTTCTTATTTGATCGGAATTGGAGGAAACTTATACCGGACTGTACATTTTTACTCTGATTCAACTTAAAACTTTACAAATAGAAATTATACAACTGAGCTGTAGATATCTGTGCAGCAATACCAGCAATCTTTGGAATATTTTGCTTCTAAAAATACCTTGTTTCAGTTAAATAAAATAGAGCATGCCCTTGCGCCGAATGTCCATTATAATTTTGTGTAGTAAAGAACAATGACGTAATAATATGACGTCATAATGTGTACTGGCTATCTTATGTCGTGGGTACCAAGTATCTATTAGACAATATGTTTTAACTTTCTCTGCATAATAGATATAGTCCTTGGGCATTTTAATTAGTTTATTTGCATAGAAATGCCTGTACCTAGCCTTAACTCACCTGCGTAAGGATATCCGCTCTTGGACAGCAAGGAAGGATTACTCTATATAAGTACTATTTTATTTTGAGAGTCAACTTTAAAATAATGTTTGTTTGCCCTGACTGTCCCGACCCAGGATGGAAAAATAAGGGTCGGTAGGTCAATGGGGATTTTTTTTTTCACAGAAAAGTTTCAAATCAATGCTGAATTTCAAAATCTGTTTTCCGACATGCATAACAAATAATTGTTTCCAGTAGGTTAAAAAGAGTTTCGAGTCGGACCATTTTTAGCCAGTCGGTCCGCAGAGGACAACCAACCAAATTTTTTAAGATGGTCTAAATTTGAAGTTTTTGTGCAACGATTGTCATTTTATTCATCTCATTATGTTTTAACTTTCTTTGCTGTATCAAAAACTGTACTGTAAAAAGTTTACATTTGTACCCAAATACAAAAATTAATACAAAAGTACAAAATTTAATACATTTTTAAGGAAATCAATTTCCGTTAATTTAACATAAATACCGATGTTTATAAGTATGTTATGAAATAAGAAGTGATCTTTGATGTATTCCAAAGATAGCACAAGCTTTTTACACATGTGTTATACCGGTATAAGAATTGCATGATGTAAATAATAGAATGTATTCTTCCCGAATACCGGGATACCTATATTTTTAAATTCTAAAATATATTTGTTGATCAATTTTCTGATAATGCATAGCTGGTGGTTTTATTCACATTTCCTGAAAACATATTTGAGTTTTCATAATTTTCCCGACATTTTTGTGGGAATTTTCAATTTCTTAACTGCTGATTTTCATACGGAGTTGTAATAATAAATTTTATCGCAGAAAGCTTAAAGCAAACTAAGTTATCATCTATAAAAAATGCTATTTGCAATGTATGAATTTATGTCCTTTGACCATTTGATCTCAAATTTAAAAGAGTCTTCTTTAGGTCATAAGGAGTTGTGATGCATAATTTCATTGCAAAAGCTCTCAGATTTTAAGACAGTCTGGAAACGAAAGTGTTACACACAAAAAATGCATGAATTTAGGACCTTGACCTCTAACCTTCTAACCTAAAACTCGATAGAGGTCTTCTTTACGTAATATGGAGTTATGATATTAAATTTAATAAAGAAAGCTCAAAGAAAACTAATTTATCATCTTGAAAAATATTATTTATGATATATGATTTTTGTCTTTGACCTATGGACCTTAAATTCGAGACATCTTTTTAAGGCCGTAAGAAGCTGTGATATACCGGTATTTAAGAGGCAGTCCACCGAAAAACCAGGCAATGGGTGGCACATCGCATGTCATGGATTTTAATTATTTTTTGCATGTAGACTTATTAAAGCAAGTGTTTACACATGACAACATTAAAAAAATTTTTAGTGCTCCTCTAGTCCTATTTTTGGTAAATGCTTAATTTTAAGTGCAAAAAGGTCAACATAAGGGTAAAAAAATTACTACGTTTTTATTTTGTTTTATATGTAACATATACTCAAAAGCTGGATGTGTCGATGAATATTATTTATAGCATAGACTCTTATCTTTTATTTTATTAATGAATAAGACTCCAATTTATACTTCTTTAGAAAAAATTATATGGTCCAAATTTGAGTTAATCAAGTAACTTTTTGAATTCAGTATCCAATTTTCATTACGTTATAAAACCCAATACATTACAAGGACAGATTTTTTTCTTATGTTATTATGAATACAAAGTACAAACTTTTGAATCACTCAATAAAATCAGTGGGAACAGGTATATTGAAAGAAATAAAAGAAGTCAAATTTACCTATTTTTATTTTTTTTTTTTTATAATTTTCCCAAATGAAACCGATCCCGACCGGAATTATATAAAGAAAAAAAATACTATAATTATGGCAACGGTTCTACCTTAATTGACGGAAGCACATTACAATATCGTTAAAACTAATAGTGGAACGAATAACAAAAATATCTCAAAATTTGTCACAGAAATGGGTGGGGGTGTAATTTCACATGCAAACATATCCGTTGCCAATCCGGACTTGTTTAGATTTGATGGTACCCACCTCTCCGAGCTTGGCAACAGAACTTTCTTAAATAACGTAAAAAGTGGATTGTGGTCCCTCATTCAAGGGAAGGGAAATGTATCCCCTAATGTAAAGTAATGGAGGAACATCATATCGATGTCTGTGGCGGGTCCGGAGGGATGAGTGGGAGGGTTGTGAACACATCTGGCTCGTTGTTTCCCTGCCCAGCCATCAGACAAGTTGGTGGGCACATTGTTGGGTAGACAGGTTGTCTACAAAGTATCCAACCTATGGCAATGTGTAATAAAAGTCAAGTAAAAAGACAAGTAAAAAGTTTTCGATTGGGGTCGTAGCCAAGTCTGCAGACCTGGGGCCCCCTCCAATCTTGTAACAGGAGGGGAGGCTTAGTACTGGAGAACTTGGGTGTAAAAGTACTGCTGACCAGAAGCAATCACCGGAAGCAGGGTATACAGATGTGCTCGCAAATCTCTCGGTCCCTAATCTCTAGTACCTAAATTTGGGATCTCGGGCATCTGTGACCAACACAGGGCCACTGGTTTTGCCCGGTACTTATTAGTCGGTATGCCAGCTATCCCTCCTGGACCCTATATTTTGATTGTACATTTATGCAATGCGGCCATTTAATGCCAATTCCCTGATGTCCATCACAGTTATGAGTAATGCAAGATTGTATATGTTTTTGTTCAAGTCTTTAATAAATGTAATGAAAATTATACAGCTGTTGTCTATTGTAAAGCTGGCACCAAGGAAAGGTCCTGATGACCGTATGTGTAAAAAGAATCAAGTAACAATGCATGTCAGGCCCTGCGGGGCAGTGATTACCTGACTGTTCAATTAATTTTGCATTATTTCGATCGGATCGGGATCGGTTTTTACAGTAAATTTAGAAACATTTCCTAAATTTGGCTCTTCATTTTAATTTATCAGAAAAATATGCTTGTCTTTTATTTCTTTTCAGTCAGTTAACTGTTTTTAAATGAGTGTAACCATAGATTCAAATTTATATATTATTTAAATTACTAATGTCTTTTACGTACATGAAGATTACATGTAAAACATCTGATTGAATTCTTAATAGATACTCGGTATTTAAAAAAAGTATTAATTTGTACATGCATTATGCAACAAATGAGAGCAGACAGCTTTCTAGCTTTATTATTTATCTTATTTCCAAGTAAAATTTCTTTTTTATTTCCTCAGGAATTAAAGAGTAAATTCTATCAGTGGCGAAATTAAACTTGCCTAAATACAGGAAATATTTTTATGTGTACAGTCTCGACTTTATCAAAGTTTTTTTTTTACCTGTCATCTTTTCCTCTTTTACAAAATTTGATTTTATATAAAAAAGAAAATAAGTTCTTTCATATATAGTATCATTATTCAAGAGCCGATAAATCGCAAGCAAAAAGCAGGGGGGGGGGGGGGGGTCAAGACATCATTATTTTTAAAAATTGGTTTCATGAACGTGAAAACATTTTAGAATTGGCCAACATAGTCACATGTTTAAACTCCATATTAAATGTGAGTGTGTGATTGTTTCAATCGCCAAATTAAAAAAATAAATAAGTAAAATTAAAACAACAAGAGGCCCAAGGGCCTTAACGGTCACCTGAGTATAATACAACAATTTAGAAGTTAAATACACTGATAGTTGAAGCTTTGTTGCTCTAAAGCAAGAGAAGTAGGAAGATCAGGATCAACAAAATAATTAGTCTAGTATTCAGTATCAACTCATAAATTAAGTTCTAATCTGTCCCCCACTTAATACTATGCAGACTATTAACAAACTATTAGTGCTTCTGTACTATTTATAACCCATACTAAGACCTCTAGCATTGACCTCTCTTATGGTCTTTGAAGAACTTTTAATAAGATAAGTTATTTTTGTCTCATTTTTATTTATCTATAACTTACAGGTCTACCTGTTTATTAAAACTAAGAAAGTACTTTTTTAATTATACGATAAACATTCTTGCATAATTATCTTATTCTATTAACCTTTCAAATACATTATTTACAGTGATTAATTATCAAAGGTGAATGGAAAAGGGGAATAACTTCTCTCAGTAGAATACAAATTAATAGAGCCCTGCCCAGGACCAGAATGCTTAGACCAATGGTTCAGATGTTTAAAAATCTGGTAGAAATACGCTTACTCATATCATTTAAACTTTTACTCAGTTTGCTTCCAATATGTCCAGAAGCAGAGAAGAATTTCACAGGTACAATGCATTTTCACTACAGATTCAACAAAGCCTTACCCTAACACCAGAACCCAAGACCAAGGGTCAAGAAATTTACAAATTTGGAAGAGTTATCCTCATCATCATAACTATGGACTTCAAAGAATTAACACTTTTCCACTATATTATCAAAAGCCGCCGCCCCCCCCCCCTTCGTTATGCCAGAACCCCTGACCCTAGGACCACAAGATTTAAAAATTCTGTTCGAAGCTCCCATTTTCATCATAGCTAAGCAATTTATTTATCAGCTCAACACAAAGGAGCAGACAGGATTAATTAATGATTAATAGAATTAATGCTTTTTCACTATATAATCAATAGAGCCCCCCCCCCTCAAGAACCCCAAAAACTGAGGCCATATATTTAAAAATTTTGGAAGAGGCATCCTTGCCTATCATAATCATGCACTTAATTTGTTTATATAATCTCCAGTAGCAGAGAAGAAGATTTTCAAAGAATCAATGCATTTTCACTATATAATCAATAGAGCCCCGCCCTAACACCAGAACCCCTGACCCAGGGGCCAAGAAATTCACAATTTTTGAAAAGGCATCCTTATGCATCATAACCATGTACTTAGTTTGTTTAAATAATACCCAGGAGCAGAGAAGAAGATTTTCAAAGAATTAAAGCATTTTCACTATATAATCAATAGAGCCCCGCCCTAACACCAGAACCCCTGTCCCAGGGGCCATGGCTTTCAAAATTCTGGAAGAGGTCCACCTCCTCATCATAACTATGTACTTAGTTTATCACCTTAATGTGCAGGAGCAGAGGAGAAGATTTTCAAAGAATTAATGCATTTTCACCATATAGTCGATAGAGCCCCGCCCTAACACCAGAACCCCTGACCCTGGGGCCATGAAATTCACAATTATGGAAGAGGTACTCTTGCTCATCATAACCATGTACTTAGTTACTTTATTTAATATCCAGTAGCAGAGAAGAAGATTTTCAAAGAATTAATGCATTTTCACTATATAATCTATAGAGCCCTGCCCTAACACCAGAACCCCTGACCCTGGGGCCATGAAATTCACAATTTTTGAAAAGGCACTTTTGCTCATCATAACTATGTACTTATTACTTTATTTAATACCCAGGAGCAAAGAAGAAGATTTTCAAAGAATTAATGCTTTTTCACTATATAATCTATAGAGCCCCACCCTAACACCAGAACCCCTGACCCTGGGGCCATGAATTTCACAATTTTGGAAGAGGCACTCTTGTTCATCATAACTATGTACTTAGTTCCTTTATTTAATACCCAGGAGCAGAGAAGAAGATTTTCAAAGAAATAATGCATTTTCACTATATATAATCAATAGAGCCCCACCCTAACACCAGAACCCCTGACCCTGGGACCATGAATTTCACAATTTTGGAAGAGGCACTCTTGCTCATCATAACTATGTACTTAGTAACTTTATTTAATACCCAGGAGCAGAGAAGAAGATTTTCAAAGAAATAATGCACTTTCACTATATGATCTATATAGCCCCACCCTGGGGCCAGAACCCCTGACCCTGGGGCCATGAATTTCACAATTTTGATAGAGGGCTCCATGCTTATTACAATGATGCCAACAGTTTGACTGCTTGATGTCCAGGAGTAAAGAAGAAGATTTTTAAAGATTGCATTATTTTTGGTGGTTTTAGCCTCACCCCTCAGGCCCCAGGGTGGCAGGGACCATGAAATTCACAATTTTTGTTCCCCTTCACCCATAGATGCTATATGCCAAAATTGGTTGAAATTGGTTCAGTGGTTCCAGAGAAGAAGCTAAAAATGTTCAAAAGTTTACGACCGATTGACGACGAACGACGAACGACGAACGACGTACGACGAACGACGACAGACAAAAACAGATAGCAATAGGTCACCTGAGTGACTCAGGTGACCTAAAAACGAAATGTTTCACTAAACCATCTTCCGTTTTAGTGCCAAATTATAGTGGGGAGTTCAGCAGTAGTTTAACTCAATAAATATATTTTTATAACTTTTCAGGTTTTTTTTTTCATTTTTAATCGTACTTCGGATTGTTTATTTTGATTTGACTGCATAGATAAATATATTTAAGTTTTTACAAATATCATGAAGTAAACATCTCAACTTCGTTGAATTAAGTGTTGCGTAAATCTAAAACATTCATCATTGATTCCCAATTTTATAAGAAATGTTCATGATAAACACTTCATTAATTATTTTTACGCATATCCTAGTAAATCAGTTTAAAAAAATTAGGTCTCAGACATGTATAAAATTACTTATCAAAACGTCATCTAGCTGAGACGCCGCCCGTGTATAAAATACATTTTGATACTAAAATATTATTTAACATTTAGAATAATGCACTCTGAAGAGTAATTAAACAGAAAAAGAGAAATAATTTTTTTTTTTTGAAATCTTTTTCTTTACACTTTTACGCAAAGAATTTACAAACTTCTCTGGAAACTTGTAACTATTTCATTGTGACGCAATATTAGTCAGGTATATGACGTCACTGATACAACGTGGATTCAACCTGAATAATAGAGCAAATTTTAATCTATAAATATAACGTCTGGAGGCGAAAATGACTTATATTTTGAAAATAGATTATTTAGTTTTTTGTTTAATTATTTTCTTTAGTGTATCGATTCTAAATACCGGTATTTCACTAGGATTCCGATAAAAAGGTGTTGAGCAGATTTACCGATGCCACGGGAGATAGCTCTTGCATCGCAAAATTTCATAAAAACGTCCTTATATTTTGCCAGAAAATTACTATCAAAAGTGTTTTTCCCACCGATTTTATTTTTTAAACAAAAAGTTGAAATATTTCTAGATTTAGTTAAGTGTGAATCATAGTCCTGTTAAAAATGTATTAGAAATTACAGTTCTTTGTTTCTGACCTACATTCAATGGTTTATATAGGGGCATTCAAAAACACAAAACACAAGGATATTTTACTAAATAAGCAATTATAAAACAAATCTTCAATTACATCATTCCTTTTGGGCTACATTGATATTTTTAATAAAATATCAAATATTCCTCACATTCGATGTGCTGCCTATTATTACAATACTGCCTGGTTTTTCGGTGGACTGCCTCTTAATTGCAAAGGCGTAAAGAATGTTAAAGATATTGACTAGAAACGAAAGTGTTAAACAAAAACAGAATGAATGAATTTATGACCTTGAAACGAAAGTGTTACACACAGAAATACAGACAGACAGACGAATGAGCTGCGTTTTTATGACAGTTTGGTTTATTAAGAAGGTATCCAGAGCTTGAGACTGTCAAACTTAACAACTGAAGAAAACTTGAGTAAAATCATCATTTTCTCCAATTGTCAGTTTATCTGATAATGCTAGGAGAGGAGTGAACCTTACGTAAATATATCAAGAAGTCTTACATAGTCACCAATGTCTATTCATGACAAGGAGTCTTCTGTAGACATCTCACTTGGTAAGAGCCAAGTAACCGATCGCAAGCACAACACAAACCAAACCCATGGCGAGTGCCAGGTCACTGTAGACAGGTCCAGAGTTATATACAAAGTTTGAATATTCCATAGTGACCAGTTCTTGTTCATTTCGGGAAGAAGCACCTTGTAACTGGGCTCTCATTCGTGGTCCTTGTAATGCACTACACAATATAACTTCACTAGAATGGATTACTTCCAATTTTGTATGGATGTTTACAATATCACAAACCTGGAAAATGAAATGATTACAAGCGATGTAACTAGACATTCAACACTTATCTACGGATTTGTCAATGCAGAAAATAATTAAAACTGGTTTCAGTCATTCTACAATATTTAAAAACATATTCCACCGCAAATCTTAATGTTGCTTCGTTCATTTACAAATTTCAAGATGTTTAAGTATCCAAAATAGATTACAAGGAATGGTAAAGAAAAGTTTGTTCATATATAAAAAGAAAACACACCACTTCTCGCGAAGAAATGCAAGGATCTTCTTTCATACGAAATCATAGAAAGTGCTGAAGATCGATTAACTTCCGTAACGATTTTGTTTTAAATTGCACGCAGAGAATGCAGACTTCACAAAGAACTGAAACTTATTTGAAAGTGACCATTGATTGTAGTTACGAGTTAGCTACTTTTATAGACCATTGCATTTTCGACAGAACAAAATGAATTAGACAGAAACAGTTGTCTCTTTAAAATATTTAACTTCCGTAACGGTAACTCACGAATGTTTTTGCATTAAAGGTATTTAAAAATATTATTACTATTATTTTGGGAGCAAGATACTTCATACTTTTGATCAACATCTTAAAACATACGTTATTTTTACATATTGCCGAGAATTTCAACTTTTAGTGTTGGTGTTCTATCCTGAACATCAGAAAACAAAAATTTGGTCAAATTCAGCTTTATTTAAAAATAATAAGGACTGTTCAAGCATGAACTTCCAAAACATTACCTTAAAAGTTAAAACCAATGGTATATAGAAATTGTTGTAAAAGTTAACGATACCAAATTTGTGGACAATTTTTTTTTCAAATGCACTGGTATGCCCCTTAGTCCCTAATGGGATGAGGTTGTTCAACTGGCTTTTTGAAAAATTATTTTTTCATGTTATATATCCTGAATTGGTCCTTTTATCGTAGAATGACTGGTTTTATATATATTACCTGTCTCATAAAGGATAAAATGGGAACATCTAGCTCCGGATGAACTTGATTCAGACGGGAATTCCCAGAGCATTTGTCGTAATCATCGCAGTAGTTAGTACATAGAAGCAGTCGAGTTTCTGGGAGCCCTAGTTTGGAGCAGAATTCCTTCTTCTTTATTGCAAGTGCCTCCCAGTCGTTTACTTTGTCAAGTTCTGTTAGCACTCCAAACACCGGAACTGTGATAATGAACACATAGCCAGAAAATAATGGATATGATTGCCATTTCTTCTTTTTTCAAAACAAAGAAACTGCTTTAACTTTCGATTAAAAAATTTTATAAGAAGCACCTACTGTCAAAATGAACCAAATAAAAAAATGAAATTTGAAAATAATGAACCAAATAAAAAAATTGAAATTTGAAAATAACGATCAAGGAGTAATTTTGTTCATAATGTCTGAAAATTGATCACAGTCAGAAGGGTTTTTAAATATCAAGAGTACAAGTAAAACATACACTTATGTTGTAAAATGCTTTTTATTTTACCTTCCATCTCTTTTACTGCCACCTGCTTAACTGCATTTAAGATATTATGAGGCAGAGAAGAGACGGCCGAAGTCACAACAGTAAGACCGTCCACCCTCATTTTTTCCTGTTTTGATAAATATGTCATTGCCTGTTTGATGTCATTATACCTAAATAAAAAACAAGCAACGGTTAACATTACGTATTTCACTATTTATTCAAAATATTTCAGAATTCTATTGATATCAATAAATTGTCATATCTAACATCATTAAATATCAGCATTGAATATAAATGCATGTAGACTTGATTGTCACTGGTCAGAAAATGAATACAAGCTAATGCCCATTTCTATTCAGTTGATCGAAATAAATGAATTGATTACATGTAAATAGCGCCATTTTTATTGTTATATTTCATCTTTGAAAATTCATGAGAACGAGGTCTGACACTTTCCACGAGCATATTTTTAAAAAATGTATTTTCACGAAGGTTTTTGAAACAAATATATGTATCTCTTTTATTGTTTTTTTACATGACACATCTGTTTCATAGTTGGATGTTCAACAAGGGAGAGACACTGATGGCAAACTAACAACTAAAGTTTAGGATTAATACGATGAATTTAATGTTTCCATGTCCAGTTCCTCTTGCATTGTGTAGAAATAAACCCTCTATATCATCTGGTTATGTCTCCCCGTTGTATTCCAAACACATTAGCATATTCTGCGGACGAACAACTTCTAAAGCTAAGCAGGATACTGACAAACAAGCTGATGTTAAACGGATATGAAAACTCATCTTAAGTCATTGAATATAAATTAATTCCAAGGACAGTTGTTAAGATTTAAAAAAAAAAAAATTAAATTTATTAAATTATTATTTTTTTTATTTATTAAGTTGAAATCATTTATGACATATTTATAAATACAAGTGTATTTTCTTTCCAGATCATGCTGCAAGAAAAATAAATTACCACTGGAATCTATTATTAAGTTGTCTCTGTTGTTTAATTAGTTTTAAGTGCATTTTTTTAAATATGAGATATTGGAAAAAGATTTTACAAGATATTGGATTTCTGAGAAGAATACCCTGATGGCCAACCAAGAGAAGTCTACAAGGTTTGCAAAAATTTAATTTTAATGTATCAAGGAAATTTTTTCAAATCAAAAGTAACTTGTTTAATTATTAGCCGCATCAATGTATTCTAACTCACCCATAAAACTTCAGTGCATCTAACAGTTCGTGTTTATCTGTAATCAGACCAAATAAGACATATCTAAGTAAGACTATTAATTTCTCTAGGAATATATCTTGGAATCCATTTATATCAATCAGTGTTGGATAGTGAAATTTCTTCTGTCTCTCTGAATTGAGGTAATCATCCTTAGATATCCTGGTAAAGAACAAAATACTACTAGTATTACTTGCATTCATCAAGTAAAACAAACTATCATCGATAGGTTTCTTTATCAATAATAAAATTTTAAACTGATAAAGTCAAGGCAAGTTTTCTGATAGCTCCCTTGTTCATGAATCAATTTTACTACAGCAGAATACAGAAAAAAATTGCACTGCACAATGTGTTGACGTGTAACTCGATCAGTACTTAATTAATAAGTTGATGTGTAACTCAATCAGTACTTACATAATAAGTTGACTCTAATAAGCTGATGTGTGACTCGATGAGTACTTAATAAGTTGACGTGTAACTCGTTTAGTGCTTACCGAATAAGTTGATGTGTAACTCAATCAGTACTTACTTAATAAGTTGACGTGTAATACTCGATCAGTACTTACTTAATAAGTTGACGTGTAATAAGTTGATGTGTAACTCGATCAGTACTTACTTAATAAGTTGACGTGTAACTCGTTCCCCATATCTACAATCATCGAAGTCCCCCACTTTTGTCCACTCTCGCCAGCAATTGGACGAAAAACTTGCAATAACAGAATTGATAAAGGAAGATTTCCCCACACCTTGCGGTCCCATGATGACCAGGTTCTTTGGTACTCTGTATTTACTCAATTGTTTCTCAAGCAGTTCTATCTCTTTGTATTTTGAATGCAACAGCCTTTTCTGATAAATGACGAAATGGCAAAATTATTTTTCCTTTCAAAGTTCAAAGTACCAATTATTGTAGATCAGTAAATTTTCGCGACAACCTATTTTCATGTGATTGTAATTTTGTAATACATGCGAAACAAAATTTTCTCTCAGTTTACTTATTGCTCTATATAATCATTAAAAGTAAAATTAAAAGCGAGAGGGGATTTCAGCGCAATCGCATCTTCTCGGGTCTTTCCAGCAAGTCGGAAGAACACATCGAGTGTATTTTAAAATTTTATCCAAAATGGGGTCGCTTCCTATTTACTTTTAAAGGAGTTGAATGTTCCTTATGAAGTATATTTAAGGTAATATCTTTACATTCAATAAAGTTAAGCTACAGAGTACAGAGATAAGAGGTCTCTCTACATATCTTTTAATGTTCATGAAAAGGCGGGGGTTGTCATAGACGCTTACGTAACACGTTCGAGGTTGTTTTTCCGCTCATCGGAAAGGACCGAGACGTTGCGATTGTTTTTACCGAGCAGACGGTCTCGCAAAAATAAAGTTCTCGCGAATAAAAAGTGTTTTACAGTATAAAGTGCAGATCAGTCATAAATAAAAACGCTAACATGCATTTTAAATTTAAAAAAGTACCTAAAGATAGATCTCCTTGAGAAAAAAATCTTTTGAACTTCAATAATATTCACACGGATTACAAGACTAGGTTTGGTCCTTATATAAAATATTTTTTTTTAGTTATTTTTTCTGTGTTTTGCTCTGATATTAACATTCGTCAAACACTGATCACCTAATTCAATTCCTCTGCGGAAAGACTAGGACAATACAGCCTTGTTTTAAAATTGTTCAAATGCTTTCAAGCCAAATAGTGGTTCTAATACTGAGTTTCAATAATTCGACTCATAAATTTAATATTAATAAAACTGAGAACACCAAGAAAAAAGATAATATATTATACCCCTCCGTAAAACAGTGTCATACCTATGTACACATTAATTCAACCGAATTTTATTTTGTTAAGGGGGATTTTTTTTTTTAGATGTACATGTACATGTATGTGTTCATTAATGAATAATAGAACAGATATACATTCCTTCATTCAGAAAAGATTTAAATGATGGATGTGAAGATTTTATAAAAACGAGAGACAAATATGAACGTACAACAGCCGCTGACGACTCTTCCCGGTCTGTGTTCTCGGCATCATCTGATCTGACTTTCGGGTCATTGGAAACAACAGGCTTAGAATATGCTATATTAATTATAAAGCAGAAAATCTATTAACAGGTACAGAAAATCAGAAATGCAGACAGTTGATTTAGAATAAGAGGCGATTGCTGTACAGTCCATTCTATGAGCCTAATGTGCAGTCAAACCTCGTTATCTCGAACTTGAAAGGGACCGAGAAAATACTTCAAGATAACCGAGGATTCGAGATATCAAGGGCAAAATACTGAAGGAATAAGTAGTTGGGACTTCAAAAACATAGGTAATCAAAGATAACAAAGCTCGATCACCTCGACGAATGTTATCTTTAAGTAAGGCAAATTTCACATCATATTCTTTTTCAGTTAGTGTATATCCCAAGATCAATATCCATGCAAGTTTGGTTTAAGTACGACTTATAGTTACTTGGAAATAGACCTGTTCCAAAAATGTTTATCCTGTTTACTAATCAAGAAAATTTTGGTCAGTTCCAGCATCCAAAGTAAGTCTGGAAGTTTTCATCCTTAGATGCACCATCTATGCAAGTTTAATTATAACAGGCCATAATGTTATATAGCTACTCCCAAAAAATTATCCTGGTCACTCATCTGGAAAATGTAGGTCAGATTCAGAATCCAAAGCAAGTCTGGAAGTGCCCATCCATAGCTACATCATCCATGCTAATTTGGTTAAAATATGGCTAAAGTTCACTCAATTGGAAAATCTAGGTCGAATCCAGCATCCGAACCAGGTTGGTTAGCGTACATCCCAAGATGCATCGTCCATGCAAGTTTGGTCAAGTTAGGGCTTATAGTTACTTGGGAATGGACCTGCTCCAAAAACTTTAACCTGGTCACTCATCTGGAAAATGTAGGTCAGATCCAGCATCCGAAGCAAGTGTGGTAGTGTCCATCCCTAGATGCATCATCCATGCAGGTTTGTTCAAGGTATAGCTAACAGTTACTTGGGAATGGACCTGCTCCAAAAACTTTAACCTGGTCACTCATCTGGAAAATGTAGGTCATATCCAGCATCCGAAGCAAGTGTGGTAGTGTCCATCCTTAGATGCATCATCCATGCAAGTTTGGTCCAGGTAAGGTTTATAGTTACTTGGGTATGGACCTGCTCCAAAAACTTTAACCTGGTCACTCATCTGGAAAATCTAGGTCATATCCAGCATCCGAAGCAAGTGTGGTAGTGTCCATCCTTAGATGCATCATCCATGCAAGTTTGGTCAAGGTAGGGCTTAAAGTCACTTGGGATTGGACCTGCTCCAAAAACATTAACCTGGTCAGTGGTCACTCATCTGAAAAATCTAGGTCATATCCAGCATCCGAAGCAAGTGTGGTGGTGTCTATCCCTAGCTGCATCATCCATGCCAGTTTGGTAAAAGTAAGGCTTATAGTTACTTGGGAATGGACCTGCTCCAAAAACATTAACCTGGTCACTCAACTGGAAAATGTAGGTCAGATCTAGCATCCGAAGTAAGTGTGGTAGTGTCCATCCTTAGATGCATCATCCATGCAAGTTTGGTTAAGGTAGGGCTTATAGTTACTTGGGAATTGACCTGGTCCAAAAACTTTAACCAGGTCACTCAACTGGAAAATGTCAGATCCAGCATCCGAAGCAAATGTGGTAGTGTCCATCCCTAGCTGCATCATCCATGCAAGTTTGGTCCAGGTAGGGCTTACTGTTACTTGGAAATGGACTTGCTCCTAAAACTTTAACAGGGACGCCGACGCCGGGGGTATAGCAAAAGCTTATCTCGACTTCGTCGAGGTGAGCTAATAACTTCGACATATCCATGGTATTCGAGATATCCGTGTTCGAGATACCGAAGTTCATCTGGTTCGATTCTGTATAGGACTAATATGACTCGACACTGTTTCTTTATCTTTTTCTTTTATTAAAATAGAAATGGTCTTAGTTTAAGAGTCCCTCTTTCATGTACAATGTATCCTTTGCAATTTAACAAGATACAAAATGCAGTTTGATTTAAAAAGGTTTACAATGTATACATAAATTTCAAACTACTTCATGATGTAATCCCAGAGTCCGTATCTTTAAACGATCAAAACGTCAGCAACTCTTACCTTTTCTTTCAGACCACAACGCTACTTTTATTTCTTGCATATCTGACACCAGAGAAGAAACTTGTTCTAGGAGTAATTTTTCTTTCTCACAATCAACTTTAATTTTTTCTATAATGGCTTCTTCACACTCTTCCATTGACTGTGTCTGAATGTTATTAAGTGCATCCAAGTAATTTTTGGCAGTGCAAGTTTGTAATCTTCGGCACACTTCGGATATTATTGTCCAGTAGTTATTGAATGTTGTCAGTGAAGTCGAGGCTGAACTCACATGCCCAAATAAATTGTTCCGAATTAACCGTATCCTCTCAATATCATCGCCTACAGTAGTATCTCCTTCTGCGGGCATTGTATTCCCACCCCATCCATTTGTTGGTTTCTGAATCCTCGTACAAATGCTTCTCAGCAATTTGTATAAAAGTGAAATGTCAAAATCCTTAAATCCAACATTTTTTGCATTTCCCAGAAGAAGTAACTGATCAGGATAGAGGGTTTGAAAAATTCCTGATGATTTCACTCTGTTCAACACGCATGCAGGGGACACCTCCATTTCAAGAATATCTCTATATGCCTGTGTTAACTCATCATTTATTGCTAGTCCAAGCTTGGCAAACCTTGAACGACCGTCGGGATCTTGTCTAGTAGCCATCGTACTGTTCCAGTTTCTTCCTCTAGTTCACTAACGTAAAATTGAACATGGGCATCACGAATTGCTTTCAGGAGTTTCTTGGTTTAATACGGACTTGGTAAGTCAAATCGTAAATGACATCAGACTATGTAAACATCAAGATTTGTGCATATAAATAAGATTTATTTTATACCAAGATTTGTGCATATAACTAAGATTTATTTTTATACAAAAGCTTACCTGGTGCTCAGGTAACCTCTTAAGCTGTTCCGTCTATCGAAAAAAAAGATGTTTATTATACTTCACCATAGATGTACTAAATCTTGGAAAACTTGAGTGTTCTATCAAATATTTGTTTTTGAAGGAGTTTTAACGAAATCCATTCAATTCTCTACTAACGCACGCTGCTTATTTGGTGTATGCTAAAAAGTGATGCCTATTAACCCCCCCCCCCCCCCCCCCACCACCACCACCACCACCATTTCGCTGTTTTTATAAAATGAGACTAGTGTTTCATTCTATATCGTAAATTTACTTTAACAAGCATTCTGAGAGTATTGCATTAGCAATACTAGTCCTCTACCGGCAAGTGTAATCTGACCGTTAAAAATTGAAAATCCCATAATTCCGTCAAAAATCAATAAAGTGGAATGAAATGCAAACTTAATCTATAACTCATAAAGGTTAAGTCACATACCAAAAATCAGATCAATATCTGTAAGCGTTTAGAACAAAAATTGCGGAAAACCCTGAAAAATTGAAAAGGTCGTAATTCCGTCAAAAATCATTGAAGCGGAACGAAATGCAAACTTGGTCTGTAACTCATCAAGATACACTCACATACCAAAAATCAGCTCAATATCTGCAAGCGTTTAGAAGAAAAGTGCGGAAAACCAAGAGGGACAGACAGACAGAGGGACAAACAGACGGACAGACGGGTGGACAGACTCAGAGGAAACCTATAGTCCCCTCCGGTTTTCCGCACTTTTTTCCAAAGACTTTTTTTACTATTTGAAATGTTAATTGAAACGCCGGTTGCCCCTCCCCCTTTTTTGTTGTGTAATAGTGAAATAAGGGTTTTGTAGTAGTGTATGAATAAAATTTGGTACTGAAAGAAGTTGGAACCTACTTGACATATGGTGCACGAGCCCATTACGAGTGCACTGTGTCAAACCCTGATTACAATTTTGGCATACTACATCCCAATATAACCCTTTTTTATTAGTTCCTTACCGGTGAAACCGGAGGAGATTATAGGTTTCCTCTACGTCTGTCCGTCCGTCTAGCTGTCCCTCTGTCTGTCTGTCCCACTTGGTTTTCCGCATTTTTTCCCTAAACGCTTGCAGATATTGAGTAGATTTGTGGTATGCTAGTGTATCTTGATGAGTTACAAATAAGTTTGCATTTCGTTCCACTTCATTGATTTTTGATGGAATTACGACCTTTTCAATTTTTAAGGGTTTTCCGCAATTTTTTTCTAAACACTTGCAGATATTGAGCTAATTTTTGGTATGTGACTTTACCTTGGTTAGTTACAAATTAAGTTTGCATTTCGTTCCGCATCAGTGATTTTTGACGGAATTATGGCATTTTCAAATTTTAAGGGGAACCAGATTACATTTGCCGGTAGGGGACTAGTATTGCTAATGGAATACTCCCAGAATGCTTGTTTTTTTATGCTGTCAGACTGTTGCATGTATACGACCAATTTAATTAAATGTTCAATCCCAAACCTATTTGCATACGTTAAGGATATTGAGCAATTTTCAATCATTTTGAACTAGTTAAATCAGTATTGCTAGATAACGATGAAAGTTAAATGAACCAAATTTACAAGATTGATGCAAGAAGCTAGCCATTTTGAACCTTAATCGTTTTTGAAGAGTTATCTGCCCTTGATGAAAAGAAGGTAATTTTAATTTTGTCAAAATATCAGTGTAAATGATTTATTTTATTTCACATTTTAATAGAGAGAGAGTTTATGCATATTTTCATCAAGAAATTTGTATGAATTGCTTTTTACAATATTTCAATAACACATGTGCTACCCATAGACCAATGTAAAATTCAAGGTGCAATTAATTGTACAATAGTCAAAATTTTGTAAATTCCTTCGGTGGAGTATTTTTATTTGATAACACCTTCAAAATGCTACCATGATTAAAAATATCGGACCATTCATTTATTAGGAACAAAATATGGTCGTTATACATTGAATACTTTAAATTTAAATATTTCATTTTACATTCTTCAAATCTTCAAGTTATCACCAATGTTAAAATTTTTGAAAAAGGGCATGGAGTCAAATGTGGAAACACAAATAAAATGTTAACGTCGGCCTTAACTTTTGCTAGAGAGACGGGGCTTTTCTATTTTTTCAAGTGTGCATTACTTATCCAGATCTTTCGGATGATACACGTTTAATTTACCTCATGATCTTGAAGTTTGATGCAATTTTAAAAAGCTTTAATCTTGGGCGTATAAACTTTTAATAAATCAAAAAGTTTAAATCTTTATTTTTAAATGATGGACTTGCAGACAAGATAGGGCATACAGAAAAACAGTAAGAAGTAATTGCATCCTCTCCATTAAGACATCGAAAGTAGGATTTGCGTGTCAACTGAAAATAAGAAAACGACACTTTTGATGGTCGCAAAGAATGAAAAATATGAGTGTATTTAGTACAGATCTATACCTCTAGCCCTCTACTCCGTCCAACTTTTTGATACCTTGTCAATTACACCACAATCATATGATTTCTGAAGGGTTGTGTGTTATAAAAGGTCAAAATATATCCCTCTTATTCAAATGTCAGCTTACATTAATCATAAAAATATAAAAAAAATCGGTTTATTTTCCTTATTGGTTTTTTTCTCATGATTTCTTTCAGGGATTTATCAGTACCTTCTCAGGGGCCGAAATTCGGCCTCATTTTCAATTGAAAATGAGTTCAGATTTTCCCAGTTTGGCAGTATTTTTTCCCAATTGGTGAACAGTGCTTTTATATTTAATCATCTTGGAAAAACACAGAGTAAAACTGTCAGATTGTCTGTAATTTTCATCTATATAACTTATTTAGCAAAGGTACAGTCATAACAGGTTTAAAAACACTGTAAAAACATCGCCTTCTAATCCGAATTTCCTTTGTTTTTCTGAAAATGGTGATATTGTGTAATTGTATAGATTTAGTAAGTTATTTCCACCTACTCAATTGATCTACGAGTGAATGGTTAGGACTGTAGGCATTATTTAAGATAGAAAATATATTTTCAATGTTTTTATACATATTAAAAGAGGACTTTGAAAAAATGTGTACCAGTGGTATAATTTTTTGCAGAAGATTTATAATCTCCAGAAACAGATTCTATAATGACCTAAATGGGAATCCCATACACACTTGTACTACCCTGAGTTGTATAGGTAAATACTTATACTCATTGAAGTCAATTTTACTTTTATTAGTCTATTATTCATAATTGATCTTGTATGATGAAGTTAAATATATTTAATTGTCTGTTTGGTTGCCCAAATTCGAGTTCATGCTGAAATGTTAAATGAATTTGAATACATGATTTAAGCAACATTTTAATTTTTTTCCAATTTCATCAAATAGCTGGTGATATTTTCCCAATTCCCCAAAAATGGCGTTTCCCAAAATAGGCTGATAGGCTAAATCCCTGTCTTTTGTTCATTTTACCAATGATTGAATTACATGTAACAATACCAACAAATATCTTTTAATGAAATAATTATATGTTTATTTAAAATGAACTAAGAATTACTTTCTATTTCCACTATGGAAGAGTAATTCATCTTGTTGCGCTCTTTTGTGAAAAAGTCGGAAAATGTACAAATCTCGCGGTATTTCTGGGACAAACGTAACGTAAACATGTAAACAATGAGTGCGTTCAGAGTACTACCGCTGGTAGACAAAAGTTACCACTGGTAGAATTTCTTACCATTGGTATGCCAATGGTACCAAAGTTTGCCGACAAAATTTACCATAGGTAGATTTTTCTGCAGACGAACTAGAGCTCTGTTTGCAATGGTAACTTTTTTAGTGACGTCACGAAAATGGCGGGTATAGAGTACGTGCTGAAAGCGACAGATTTTTTATCTCAGCTATTTCCATTAAATCTTGTTGTTGCGGGAAAAAATTACCGTATATTAACCAAAGCTACAAATATACAGTTTATATCTGACAGTAAGTATGCACACTTTCTACTCTTTAGTCGTATATGTAACTGTTGACCAATGTACAGATTTCATTCCGAGTTTTCTGTCTTCTTACACGTTAGTCTTGCTGCGCGAGCGGCGCTTCGCACCGCTTGCTGTTATAAATATATATATCGAGGTAAGTTGGAACATTGGGTATTTTTGTGTGTCTGTTTTGTTTGTAGGTCTAGAATATACGACTCGTGTTATACAATTATTTAACCTACTAGTTATCTATTTCAAATACATGTTATTTTTTCTGAAGTACAATACAACAGTTTTGCCTACACACTTTTTAACGAAAAATCTGTCTCAAAAATGTTTAATAGTCTTAACTGTTTTTTTTCTTTACCGGATAGTGACATAAACGATGCAAATACATTCTGTTAATAATAAATTAATAATTTTGAGTATGTTCAGCTTATTGCATTGAGCAAACCAGGGACCTATATACTATATAGGTCCCTGAGCAAACCAAAAACTGATGATGAAAACGTTTTATGACTAATGGAAAATAATTTATTAAAAATAATTTTCTTTTTTTTTTACTAATACTAGATCTTGATGTGGTATCTAAACAGCTAGAAAAGTTGCTTCCACCGGAACCACCCAAGGATCCAATATTCATTGATTGTATTAATGGCCAAATAGTCATTCCACAGGTATTATTTCAAAATGAAGAACCTCAGGAAACTCAAACTAGAAGTGAATGCAGCTCTGCATCCTGTGATGTAATTAGTCAAGCCAGCACCTCAGACAATCCCATCCCACAGAGTCAACCCCAAACTCCTATCTACCAAGATGACAGTGATTGTGAAGATTCAGGTATGAGGAGTTCAAGGTATGAGTGGAAGTTAACCACAACCCGAAAGCTTCTAAATGTTTTAGAGGAAAAGAAAAAAGCTGCACCAGAGTCATTTTCTATTAACAAGAAGATATGGGCCGGGATATCGAAGGAGATATCCAAAACTGAAACTAATTGTCCATCTTCCAATCAGTGTCGAGAAAAGTTCTATACATTAAAAAGAAGTTACAGAAAGTTTTTGTCAGAATGCAAAAAAACTGGAAATAAAACCCCTAAACCATTTCGATATGAAATTGAAATGCAGAGTATTCTTGAGGGGGATCCATCCTTTAAACCATTAGTGTTGCGTAGCTCTTTTGGTATGAGAAAAGATGATGATGAGTCAGATGAAGACACAATTGAACAGGAAGATGATGCAAGCACCAGCAGTGCTTCGAGACCAACCACCCCCATACCTACAGCCAAGACAAAGAAGAGGAAGATTGACGAGATGAAAGAGTATTTTGAGGAGAGAGACAAAAAATTCTTCGAGGTGATGGAAAATATGCAAAACAGCAACAAGGAACTCTTAACCAAACTCATTGAAAAATTAGGCAAATAGGGTACACATTACAAATGTTTTGTCCTCATGCTTTAGAGGTCACATTCTTTTGAGGCCAGATTGTTCAAAAGTTTCACACTGTTGGTGTTTACTCACTTTGATTTATCTTTTTGACAATTGCTTAAGTAAGCTTGTTAGTATCAATTAAGACAGAAGTTGTGTTCTATATTTCTTTTTACTTGTCATTATAATAATGATTATTTTGACCCGCTGGCATTTAATTATAGATATACACTAATGATCTATTTCATGTTTTTTGTTTAAACATTTTAAACTCGATTATTTATTTTTAGCTATACAAAGAAATTGTATAATTATATATGGTTTGTAAAATTAATAAAGTTATGTAAAGAAATGTTTAATGTCCTGAATATCTTCAATGAACATGGGATATTACAATAATATAAAAGTACTTAAGACAATTAACAGTCTATTAATTGTAGAAAATGTTGTTGATATTCATATCAATTGGTTCATCATCTGTTGTCTGGTTTGAATTCCTTGGAGTTGATGACCATCACGGGCAGGTGGCATGTCATAGCAAGCTTCAAATTCATCTGGCACTTCGATAAAGTCTGTGTCTGAAATACATAAGTTATGTAAAACACAAGCGGCAAGAATAGACTCTACTAGGATTTTCATATTGGAGGTCTCAAATCGCAAAAGTCTCCGAAACCGACACTTTAATAAGCCAAATGATCTTTCGATGACTTGTCTGCTACGACTGTGCTCCCTATTAAATTTTCGTTGTAGCTCAGTAAGGTTGCCGCAATTCCGAAAGGGTGTAATAAGCCACTGCAGTAAAGGAAAGGCTGAATCCCCCAATATGACAAAACCAACAGGAATCTTTACATCACTGTTTTGAAACAGATCCGACATACGCAGAACTGTAGCATCATGTGTGCTTCCGGGATTTCCCGTCCAAACATAAGTAAATTCCATATTAGAATTGCAACATGCCAGAAGTACCACTGAATAAAATTTCTTTCTGTTGAAGTAGGCCTGTGGCTGGTGTTTGGGGGCATTGATCGGAATGTGACTGCCATCCAGAGCACCCAAAACATTTTGAAATTGACAGTTTTCTCCAAATTTTTGACATGTTTCATTTAGTTCTGCTTGTGATGTAGGCCATCTAATTACCTCTGCCATAACACTTATCAAGGAGGAGGATACTCTAGTAACACTAGCGTGAAAACTTCCTTTAGATGTACCAAACCGATCAGCCATAGATCGAAAACTCTCAAGGTTTCCTAAGTACCACAAAAACATCAACAGTTCTTTTTCAAGATTAGGGGTAGGACCCTTTTGATTGTTGTAAGCGTAGACAATCTCTGGCAAGTACTTTCAAATGTGTCTCTGGACAAACGGAAATGAGTTTTAAATTCATCCAGTGTATATGAGGGTATAGTTATCTCATAGTAATGACTCACTCTAGCCATTTCCTCCGATGATCTACGCATGCTTTGCAGGAGAAAATAATCTGTAAGGGAGAAGTACTTTACTGTACTAATGAAAGTATTTGTGAATACATCTTTTTGCTGCAAAATGATGCACGAAGCAACAATTATATCTTTGTTTGACATTTTTCTCTAAATAATCAGCCAATGTTAACAATGGTACACCAATGGCACCAATGGTACACCGATGTTGCCATTGGTAACATTGGTGAGTTTCCTACCAACTGTACCCAAAAACCCGTTCAGAGTACATATGTATCCAATGGTACCAACGGTACAAATTGTTACCATTGGCAAACAGGTGATGGTACCACTGGAGATACTCTGAACGCACTCAATACGTTGAATGTCGATGAACAAATCCTAAGAAAATGCAAATGAAATATTTAATTGTTGTGGACTTTATAAACATTAAGAGTAGGAATGACAACGATATCAATTTATATCTATTGTTGATCGTCTGTACCTATTTATCGTATGATACATCTAAATACAATACACATGCCTCGGAAATATTGTATTCTTTATTGATGGATGATAAATTTAGGGTTCTCGCTCTCTTACATACGTCTTTTAGTTCTTCTATTCTTTAATTGGAATGACAAATACATTTAACATTTAAAACTGGATTGAGATTGGCGTGTTTTTATTATCTGCAACACCATGCTGTCCCAGTCAGACGACCAAACGCGCCTCTAATTTTGAAGAGTTCACTAATGGGAATAGAACGGATCTCGCTATTTAATTTTTGAAAGGTGACTTCACGCCATTGCAAATAGCAATTTCGGGAATAGAAAGTATTGAATTGCGAATGTTGGCCTAGATCTGTTGTAACAGGAAGTCCCTCTTATGATTTCGTCTGACAGTCATATCAAAAAATGCGTATATTTTAAATAATCAGGATATATTAATACAATAGTTAGATGTTTTTAGAAGTTTAAGTTCAATTTCAACGATCCAACAGACATAATTGCAAATATGTTATCGAAATTAAGTATGAAACATCAAAAAGTGTAAACCGGGCTTGCTACCCATTTAGTCACCAGGAAAAGGACGATCGGTGATTATCATTGAAAAACACAATATTTTGAGTTAAAACTCTCAGCGAAGGCAAATTTTATTGTTATGAATTATGTCCGTAAATTTCATTAAGAAAGAATAAGTATTTATTCCGTAATTGTCAAAAACCCGGTTTTCAGTTTCGAAATTCCCGGCCCGGCCCGGGTTTTACTACCCATTTTAGTCACACTCATATCATTTGGTTGTAGGAAAGATATACTCTGATAAGCGACTGATAACCATTACGCATGCCTTGAGTAGTTATGAAAAATCTGTTATTCTTTATGGTATAACACATTTATACTATTTGAATTTTAGTCTTTCATCGTTGTAAGCCACTGGCCGTGTCCATTTTATGGTTTGTGGAAAAAGGATGGCCTCAAACCCCGTGGCTTGTGACGATGCACGTCTTAATGATCACACATTTTAGATTCTTAACCTGTATTTTCAATAACAAAATTTTGTCAGTCTACAGTACTCCTTCCGAAGACGATTTTTCTTTGACCTTTTTTGAGTACATTACACTAGCCAAAATATCTAATGTTCACATCAAATATCCAAATATGGCTTACGTTTCTAATATAGCATTTAATGTTAGAGTATTTAATATCGTTGTATTCTTCGTAAGTAAAATATACATGCTGATACTTGAACATAATAGCGAGCGCAGCGAGCGGCGCGAAGCGCCGCTCGTCACTGCGAGCTCTAACGACAACGCCTGGGCGAAGAGAAAATTCGGACTACTGCAAATTAATTCAATAGATTTTTTTTCCGCAGTAATTCTGACCCACAATGCATCGCTTCTTGTTCTCGCTGCTAACTTCGTTCACGCGGTGACAACAACTAAAAATTCTCACAAAATAAACTCACCTTAATTTAATGGATATTGCATGCAGATAGTAGATTAAACGTTTTGTTAAAATATTTGCACTTTTTAAACTTTGTTTATGGAAATGCAGCTAACATACGACGTCATGTGACGTCACAGTCTAGACGTTCCAAATGTCTCGTGCGGTTTGAAGAGGCGGATCATAATAATGAAGTGAACACTGCGCTCGCCCAAACGGTCGCACCGTCAACATATTAAATCCCTTACAATTATACACACATGCTTACCTTTGAAGTGTTGGTAATTAAATACATTATAACAGAAATTCTTCGGCGTATAACTTTTCGTATAGCGGGAAAACAAAAGATGTATTTTTAATCTCGATCCCGATCAGGTCATATTATTTACACACAATCAATCATTTCCATAATATTCAAGAACTTTATTTGCTGCTAATAGCCTTAAAATTTTAATAGGGAAACATTGTCATGCAAATGGTCATTTGATTTGTAAAAAAAAAACAAAACTGTTGACCTAATTTTTACCGTCACGGTTGACGTCAAGTCAATTAGTGAGGCTACACATTGTGTCATGCAGTATTCAATAAAATATTGATTACATTCAAACATTTTTCATGCGGTACGTAGTAGATACAGATACAAAATAATCAATGCCTGATTTCAGATCAAAGGTAACAAGCTCAGTGGTGATCAATATGGTTTTGGGTTGATTATGAAAAAAAAAATGTTTTCGTAACAATGATTATAGAATACAAGATCTAAATATCAAATATCTCCCACATTTTTATAAAGAGGTAATGTGTGCATTTAATGAATGTAAACAAAATAATCAAGAAAAATTCCAGTTACAGAATATATGGTTTAACAAAAACATAACGTATAAAGGAAAACCGCTTTTTCTTCCAAACTGGATCAAAAGTGGTTATAAATATGTGAATGATCTTTTCAATGAACTCGGATTTAAAACAATAAATGAAATTAAGAAAATTTAATATGTCCACAAAACTACTTTTGTGAGTACGTGATTGTAAAGAGTGCTCTTAAGAAAGATACTCCAAAAATAAACCTACAGAATAAAGCAAACGCAAATAATTCACAGCTCTGCTTCAACTTTCACGGATATTTTGAACAAATTGAGGGTAAAAAATCTTAAATTCTTCTACAATATCTTGTTACCCAAAACATAAAAAAAACTTTAATGGAAAGATTTTGGTCTGAGCTATTCTGTACTAACGACTTCCACTTATGGGAAAATATTTACCAGGAAAAAGTCAAAGAAATATTTGATAAGAATGTGTCAGAGTTTAACTTTAAATTGATGCATAACTTACTGACTTGTAACAAGTATGTAAGTAAATGGAAAAAAGACTTAGATAAAGACTGTTCGATTTGTAATGTAGAAGAAGACATAAAGCATCTTATTTTTGATTGCCGTGTAGTAAAACCTATTTGGAGTAAAATATCATCGCTTTTAAATATAGATGTGTCATAGAAAGTTATTGTCATTGGTTTTCCAGCATATTTTAACAAAAGTACCTTTATTTTAGACAATATATTGTCTTTCATTGCCTACAAAATATATAAATATAAAATGAAATGCAGACTTTCAAATGAGAGTGTTACTAATGAGAGTGACAGTCTAATGTGTTTCTTAAAAAATGCACTTACTCAGTTTTATTTCATAACAAAATAAGCAAAAAGTATTGCATGTGATTTCAAAATCATCAAAGAGTTGTCTGAAAAATTGTGATATTATCTATTTATGCAAAGGTGGCCTGGCCTTTGGAGTATACAATCGTAGGGGGGGGGGGGTGGACTTTATGCGTTGTGGCTTGGTGCCCCCTACGATTTATCAAAAACTTTTGTCGTTAGGATGCCATTAATGTTTTTTTTTTTCTAGTAAAAAATCCAAATATGAATCATATGAATCAGACTCTATAGTGTCTTTTATTTTGAGTTCAAAGGGATATGTCGAATCAACTAGGAATAAAAAGGAATCAAGCGTGGTCCAGATATCTAAATGTTGAAGGCCACTGCAAGAGGTTTTTGAGTACATTCTGCTTCATATAAATAGAAAAATAAGGTCTTCTAATAGCAAGGCGCAGTTGGTAACCATGAGAATTCCGCCAGATTGTTGGAAGACTTGATCTCCAAAAACTACATATAGTTAATGAGTTATTACTCTGAAGCTGATATTATATAAATAGTGCACGTTTTTGAGGGTAACAGTTAAAATTGACACCCCAAGGAAAACCATTGTCAACCGACGCGTCAGCGGAGGTTGACAATGGTTTTCCTTGGGGTGTCAATTTCAACTGTTACCCTCAAAAAACGTGCACTATTTATTTTATTATACTGAATGTCTTATTGATTTCGGATGTCATAAAAAAAAATTCGGAGATCGTCGTTAAGTTCACGCTTAGAAAGCTTTCAAACGGTTAGAAAGCTTTCAAACTCACCGCTTCTATTTTTCTCAATAAGAAAGCTTCGTCTGTCGTTTGTTGTTTTCAAGTAAGCTACATCGGACGCAAGCTTTTATTGACGTCGTTTATTTGGCTTCTTTCAAACGCACAACTGACGTTTTGAGAATTCTACGGTGAACCGTACGCGCATGATTTGAACGCATGTGACATTTTCGTAATGTTACCCGTTGCCAACTGTGTTGCTAACGCTGAGGGTAATATTACGGATTGTTAAATGCGTCTAAACCAATCAGATTTTAGTATTTAACATGAAAGTATAATAATGAAAAATGCTCGAGTTTCTGATTGACAATATATAATATAATAGTATAATTATGTAGTTTAGACAGCAGGTCTTCCAACAATCTGTCGGAATTTCCATGAGTACCAATAGCGCCCC